CAATAATGAGTCCATCCTTTCCATCTTTAGGTAGCACAACATCTTTCATTGAAGAAGGTTCGACAAGTCTTATGTTAAACTTACTGACAAAGTTTGTTATACTATAATGCTTCGGTGGCGAATACATGTAGTTTGAAAGACATAATATAGATTCTTCAGCAAATTCACTTATACTGGATTTTATAACAATGTTCTCACGAGACCAAATACCACCAATTGACAATCTTGTAAGCAATCCTGCTGAACCTTCAACTGTAAACGTCGATGGTAACATTCCACGAAGGTCATCTATTGACATCTTTGAGTCACTGAATTTAAATATTTTCTTAAAGCAATCGTCATTATCTAACCATGCAATAGCTTTGAAGTTTTCATTCGAATATACATCTGCTTCATTAAATGTAAAACCTGACTTCTTTGCAGAGATGACTTTAAAATCTATTGAGTTTGTTTCAAAATTATATGCTATGCTAACTTCTGAAGGTAATGGATGTCCTTCCGCAGTCAGTTGTTCTCTCACTACCGTTTGAAGCTTTGTGTTAAAAACTTTCATGTCATCTCCTGTGTCTAGGTTCACATACACAGCAACAGGAAAACTATCTTGCTTCTTTGTTTCATCATTATACCTCAAAACATTAAAGTTCTTCAATAATATTGTTCTTCCTGCTGGAATACTTCGAACCTGTCTGATTTCAATAGCTTTCTCACCTCCTACATACTCTACCCAGTGCCTTGGATATTCATAAGTATACTGACTTTCTTGAATTTTGGTAGGTTTCATCATAACGTGTTCATAGTATATCTTTATACTCTTGTCAGTTAGACTCGGTGCTATGTTCTGAATATTTCTGACTTGCATTTTTAATGGAGATAAAATGAAGCATTTAATACATGACGTAGATGAAGACATGAATGAAACTACAGACAAACTTAACTCTTCTCTCATTCTTCCTTTCAGTAAGGACTATGAGTTCTGTTCAAATGGCGTTTATTTCTATTGTGGAAAGATGGGTTCAGGTAAGACATTTAATTTAATTCGTCATATACTCATAACAGAACGTTTAGGAAATGACTCATATTATGACCAAATCATTATATCAGCAACTTCAGACTCTATGGACTCAACAGCGAAAACATTTATGTCAAAAGTTCAAGCCTCTGTCGTTAAAGTTCCAGACAGTGAACTCATTGAATTTCTTCAACGTTACATTCGACGTAAGAGGAAATATTATGCCATCGTTGAATTTATACAGTCAGGAATGCAAAAGACTTCTGAGGAGATGGAAAGAATTATTGACAAACACCACTTACGTCAGTACTCAGGAGTTTACGATATGAAACGACTGACAAACTACATTCTATCAAAACTTTCAAAATACCCCTTCAAAAAATATCTTCAAAACACTCTGCTCGTTTGCGACGACTTCGCCGGAAAGGTTTAGTGTCAAAACCAGACTCACCATTAGCTAACATCATTACTAAAGTCAGACATTACCACTTAACTGTAGCAATACTTATGCAAACATGGAGGTTTTTAGCTTTAAACATAAAACGTCTCATAACTGACTTCGTTATCTTTCAAGGTTTCTCACGTTATGATATTGAACTCATTTGGAAACAGTCAGGTATAACATTACCTTTTGAAGAAATTTGGGAAGCATATAAGTCTCTCATCTCTCCTCGTTCATACCTTGAGATTCATATCATGACTAATACCATTAAAGTCAAAAATATTCCATGGGAACGACCAACATTGTTTTAAAGTTTAACCTTCAATTGACTGATGGTAAACAAATTCCATGCATCTCTGTCGCCATTTCTGTTAATATTTTTGCTGTCATTCATATCATCCACTTCCCATCCGTTAGCTTTTGAGGATATGCGTTAGAATAGCTGTTCTTAAATGAAGGCTTTTCACCTTTGAGAGCATAAACTCTATAACTTTCTGCATACTTTATGTTTGAACCTCCTGAGCCATCATTGACATAAATTTTTATAGGCTTCCACCCTTTGTTCATGTTCCTGCTTCTTCCCTTAGCTCTTTTGTTCAGTAGTTCTACATCTTTATACACAGCTCCTGTCTCAGTGAATTCAACAATATTTTCATTCGTTAGCTTTACATTCAAACCCTTGTCGAGTATATTGTTCATTTCATACATATAAAAGGTTTTTATTCTATATGAAATGAGAAGCAAATCCATCTTAGCTGGTGCCGTTAATGTTCCAATTGAACCAACATCAAATGTTGACTCACGAACGACAAACAATATTGTCATAAAGAACTATAGTTCAGAGTGTTTGAAAGAAAAAGAACCAGAACTGAAATCCGTGAATTTAAACTCAGCTTCAAACGCTAACGCTACATCAGATGTTAAGTTAGAGTATCCACCACTGGACCAAATTCTTTCAAGAGAAGCCAACGACAACCCTTACACAAATGTTCAAACAAATCCTTCAGATAACGTAGACCATTACCTTCTTCAGTTATACCAAACAATTTTACTCAAAGACGATAAGAAGCTTTTGACAAATCTTATAAGCAAGAACCAAATAATTCTAACAAAGGAGGACCTTGAAAAGTTATATCACGAATAACAGGGAAACAATGTGTCATTGACTATCTCGACCCTGAAATCGAATGCTGTGGTCAAACGCCACCATTCATGAAAATAGGTAACATCCGCATCATTGAAACACCAGGAACTACAGGAGTTGAGTTTAAGTATAAATATTCGAACGAATATACAAAACTTTCAACAGAATATAAACTTTGTTTGAAATATGTTTTAGTAAATTAAAGCAATTTGTAATATCTATCCAAAACTTCTTCAACAGTATCGAACTCATCTTCATAATGCAAACCTAATCTTATTGACTTGGTGCAGTTTTCACTAACACAATATAGCGCTTTGCGCTCGGCGCCTTTGACGCCTTTTTCTGTTCTCTTGACTGACATAACTAATTCATTTGTTTCATCAAACAGCAACAACCAAAGTTCATGACCTAATACATAACATTCATACTTTATATTTTTAGCTCTGAGTTCTCTTGTAAGCTGTTGCATTTAATATTTTCTAAAAAGTCAACTTCAACAGTCATTCGCACTGGTGCCTTCAGTTCTACAGGCTCGCCTTGAAAGTCAACAAGTCTGAATTGCATGTCTTTCAAATTATGAGGACTAATGCGAATCCATTTACCTAAATGAGTTGCTATGACAGGAACGTTTGGAATGAACATTGAATTGACTGCATAACAGAAAGACTTATATTTACTGAACCTTTACTATTAACTCCTGAAATGCCTGTGACATTAGCTATTTTAGACTCAATGTACAAACAATTACCATAACATACGTATGGAACAGATTTCATCTCAATCGTTTTGTCAACACTTTTCAAAGGAAATGTCATATGGTATGCACCCAGAAGCAATTGAACTCTATGACTCATTCGTGTTATCTTAAACTCCTTTGCATAACTGAACTTCAAAACTCCTGCAATAAGTTTAACATTCATTAAGTTTTCTTCGTTATCCTTGTTTATTGTAGTATTTATGAGAGCATTTAACACTCCAGCTAATGTTTCCATCTTATATTCTACATTATTGTGAAATCTTATTTCGTGCTTCTTTCCATCTATTTCAAACTCCATGAAATCTGTTTCATCTGTTATGACAAAAGTTGCGATAGTATTGAAGTCAACAACTCTGAAAGCAAGTGCTTCATTCTGAAGACCTAAGTTTGTTTGTAGCTTTACTGTCCGTATTCGTTTGGGTCTGTACTTTGCAAATAGAACAACATTTTATTCTCATTAAAATATGAGTATAGCTGCATATGCGTATGAAGCTGACAGAGCTAAACGTTTATATTTTGGTCAATACTCTCTCACACTTACTGACAAATATATTGTTATCAGTGATGGAAATACTGAGAAATACATAACATGGAAGGACTATGAAAAGTTTGACCCTATTTTAACTCCATGTACTTGCCATTCATTGTAAATGGTGAAGTTGTCATGAAGAACGACACAACAGTATATAAGTCTGTATATGAAGCGTTAGAATATATGTTGAATTATAATCCCGAAAGATTTGACCCAAGCACTACACCATGTGCAATGCCTTTTATTAAGGACGGTGAAATCGTAAGAGTTCCGGATTCAACGGTTTACACAGCTGTTCAAAACAGTTTACAAAACATTTTAGCGAATATCTTTAATTCAGAAACTACAGAAATAAAATTACCATATATAACAGATGCTAAAGAAATTAAATCAAAAACGACAACATTATTTACGTCACTTAATGATTTAATGACTTATATCATTAATATTCCTGCACCAACTACAGCATTTGATCCAAACTCGACGGTTTGCAGTGTACCTTTCATTAACGACAGTTCATTAATTACTTTAAGGGATTCGACAGTAAATGAATCATTAAAGGCGTCATTAATGAAAATCATTGATTTTAATTCATTCACGAATACATATAATTCATTCATTAATGTTTCATATGCTTCTAAAGAAGGTGAGCCAAAAACTATCAATAAAGCGGTGTATGAAATAAAAGCATCAACGACGAAATTGAATTCGTTAACTTTTGACGGTGATAGTTTCGTTAATGACATAACATCGGGGAAAACAATTTTAACGAAAGAATACTTAAAATCTCATGTTAGTGAGTTTCGTTGAAATTGAAAAAGAAGGTGGAATTAAGTTCGATCCACTGAATTTCATTTTCAGCTTAGCGAATGCGGGGGTTAGTTTCGCTGAAATGGACAACAATACAGAGTGAAATAAATGCAATATGGACGTTTTTGGGGTCAAAAGCGGGAATGGGTGAGCTTGTAAATGCTGCAAGAACATTAGGTGAAACAGGAAATTTTGTAGATGGTTTTAAAAGACTTGTTTCAAATGTTTTAACAACACAAAGAAATTATTTAGATATACCGTACATAACGGACGGATTTTCGACAGATAGCAACAAACCCTCCGGTTATGGCTGCGTTGATGATGGTTAGAGATATAAAACACGTAACGACGGGAACGAAGAACATGAACAACAGGATACTGGTCGGGTTATTCGAGACATTAAAAACGTGTATCGAAGTTATTGATTTATTTAGAGGTGTTAATGATTCAATTTCAAATCATTCTATAACCCTCGATGAAGAGAATAAATTAACAGATTATATATTCGTCATTATTGCAGAATTAATGAAGAGAATAAATGAAAAAGGAATTGGTGATATCATTAATGTCAGCGATGTAATGATGAAAAGAAATTTTGACTCATTATTTACAAAACCGAAAACAGAATATAGTCTTTATGACGTAATTACCGAATTAATGAAAAAGATTAATGATAATAAGAGTTCTGGCGGAAGAGTTGAATTAGAAGTGAATGATGTTAATGAGAAATTAGCCGAAAAAGCAAACAAAAATGAGCTTTTAGCTCTGAGTGATAAAGTCAAGAACCACGTTCATTATATAACTTCAGACGAACAGATTATAACGGACTACCATGGATATTTAACACGAAGTGATGAAGCGAAGACAAAAAATGTTAATGAAAGAAGATATAAATACATTCGTGCTAAAGGTTATGACATAAGCTGTACTGTACAGTATGATGTAGCTAAAGCACCAGAAGCATTTGGTTATACCGGTGAAATTTATGCCTCTACTTTCAATGTTAACGGTGTATTAGTTGAACCAAGATTTACTTTGAGAGTTAAGGCAAAAATAACGTTTGAAGATGCTATTAAAAGTAAAGCTGACAAAGTTGAACTCGAAGCAATGAACAAAGTTTTGAAATCTCATAAACACAACATCTCCGATATAAATGAACTTCAAGCTACATTAGACAGTAAAGCTGACAAGAACCATACACATAAATCCTTCACTACTGTTAGAGCAGACGACATAATATTGAACTTTGACCTTGGTTCAAGTGCACCATTAGAAAATCCAAGTACAAGCGTAAAAGATACTCTTAACAGTTTAGATAAGAGTTGCAGGAACATTGAAAGTCATGCCAGAAACTTTGAAGCATATGAACTACCAACAATGTTAGATAAGAAAGCAGATAAAACTTATGTGGATGCAGAACTAACAAAGAAATTTTCGAAACCAGATACAATGACATTTACAACAGAAATTATAAATGGTGAACCAGCAACTCCATTTGAATTTGTTAGAGGTCTTCAACCAGATACTTTTGAATTTTTCTTGGATAATTCTATTGAACTAACATTACATTATAAAAGTGGAACAAATGCAACATTTCATCCGGGAGATACATTCCAAATGGTATTTAATGACATAAGTTCTTTAGAATATGTTTATAGAGTTATGAGCATATATGATTTAATATATCCTATAGGAGCTGTTTATACGTCTATGAATCCAATAAATCCAAACACTTTATTTGGTGGTAGATGGTATGAAATAGTTGACAGTTTTCCATTCTACACTAATACGCAGTCAATGAAGATGGGAGGTTCAAAGAAAATAGGTATTGAAAACCTTCCTTCACATATGCATAGGTTCAGTGGAAGAACATCTGTGGAAGGAAACCATTCACATTCAATAACAAAAAGAGGTTATATAAATCTTGCAGCGGGTTCGAATAGACAGGGAATGAACAGATATGATATTCAACTGACCCCAAAGATTAGCACAGGTATTTTCTGTGGAACTGCAGGAAATCATACACATGTTGTAGCTGGTATTACAGACCCAGCAGGTAATGGAAAAGATTATATGCCTCCTTATATAACAATGCACGCTTGGATACGAGTTGGTTAAACTCTTTAACTTTACATAAATGAGCTTGAAAGAAGTATTCGAACAACATCCATGGAGGTCATTTAAGAAGTTCAATGAAGCTGCAAAGAGTGGGGATTTACTAACAGAGCTGAAGTAAAAAGTTCTTTGACAAAAATGTTGTACATCAAACAAAAATAAACCCTTACGACTACTTTTTACCAATTTACTCCAACACTCCTGACGCATACCAATTTGACACTCTCATTCAAAGCAGAAAATGTGGCCATAAACCATTCCTCATCTTCATAAATGTTAACACTCGTAAAGCATATGCATATCCAATGAAAAATAAAGGAACTCGTGAAGTGTTAAGAGTTTTACAAAAGTTTGTAGCAGAACATAACCCAAGTACTTTAACATCAGACCAAGACAGTGCATACCTCAGCAATGAAATCACAGAATTTCTCATTAAGCATAACATAACTCACTACACTACTGAAGACCATAACCATAACATACTCGGCATCATAAACCGCTTCATAAGGACTCTCAGAGATTTAAACCAAGAGCGAGACTTTACCGAAGAAACAATGAAACATTTTCTCGTATATATAATTCCTCAACACATTCTACAACAGGACATACACCAAATTCAATGACACAACAACAAGAAGAAAAGTATATACAAAAGAAACGAAGCCAAACACAAAATATCAGAAATTCAACACAATTTACCCTCATTCCTGGTACAAAAGTTCGTGTAGTTCTTGACGACAAACCGTTGACAAAGAAACGTTTAAGGTTAAGTCGAAATATATTATATCGTAGACTCTACGCAAGGTAATGGATATCTTATAAAAGCTGCCGACGACTCTATTGCGTTTTATCCTCGACATAAATTAGTCGAAAGTAGTAATGGCAAACTTGCTGAAACCATTGACGAAGCAAAGCGAGGAGTGGTTATTGAAATACTTGGCTATAACACAAACGATGACACTTATAAAGTAAGATATGAAGGAGGCGTTGAAGATGTTATACCATCTAAGAACTTGAGAGAGTCGAAGCCAACACATCTGGGACCATTAGAGCGGGAGTACTGGAAAGACAAAAATATGCCAGAAAGAATAAGAAAATTCTTCTAAACTTTTTCATTAGATGTAAATCAGACAAAAATAATAATTTAGGTGAAGAGGTTAGATCTCACCTGTTTTTTCACCTCTTTTTTCACCCCGTGAATTTTCATGAATTTTCACAAAAGACCAAAAATAATGTTTAGGTGAAGAGGTGAGATCTCACCTGTTTTTTCACCTCTTTTTTCACCTCTTGAATTTTCATGAATTTTCCCGAAATAAAAAATAAAGTTAGTTTTATTTTTTTATTTTTTTATTTTGTATAAAAGATATGATTTCAACAATCGGCACAACAACAATTCAAACAACAACAACAGCACCAAACTCGTTAGTCATGAATCCTACGTCAATGTTAGTAGAGATGAAAAACTTCATTCCTTCTTCATATACTTTCGAAACAAAAATCCAGAAGATAAAGCAAGAACTTTTAACAAGTAATTTAGACTGTAGTGCGAAAGATGAAGAAAATGAAGAATATCTTTATGAAATGCAGGACATTATTGACCATTTACCCAAATTGCCTGAAATCCAACAACAAAAACTCACTATTCCTGAATTCGACGAAATTGAAGTGAAACCAACTGACTCAGTAGAAATAAAGAAGTTCATACGTAAAGTAAATTATGAATTCCTTGGTTTTCATTGCAACCATAAGGTTATGGACAAAGATTGCGACATGGTATATAAAAACATTTCTGACATATATAAATCTGAGGAGTTTAAGACTTACGATAACTTTGTTTCATTAGTTGCAAAATGTGTTTGGGAAATAAGAGATAAAGATAGAAGAGGCAAAGTATGGAACGAACAAATAAGACCCGCTATGTTTGAGATGAAGAGAGCAATTGACGCCTTAGTTGTTTTAGCTGGTTTTATTTCAATGTATAACGCAAAAATGAACCCGCAATGTTCAAAATGTAAGGCAGCAATTAGGAAATATAACTACTCAGTCAAAGAGATAGAAAGAATGAGAAACGACTATGCAGACTTAAAGAAAGAAGCAGAAAAGCCAGCAGAAGATAAAATGAACATGTTAGAATTTCTGAACAAAAACTATCCAACAGCAGAAGATTTCCTTCTATCTGACGTCAAGAAGAAGTATAAAGAAACCTTCGGTATTGTTAAAACTTTTGACATACTGACAGAAGAAATAGAAGCTACGAAATTGTTTAGGATTTCAAATATACATCGTACAATTCATGTAAAACGCTTGTGAAAAAACTGGGGTGAAAAAAGAGGTGAAAAAACAGGTGAGATCTCACCTCTTCACCTAAATTATATTTTTGTTCAAAGCTTCCACGAGAGAAAAGATTCCTCATTCGCTAAGGATTCCAAAAATGAAAAAATCATTGATTTCGGCTGAGAAAAAACAGCAAAACCCTTCTTCCACGGGAACAAAGAAATAAAGAAGAAATAAAGTAAATTTTTTATTTATTCCCGTGGAAGATAGAGCACTTTTATGACACTTTTTATTCACGACAAACAAGACAAACAAAGAAAATAAGAAAATACGGCGCTGTCGCGGTTCGAACCACAGACTCTGACCCCTCCATAACACCACCTTAGACCACTGTGCTACGTAGCCTGTCGACATAAGATTTTATAAATTGCATATTTGACGTAAATTTATTTCCATCTAGCTTCCCACCGCATAAGATATTCATACGTGTTTGTAAGACATTCATTAAACTTCTTTTCTATTGCATCTAATCTTGCGTTATTTTTTTCAATAGCTTGTCTGTATTCTTCATCATCTCCAGCAGTGTTTGGGTCTTCACGTTTAAAATATTCATTGTTAACCAATTTTTTATCTACAAATTTTATTAGTGTTTGATTCACTTCGTTATGATAACGGTCATATTCTTTCAATACGTAAGTGAAGACAAAATGCGTCGTACCTTCAATCTTAAAGCTTAAAGAACTTTCAACACAGTTTTGAGGGTCTGTCAGTGCGTCAATGAGATAGTATTCGAAGTCAGTCAATAATCTTTTTAAAGTCATTTCATACAGGATAAAATTTAATGTTGTGAAGAAATAGTGTTTATCTCAGAAAAAATAACGCTAATTTTATTTTTATTTATTTTTTTTATTTTGTATGTAAAGACAGTAATGACAACATCAGAGAACACAACAACAGTTATAGTCCATGAAGCAATAAATGAAGAATACGAGTACATACAATATAACAAACAGTTACGTCTCATTCGTTCAGTCAAAGATGACATGTACCAAATGCAAAGTATTTTGACAGCATGTTATGCTCCAGATACTAAACTTCCTAAAGACTGGTTTAGGAACCAAAGCACTATTGAACTATTAAATGAAGCACAGCGAGACATACTTTTTTCTGAAAACAGTGAAGAACAGCGAGTAGGTAAAAAACCCCAGTCGCCAAAACTCTATGAAAATCGTGAAAAATTGCCAAACGGTTTGAGAGGATATTATGTTCATAGACTTCTCGTAAATGTTGTAGCAATGTGGGCTTCACCTCGTTATGCTTGGTATGTTTGTAAACTTCTTGACGAAATTCACAGACAAGAACGCGAACAGATGGAAAAGAAACTTCAAGCAAAAGATGAAGTCATTGAATCCAAAGACAAAAGCATACAGAAAAGAATACCACGTTCAGTACCAAAAGGAAAGGAAAAGAGTTATAAGTATATGATTTACGCTGAAGAGATGGAAAATGAAGAAGACAGAGATATGGTTATGTTGCATTTAGTCAGAAGAAACAACAAAAGCTTTTATGACCTTGCTAAGATTTACAAATCTGACAGAAACTGGTTCTATCGTGAAAACTTACCGATTTCAATGACACCGAATGAGCAAATAAAGGAAATTGTCAAAAATACTCTTCCTCAAACACACTATGACATCAAAGGTTGCACAATACTTACATTCAAAGAAGACTTACCATTGTTAAAGGAAAAAATAACAGAGTATTTCGATAACTTCAAAGAGGAAGAATGAAAATCTAAGCTAATTTTATTTTTTTTTATAAAATTTTATCTCATATGAAAGAACATGAATTTAGAATATTCGGAACTCATGACAGAAGAGGAGAACGAACAGCATGTAAAAGATTATGCAAAATTTATGAAGACATACAAAGCATTTAAACAATATCTAAATGCTTCTAAAGATTATGCAAAATTTCTGAAGGTATATAAAGCTTATGAAAAAGCGTATGAAAAGTTTATACATTGGGGAATTGTTGTAAAATATCCATATGAAGACTAACCAAAAATATATTTTTGCTTAAATAGCTTCAGGGTCAATTTCTTCAACCATTTCACTTCCTTCGTCAATGTCAATTGAAGCTTCTTCAACCTTTGGTAAGAATTTCTGTATAACATCTTTGTTCGTTATTGTCTTCAGAGATGAAGGATAATATTTCACATTTGTTTCACCCTTCTTATATTCTTTCTGTTCGGAAAGATTCATAGCAATACTGAAGAAGTCAATGTTAGAGTTCTTTATGACAGTATAATGAGTATCTTTGACATTCACGAAGAAACTCTTTTGTTTCAAAACTACTGCTAACTCTTGTGAAGTATAACGTTTGCGGTCAATGACGATAGCTAATGGTCTGACATACTGACCAAACTTAGATTCTTTCACAAACTTCTTGTTAAAGATAATATTAACATTTGAAGCATTATTGAACTCATTCTTGATGGCAGTAGCGAGAGCATTGTATGAAAAGAACTTGCAATCTTGCATGTGTTTCATTAAAATAAAAATATTAAATTATTTTGAAAAATAACTTAAAAAAAATCTAATCTAATTTTTTCAAAAATATTTTTTTTATTTCCTACTAAAGATGTATCGGAAGTTGTCTAAGTTAGAACACTCGGAAATAAAACAACTTCTTACAGAAGCTAATATAGATGTTGCAAAGCATTACGCAACAAACAAAAAAAGCACTCGCTGACTTCATTAAAGACTATAATGGTGCAATAAGTTATGATAGAATTCATGAGTTCATAAAGCCGCAACGCGGCGAGGACGAAGTCCATGCAATAGCATTTCCTTTAAATGACGTTGCTATTGACTTATATCATAGACGTTCAGTACCTCATGAAGTAAGAAGAGAGATGTTTGACATAACAAATGCGAACGTTGGTCATACTCGTAAAGCTCTTTCGCATGAAGTAAGAAGAGAAATGTTTGACATAACAAATGCGAACGTTGGTCATACTCGTAAAGCTCTTTCGCATGATGTTCGTCAAGAGATGTTTGACATAACAAATGCGAACGTTGGTGAAACAAGAAGAAGAGACGACACACTGAAACAACAGAGAAGAGAGATGTTTAAGAGCGCTATAGAACAAGTTCGCAAAGCTAACGATGTCATTCGTTCCATTGACGACAAACCAAAAGAAGGTGAGAGATGGTTAAAGAAAGATGAAGAGAATAGGAAGAGAAATGTGAAGTCAGGCAATAGACTCATTGACTTTAACATCGAAGCTTTAGATGAACCAAACAGAGACTACTTACACAAACATTTCGGTAAGGTTTTCATGAGACTCTTAGAGAAAATTAAAATAAACTCACAACAGAGATGGATGGTATGTTATAAACTTGGTGGAAAGTATGAATGTTCTACGTTAAACCTCAATAATATTGGAACATTACTACATCAGCTCTTGAAGGAGAACTTTATATCAGAGATAGAAGCAAATGCCGCAGGTATTGTTGAAATGCACTATGACTTCTTCTTGACAAACATAAAGAATCTTACCGAAATAAAGATGTATGATTTAACAGAATATGAAGGCTTAACGATGTCAGATGTAAAGAAAGGCAAACCAAAAAAGAGACCATATAGAGATGAAAGCACACTGACAAATGACCAGAAAGCCATTTTGGAAGCTCTTAAGCAAACAGGAAACCCAGCACTTATAGAAAGCTTTTGGAAAGATAATGGTGAAAAGAAGTTTTATAAGAAGAGAAGCGGTCAGTTCTGGAAGTATCTTTGCACATTACCTATAAATCTTGAACGCTACCAAATCTTCAATGAACTGAACAAAAGAACTGCAACACTTATGACAGAGGACAATTGTTTCGTTTATGCTTGCATTCAGGCTGGAGTAAATGAAGAAACTATTGACCACATGAGAGAAGTCATTCGTGTTAGAGACTTTCCTCAAAGTAAAGTACAAGAAATTTCTGACGCAACAGGTATATCATTTAATGTTACCATTGGTTATTTCAATGAGTCAAGACATAATGAAATAAAGAGATATATACCAAAAGAATGCGAAACTGTTAGAACTATTGACTTACTTCTTGTTGAAGACCACTACATGCTAAATGAAAGATTACCAATGACAACATACTTCATTCGAAACTATAAAGAAATTCTCAAAGCTTGTGGTGGAATGAACATTGAGAAACAGATGAAGATTTATACAAAGAGAGAAGATAAATATGTAGTTCGTTATGATAGAACAACACCGTTATGGGATGTTATGAAAACATTGTGGGAGTGCAAATATTTCGAACCTATTTCTTATGGAGAACTTTTCACATATACTACTGACTTATATAAACAGAACCTTGCACCATTTAAAGATTTGACATATGCTCCAAAGTATTGTGTACAACTGAAGAAGAAAGCAGAGTCAAAAGAAGTAAATAAAGCTAAATGTAAATTCATACCTGAGCACGTTTTCTTTGCTGACTTTGAGTGTAGTACGGATGGCTTTCATAAAGCTTTTAACATCTGTTATGACAGTGAAGATGGTTCAGTTAGTGAAAGCATTTGGGGTCAAAACTGTGCAACAGAATTTTTGGAAAGACTTCCTGACAAGAGTTTAATATATTTCCATAACCTCAGTTATGACATAAACTTCATCTTAAGACACATGACAGAAGTGAAAGGAACTCCCATCATTAAAGGTTCACGAACAATGCAAATAACTGGCTTATATAAAGGACGGGCAATTATTATAAAAGACTCTTACAGTGTTATAAATAAGAAGCTTAAACTATTTCCTGCTATGTTTAACTTACAAACAGGACCGAAAGAAGTATTTCCATATAACTACTACAGCAGTGTTTTGTTAGCAAATGACAACAGAACTGGTGTCATTTCTGAAGCATGTAAGTTTATCCATGATGCAGATACATTTATGAAGAACATAGATTCCATCAAAGGTTGCAGAATAGATGAAAACCACTTCGACTTAGAAAAATATAGCACGTTTTACTGCAAACAAGATGTAAGAATTTTAAGAGAAGGTTTTGTAAAGTTCCGCAATGACTTATTGAAAGAGTTTGATTTAAACGTTTATGACTACGTTAGTATTTGTTCTATTGCTAACAAATTGTTGAGAACAGAGTATACTTCCCGAATGGAAATCTTTATGACCTCTCAAATAAACCAAGAGAATTTATTTCGAGATGCATTCAAGGTGGAAGATGTATGTTGTCAGATAACATGAAACAAAAGAGCAAAAAGAAACTCATTGCTGACTTCGACACTGTTTCATTATATCCTTCAGCTATAGCAAGACTTTATACTTTAGAAGGTATTCCAAAAGTATTGAAGGATGAGATGTTAAGCACAGAGTATCTCATGAGACATTTATTCGATGATGACCAAAAGGAACCCATTGGTGAAAAGTTTATGTCTGGCTTCTTTGTTCTCATTAAGATAACAGAGATTGGTATACCCAGACACTTTCATTTAATAGTTTGCGACCCTGAACTAAATCCAGAACTTAACGTTCCAAGAAGTTCAAACACTTGCTGTCTCATGTATGTTGACCATATAACATTACAAGACCTCATAAAATATCAAGGTGTCAAATGTGAAGTGTTGCAAGGATACTATTACGATGGAAACAGAGATATGAGAATAAGAGATGAAGTAAAGAAGTTGTTTGAGTTAAGGTTAAAGTATAAGAAAGAAGAAAACCCCTTACAAGAAATTATTATAAAACTCATTCTGAACAGCATTATGGCAAAACTATTCTATCTCCTATTGAGTCAAAAATAACCATAGTAAATGACAAAGATGCTATAAGATATGCTATAAGAAATTACAACCATATAGTGAAGTTCGAAGGTTTGGATGGGTTCAGATAAAACTATTTTCAAGCTAACGAAAAGCATTTGCAGACACTTTAACTTCTGTCCACTTGGTGTTAATATTCTGTCTATGTCAAAACGTATTATGAATGAAGTATTTCTGTACTGCAGAGGACATGGGACTTCAAATCTTTTACCAGGATACGACAGTATGCACTTATATAATGAAGACATCCCAAAGCTTGCAGCAGAGTTTAAGAAGAGATATGGTCGCGAACTTATAGGAAAGAACCTTGGTCAATTTCATAGCGACTTTGCAGAAAAACCCCTGGAAAACAAAGTTTAGCTTATAAAAGTATTTTCTGTGGAAAGAAGACCTTACATAGACTTACTCACTAACGATTTAAATGAAGTTGCATTTCACTGCAGAATGAAAGGCGTGAAGCAAGATGTTATTGCTTTAACCGCTAATGAAATGTTTCCTGAAGCTATACAATGCTATTACAATGAAGATAAGAACATTCACATACCTGTTGGAACATATGACAAAGACTCTGAGTTCAGTTTAATGAAACTTTACAAAGCACTTCATGATGGTCAAGAGATTGCATTCGACTTATGTAAGTCATGTCAACCTTGCTTTGCTGAAAAGTTCAACTTTTCAATAACGACTAAAACAAGCTTTATTCGTAAGTTGAAGTTCTGAGGTCATTTATTTTTGTCAGCAATGAGGTCATGAATGAGGTCATGAATGAGGTCATTCGTGATAAAAATAAAGCTAGCGTAGATTTTACAATACTGCGATGGTAGAGTTTAAGAGTTGTGCTTCAATGTAGAGACAGTCCTTATGGTCTGGAGGCAAGAACACTGGACATTTATGGTCATGAGTGGAGAACATGTCTATCCAAAACTCACGATTGAAGCCAGTTAATTTATAGTATTTAGGGTTAGGAAGTGGTGAAGTTCTTGTATGACCAATGAACTCATTTTCAACTCCTTTACTTAAGTTTGAATATAATATAGCTTGCTTTCTATCCCAAATGCCAGGTGTTACAATCTTTGAAAATTCATTTTTCCTCGGAAGCATTGCATCATAATTGAAAACATTCTTAAAATCATCACTTGGTTCGGAGATTTGAAATCTTATACGTAATGGATTTTTTTTCTCTTTAGCGACTTCATTGAATGGTGAGAATACAATGAATTGACAGTCATGAGTTCCATCTTCATTTTCATTAAATTCATAATGAAAGTCTATAAGTTGTGGCTGACTACCTTCTTCTTTCAGTTGTGCAAGAAACTCACGTAAAGGCTGTAAAGTTTGTACTTCAATGTTGAACTTTTTCTCGAACATCTCATTAAATGAAATCATACATTGCAACAATGTTGTATCGTCTTTAAAGTATTTGTATATGTGAATGTTTTGGGCGCTTAAAGACTGTTCGTCATTTTCTATCTCGACTTGAAGTATAAAGTCAACCTTTCTGAAAGCACGTGTTATATACATAGATGTTATGCCAATGTACTTCTCTTCATTTATGTTCACAATCCAGTCTGTTGGAAACTTAAACGTTACTCTGTTCCCCTTTATTTTGACGTCAGGGTTTTCACTACTGAACGCAACAGATAAAGGTATTTGTCTATACATTTAGTTCGGATAAAAATAAACCATTTACTCTTTCTTTGCTTCAGCTTCTTCTCTAGCTTTCTTTGCCAGCAAACGTGGGTTCTTTTGTCTTCCAGCAGCTAATGCAGCAAGTTGTTTTTCACTAAGTTTTCTCTTTGGTCTCTCTGGCTTTTGTTCTTGTTTTTGTTCCTTCAGTTCGGATAAAATTTGCTCACGAATTTCTTTCTTCAATGCTTCAACATCTATGACACCTTGGGTCTTGTCCGTAGGGCTTGTCTGAGTCATTTGATTGCAGATAAAAAACAAAATTAAAACTTTAACCGATGTAAAATGAGCTTGTCAAAATCAGAGCGAGAGTCTATTATATTAAATGACGCAAGAGGAATACAACATCCTTTCTATTACGTAAGTCAGAGTAAAGATGGTAAAATATACGTAAGAAAAAGAAAGGTACCATTAGCGAATGCAGAGAGCGACAACATTAAGGTGCATGGCAAGGGTGAAGTCCATGAAGTCCATATAAAACCTTCTGTTCAAACTGAGCCACCAAAAGAACAAGAAGAAAAGAAGCCAGATGTACTTTCAATAACGAACCAAGAGCTTATTGCAAAGTTCGTGAATTTCATTGAAAAACAAACCGAGTCAAAGAACCCTGACCCGCCAGTGAAAGAAGTTGAGACAAAAGAGAATGTACAGTTCATTGAAAATGTCAAGAAACAACTTCCACCACGAATGCCAAGAAGAAGAGTGAGAATAATGAAGTAAATAGATATTTTTATCTGAAGTAAATACATGCAGAACGAACAGCTAAACGAATTTACTCCAGCAGAGCATATTCATCAGATTCGCTCATATTTCGATATCATAGACAATGCAGTTCAAATTGGTGACACTAATAGAAAATATTCTGACGCAAAGATTCCATCACAACCTGGAACTGCTAAAGATAACACATGGGTAACATTCAATCTCTCACCTCCTGGTGAAAATATGTTGGACCTTTACAATACATTCATTACGTATAAAATGGAAGGTCAATTTATTGTAGATAAAGAAATTGGTTCAGGTTCCAATAAAACAAACCCACCAGGATTTTGGATTGGTTTCGATGACGCTTTCTATGCAGTTGCTGGATATCAAATCCTTGCAAATGGTCGTATCGTATATTCTCAAGACAACGCAAGAGAAGAAGCATATATAACTTCAAACTCACAAACTACCGAACAAATAAAGAAAGTAGATGTTTTCTCAAAGACTCGACATGAAGATGTATGGAGTCATTCGGGAACATGCAGAACAGGACAAATTGTTAGTGGTCCAATTACAGCAGGAAAATCATTTGATTTTAAGCTTCGTTTAAGAATTCCTGTTAGAAAGTTTTTACCATTAGAAGCTATAAGATTTATTCCAGCTTTTGCAGGAAACATTCAGCTTAAAGTAAAGTTCAGTAGCGACGCCTTACAATGCACATCTATATCTGTAAATGATATCATTGCTTTCAATCCAACTCTTAAAGTTGCATTTGCTTCAGATTCAAATCCACCGACAAATAAATTTGTTCCATGGAATGAACCATTCACTATGATAACGAAGGCAGTAGAAGCTAGTGGAACAGTTACTATTACAACTGTAACCCAGCAACTATTTCGAACAAAGATGGATTTTAATGAATGTTTCATTCATCCAAAGTCATTCTCTTTAGACCCTAACATTTATACAGAACTTGTAGAACATTATACAAACGAGGCTTTATGTTTTCCTGTTAAAGTTATGGATTGGATTCCTATGGACGGTTCATTCTCAAAGAATACAGATAGTTCAAGTGCAACATTTACAGCAGCTTATACGCCTATTAATGTTAAAAGTATTTGGGCACTATTTAGAAAGAAAGACAACTATTATGTTAATTTTGAGAACCCTAAGTTTAAATATCTTCAGCTTTCCATGGGAGCTTATGGAAATATGCCTGCAGAACCTGAAAAATCATATGGACCTGTATTTTATGAAATGGTTGCGAACGCTTGCAATACAAACAATGATATGATAGGATTTAATGAAGATGTTATGAGGTCATTGGTGGATGATGGTAGTGTGGAACATAAATGGGATAGCTATGACAACACACATTTCTTATGTGGTTTTCCAACAGAAGTGGACTTTTGCTTCCAACAAGGTCAAACATCTACTGCTCCAATAACATACAAATTGTCTGTTAAAGGACCTATTGAACTAGCAACTGAAAACGTACCAAAGCCACTTATTGGATTTATGAGGGATTGTTGCTTTGCCATTCAGGTGCGTGCTAATGGCATCCCCATAATAAGATTAGATGACTATAACTTAGCACGGACGACAGTGAGGAATAAAGGATGAACGTTTATTTTTAAAGCTTATAAATGAGTTCTTCATCAAGCTCTCGCGAACCTTCACCATCTATGAAACAAACTTTACCAAACGATTATGGAGCACCTATTGAATATTTCTTACGAGCTGCACAATGGCAAAGAGCAGTTTCACCAAGGTTAGGTGTTCCACCAGCTCCTGTCAAAAATAGCATTTGGTCAAGTCCTTATATAAGATATGGTCTCCCACTAGGTTTGCTAGCTACAGCAGGAGCAGTTATGATGTTGAAAAGAAATAAAGCAAATGTTATAAATAATACTGAAGTAGCTGAAGTTAAACAAACTCCAACACATTCGCCAAAACCAACGCCTTCACAAGCAAAACCTTCAATAACTCCTGAACCTATGGAAGTACAAACTCCTGTTCAAAAGTCAACTCCTAAACCGACTCCAACATTTAAACCAGAACCCACGCCTCAAATAAATCGTAAAACTCCTGCGTTTCCTTACTGAAAAAATAACGTTATTTTTATTTAATATTAAAATTTTTATTTGATTGAAATGACAAATAAAGTCACTGAAGCAATGAAACAAAAGTTTTTGGTAGAATACATTAAATCAGGAACTATTCCAGAAGGTTTTTACATTCATACTATGAAGGATGGTAGAGTTCAGTTTAGAAAGATAAAGCAACCATTAGATAAAGAAGGAATTTTGAGAAAGATTAAACTTCATGAGGACAACATTGCTGAACTTAAGAAGAAGTTAGAAGAGTTGGAGAAAGGAAGAGAGTTATAAAGTAATGAGAACGTTTATGTTATGAGAAATTTTTAACGTTAGTTTTATTTTTACTGAAAATTTTTATTTGGATGTAATGACGAAAACTATTGAGATAACAAACTACAACGGTCATGAGTTCAAGAACTTGTTCTTCGTTCCTCGTGAAAATACATTCTATCAGATACGAGGGAGAAAGGGTAAAGTTAGTTTAAGCATTTATGACAACAAACATAATGGGAGATATATAAAAGCAATAGATACAAACGGTAAGCGTGTTTCATTAGCTTTGTCAAAACTTACTAACATTTATTTTGACAGTGACTTTGACTCTGACGATTGGAGTGACAGCAGCGATACTGAAGAATATGAACTATTGTGTGAAGCACAGCAATGGGAAGCGCTGCAATACTTTTGTAAATGAGAACATTAGTGGGAACGTTAGTGAGAACGTTTATTTTTTCATTAGTGAAGTCGTTAGCGAAATGTTGGTGAGGTGAAGTGGTTGGTGGTTTTGTAAATATTTAAGGTTAAGTTAGTGTTTGTGTTTGTGTTGTAAAATATACATTAGCGGTTTTGTAAAGTGTCAACCCGTTATCTTGGGTAAGGTGGAACGCAGTGCCGCCGTACCCAAGATAGGGATACTAACTATTGGGAATTTCAAGAAAAATACGACTCTTTACTAAATGGAACATACTATCTGAAACTAGAATATGACAAGATGAACTCCACCGTTTCATTTCAAAAGATTGAAATTAACCCTCCAAAAGATACAGAGTTTTTATTTTGGAAAGTAGACAAACGTTCTTGGGCACAATTTCTTCGGTTACTAAACCAGAACGAACCATTACCACCAGATGGTCCATTTAAATTTATACTTCCACCAGCAGATTTGACAGTTTATAGAAACGTGTTTGACCCTCAAAATGTTATGTGTCATGCAAGTTTCAGTTCAAGCAACAATAGTTTTCTATGTATTGGTAAGGACTTTTATGACTTTGCTTCTAAATTCTACGAACCACCTAGTAACAGTTTCTCTGACTTTCAAGTTTGGTTCACAACAAATGGTGTGCAACATATTATTCCATTGTACTATGACTTTTATCTCGAATTGTCTTTCATATATAACTACGGAAAAGTGCTGAAAAAGTATTGAATGTGAAGTTTAGGTGAAGTGGTGAGATCTCACCTGTTTTTTCACCTGTTTTTTCACCCGTTGAATTTTCATGAATTTTCCCGAAATAAAAAATATATTTAGGTGAAGTGGTGAGATCTCACCTCTTTTCTCACCTCTTTTCTCACCTCATGAATTTTCATGAATTTTGTGCTGAAAACATAGCACAAAAATACTTTTAGGTGAAGTGGTGAGATCTCACCTGTTTTCTCACCTGTTTTCTCACCTGTTGAATTTTGTTGCTGAATTCGGCAAAAATATATTTTAGGGTAGATGGTTTTTAGGTGTCACCAGGTCCCTCGGTTAAACGAACTTCTCTGAAAAAATGAGACAACATGACATTTTGACAACAACACAGGAAATAAACTTCTTCGTATATGTTTTGTCATGATTTCATCGTAAATGTTTTGTCAAACATGAACGTATATGTTTTGTCATGATTTCATCGTAATGAGCGTAAATCAGACAAAAATATATTTTAGGTGAAGTGGTGAGATCTCACCTCTTTTCTCACCTGTTTTCTCACCCGTTGAATTTTGTATAAAAAAGCAACCGTCGAAATTCCGGCGGTTGCTATATTCTTCACAAAATGCTTGTTTTGAGGTCGAGCCACTTTTGGCTCCATCGTATTCTTTCAACCAAAATTCTTGAGTTTTGTTCTGAATTCAATAAAAATATATTTTAGGTGAAGTGGTGAGATCTCACCTCTTTTCTCACCTGTTTTCTCACCCGTTGAATTTTGTATAAAAAAGCAACCGTCGAAATTCCGGCGGTTGCTATATTCTTCACAAAATGCTTGTTTTGAGGTCGAGCCACTTTTGGCTCCATCGTATTCTTTCAACCAAAATTCTTGAGTTTTGTTCTGAATTCAATAAAAATATATTTTAGGTGAAGAGGTGAGATCTCACCCGTTTTCTCACCTGTTTTCTCACCTCTTTTCTACCATCGTAGAAAACACACAAAACTCTTGAATTTTGTTGTTCCCGGACCAAAAAATATATTTTAGGTGAAGAGGTGAGATCTCACCCGTTTTCTCACCTGTTTTCTCACCTCTTTTCTCACCCGTTGAATTTTCCCGAAATAAAAAATAAAGTTAGTTTTTTTAAAAAAATATTTTTTATTTTTATTGTAAGAACATGTTAGCAACAACAGCACCAAACTCGTTAGTCATGAACCCAACTTCAATGTTAGTAGAGATGAAAAGCTTCATTCCTTCTTCATATACTTTCGAAACAGAAATCCAGAAGATAAAGCAAGAACTTCTCCAAGGAGATTTAGATTGCACTGCGAAAGATGAAACAAATGAAGAATATCTTTATGAAATGCAGGATATTATTGACCATCTACCTAAACTTCCTGAAATCCAACAACAAAAGCTTACTATTCCAGAATTTGAAGAAATAGAAGTCAAAGCAACTGACTCAGTTGAAATAAAGAAGTTCATACGTAAGGTTAACTATGAGTTTCTTGGATTTCATTGCAACCACAAAGTCATGGACAAAGATTGCGACATGTTATATAAGAATGTTTCTGACATATATAAATCGGAGGAGTTTAAGACCTACGACAACTTTGTTTCGTTAGTTGCTGAATGTGTATGGCAGATAAGAGATAAAGATAGAAGATGTAAAATATGGAACGAACAAATCAGACCTACATATTCTGAGTTAAAGAAAACCATTGACGCCTTAGTTGTTTTAGCTGGTTTTATTTCAATGTATAACGCAAAAATGAACCCGCGATGTTCTAAATGTAAAGCGGCAATTAGGAAATATAACTACTCCGTCAAAGAGATAGAACGTATGAGAAACGACTATGCAGACTTAAAGAAAGAAGCAGAAAAGCCAGCAGAAAATAAAATGGACATGTTAGAATTTCTGAACAAAAACTATCCAACAGCAGAAGATTTCCTTCTTTCAGATGTCAAGAAGAAATATAAAGATACATTCAATATTGTGAAAACTTTTGACATACTGACAGAAGAAATAGAAGCCACAAAATTGTTTAGAATTTCAAATATACATCGTACAATTCATGTAAAACGCTTATAAAAAAAAGAGGTGAGAAAAGAGGTGAGAAAACGGGTGAGATCTCACCTCTTCACCTAAAATATATTTTTGCTGAGTAAAATGACCAAATTTCATTATATAACTGTTATTTTTTTACGAAGAGAACTTTGACACTTCGTCAAAAAAATCCCTGAAATCATATCTTTTATACAAAATTCAAGAGGTGAGAAAAGAGGTGAGAAAAGAGGTGAGATCTCACCTCTTCACCTAAAATATATTTTTGCCGAGTAAAATGACCAAATTTCATGAATTTCCTCATATGTTTGCTACCCTCGAAAAACTGAGGGAAGAGATTCCATTCGAAAACAGTGAAAAAATGACCAAATTTCATTATATAACTGTTATTTTTTGACGAAGAGAACTTTTGCACTTCGTTTAAAATACACTATTTTTGTGTTATTTTTTACGAAGAGAACTTTTGCACTTCGTCAAAAAAATCCCTGAAATCATATCTTTTATACAAAATTCAAGAGGTGAGAAAAGAGGTGAGATCTCACCTCTTCACCTAAAATATATTTTTGCCGAGTAAAATGACCAAATTTCATTATATAACTGTTATTTTTGACGAAGAGAACTTTGACACTTCGTAAAAAAAATCCCTGAAATCATATCTTTTATACAAAATTCATGAAGAATACGAGTGGGTTCAGTTTAACAAACAACTCCGTCTCATTCGTTCGGTCAAAGACGATATGTACCAAATGCAAAGTATTTTGACAGTATGTTTTGCTCCAGAAACCAAACACGCAGACGACTGGTTCAAAAACCAAAGCACACAAGAATTTTTGAGTGAAATTTCTCTAGACCGACTTTTTTCGGTCTTGCATAAAACACATGAAAACAGTGAAAAAATGACCAAATTTCATTATATAACTGTTATTTTTTGACGAAGAGAACTTTTGCACTTCGTAAAAAAAATCCCTGAAATCATATCTTTTATACAAGATAGAAAAAACCCAGTCGCCAAAACTCATGAAAATCGTGAAAAATTGCGAGTAGGGAAAAAACCCCAGTCGCCAAAACTCTATGAAAATCGTGAAAAAATGACCAAATTTCATTATATAACTGTTATTTTTTGACGAAGAGAACTTTTGCACTTCGTAAAAAAAATCCCTGAAATCATATCTTTTATACAAGATAGAAAAAATAAAGTTAGTTTTTTTAAAAAAATTTTTTTTTATCTTGTATGTAAGAACAGAAAATGACAAACATTGAGTTTGAAACAGTTAGAAAGATAGACAATGACACTAAAGTGGTTAGAATTGGTGATTTAAACGTAAGATACTCAAAGAAATACAACAAATATTCTTTGTCAGACATTCTAACACTATCTGGAAAAAACATCCCACGACTGGGTTAGAACTGCTTCTACTCAGAAAATTTTGACAAGAAATCCTGAGCTTATGATATCAGTAGCATTTCATGGAACTACAGCATATCTCATCGACAAAAGTCTTATACCAATAGTTTTGTTATGGTTAGACCCAGTTGTTGGATATAACTTCATAACATATGGTTCATTCGATACGGAACGTTGCAGTGAAGGCTTACTTTACATCGTTCAGAAACCGAAGGACTTCAATACAAAGAGATATAAGATAGGAAGAACATATAATATAACTAAAAGATATGACAGTATAGTCAATAGAGTCAAGGTTGTGTTTGTGAATGATATGAGAGCTGCAGAAACAGAACTACTTGAAAAGTTTGAGAAAATGTATGGTGCTCCCACGAAAGGTAAAGAAACGTTTGAAGTAGATGAGATAAATAAAGCTATAAAATTATTTGACGAAGTTGCTGAAAAATACATGTAAAGCGTTTATTTTTGGTCTTTTGTGAAAGTCAGAAAATAACGCTAGTTTTTTTAAAAAAATTTTTTTATTTTGTATGTAAAGACAGATATGTCAACAACAGAGAACACAACAACAGAGAACACAACAACAGAGAACACAACAACTGCTATCGTTCATGAAGATATAAATGAAGAATATGAGTACATACAGTATAACAAACAGTTACGTCTCATTCGTTCGGTCAAAGATGACATGTACCAAATGCAAAGTATTTTGAATGCTCTTCGTTCTACAAAGCAAGCATATCATTGGTTTGAAAACCAACAGACAAAAGAACTTTTAGAAGAATTTCCTCATATGTTTGCGACCCTAGGAAAATCGAGGGTCGAGATTCCGTACGAAAATCGTAAAAATTTGCCAAATGGTTTGAGAGGTTGGTATGTACATAGACTTCTTGTAAATGCTGTTGCAATGTGGGCTTCACCTCGTTATGCTTGTTATATTTTCATGATGTTAGATGAAATTCATAGACAAGAACGTGAAGAGATGGAAAAGAAACTTCAAGCAAAAGATGAAGTCATTGAAGCAAAAGACAAAAACATACAGAAAAGAATACCACGTTCGGTACCAAAAGGAAAGGAAAAGAACTATAAGTATATGATTTATACTGAAGAGATGGAAAATGAAGAAGACAGAGATATGGTTATGTTGCATTTAGTCAGAAGAAACAACAAAAGCTTTTACGACCTTGCTAAGATTTACAAATCTGACAGAAATTGGTTCTATCGCGAAAACTTACCGATTTCAATGACCCCAAATGAAGATGTGAAACAAATAGTTCAAGATACGTTACCTCAAACACACTATGATATGAAAGGTTGTACAATACTTACCTTCAAAGAAGATTTGCCATTGTTAAAGGAAAAAATAACAGAGTATTTTGACAACTTCAAACAAGCAGAGTAAATGAACCATTTATTTTTCAAGCTTGACTTCAGATGGCTCAGGTAGCTCTATAAGGTAAATTGTCTTGTCAAATCCTTCTGGCATTCCGAGTCCTTCCATCCGACAGGAAAAAAATTTCCTTCCGACAGGAAAAAAATTTCCTTCCGACAGGAAAAAATTTTCCTTCCGACAGGAAAAAATTTTCCTTCCGACAGGAAAAATTTTTCCATCCGACAGGAAAAATTTTTCCAGTTGTCCGTCCGTAAACCATTCAAATTTTCGAAAATTGAGAACTTTTTGGTCGAACTTCAGAAAAAAATTTTCCATCCGACAGGAAAAATTTTTCCATCCGACAGGAAAAAATTTTCCTTCCGACAGGAAGAACTCTTCCATCCGACAGGAAAAATTTTTCCTTCCGACAGGACACAAACGGATGACTGACGTTCCTCTTCCTGAATGCCTTCCAAAGCCAGAAGAACCGACAGCCCCAGCACCACAACAGACTTACTAAGACTAAACACTTACATTTTTCAAGCTTGACTTTTTACAATTTGAACTTTGTTTGCGTAGATATGAATTCTGAAAGAAGTATGAGGGTCTTATATGACTTTGTACTTCTCCCATAGTTCATGTCTGTCAAACTTACCTGCCATGGACTCTTTCATAAGTTCCATGAAATCGTCGTCGGACAATCCGGGGAAAAGTATAATGTCAGTAAGTATTCTTTTAACATCCTTACTTAAACTCTTTGCTGTCTGTACACAAATGACAACTGAGATGTTAAAGTGTCTGAGCTTCTTAAGAATTCGACACATATCTTGTTCTCTATTCTTTAACAAAGGATGAGAGGCGAAATCATCTAAAATAAGAAGACATCTATGAGGGTATGTCTTCCAATCGTAAGATTGCAATTTCTTCGAAATGTATTCTATCTCTTTCTGTTTGTTTCTGAAGTGTTTCTTCTCTAATATTCTCTGCATTTCCTCATTTGGGTCTTTAAACTTCGAATTGACATACTCATTTATAGCATTATACTTCAAAACTCTTCTTTGGTACTTCTTTATCCAATCTAACAACTCAGTATCCTTTATACATACTAACTTAGACTTCTTTATAATATCTTTGAACGAATTGACGGTTTGGTCAAATTGACCAGAAGTCGAACAAATAACAACTAACTCATAGAATGGGTTCTTCTCATCTAGTTCTTGTTGTTGTGCAGCCATTTTAAGATAAGTGAAAGTCTTACCCGACCCAGGTGGTGCAATTAGACCTGTTATACCATTCTGAGCAAATAAGAACTTGTCATGTATAGGCTTTATCTGAGCATTTTCTAACTTCCTCTTGTTCTTGTTTAAAACATTCTCAAATTTCTTGTCAATGTCAGCAAACTTTTTTTCTAACATATTTTTAGAAAAATTAAAATTTTTATCTTTTAGAAAATGTCTAGCGATTTCGCTATCTATATTCGAGACAAACTTTTTGACAGCAAAACATCTGTCGACCATAAAATCTTACATAGTGTAAACAAGAAAGGTGAATTTGTTCTAAAGTTCTGTTTCTGGGAATATGACAAGAACCATAAAACATTAAGCAGAGCAGTCTTAAAATTTGTCAATGACAGACTTGTTGACAGAGATGACACCGATTGGAAAGATGAAGTCCAACAAAAGTTCTTAGAATGCAAAGAAGACACATGCGCTGTTCTTGAAGATGAAATAGAAAACAGAATAGAAGAGCTATTAAAGGACAAAGAACTTTTACATAAATATGGTTGCGCCAAATTTGACATAACTCCACCAGAAAAGAAGAAGAGAGAAAAGAAAGAAAAGAAAGTAGAAGAAGAGAAGAAAGAACCTGAACCAGTTCCAGAGAAAAAGAAATTTGACATGTAAAAATAAAATTTTATTTTTAGAACATTTCTGGGTCAATGTCAATGTTCTCTTCCTCTTTAGGAGCAAACACTGGCTTAGACTCTAAAATCTTTTTACCCAATTTACCTTGAACTTCAACTATCTTAGACTCATAATATTCATAGTCGTCTGCTTTCTTTGGTTCATAAGGTATAACAAGTTTGTATGCTTTGCCTTCTTTAAGGTTTGAGAACCTTCTGTCAAAACTTTCTTTGACTGTTAACAAACCTTCTATGTCTAAGTCTTCAAATTTCGCACCATTTTTAGTCACAATAGCAAACTTAACTGGTTCGATGTTCCAAACTTTGCTGAATGAAGACTTTTCAAAATGGTAGAAGTAAACATTCAAATATGTGAATGGGTCTAGTTCTTCTTTAAGTCCTGACATGTACTTGTTTACTGAGATGAATTTTGTCATCTTTTCTATCGGATAAAAAAAATATTTTTTTTAAAATTTACTCAGAAAAATTTTTCTTTGTATATACACCATTCTGTACGTCTAAAAGACTTTTGACATTTGCCAAGAATGTACGTTTAGACGCTGCCATATAACCATATTCTTGACAATATTGTTTATACGAATCGTACAATGACCTTTCATCTAATGACACAAAGTCAGTTTCATCTATGAACAGTTCATATACACTCTTGTTTGCTTCTAACAATGTTTGTCTCTCTTCGGTATGTGGAATTTGTCTTGGATTGAACTTAGAAATATCTAATATCATGAAATATGAGAACAAGTGGTTGTAAAAGTCAGATGTCAAAGTTTCTGCTAAGTCGTCAAAATATTCTGTATCTTGCATATGAGAATCTGACGTTCTGACAACTACATATCTTCTGTCAGAACTTTCTAACTTCATCGGAACAGCATTGTTTGAAACCATAATGAAGTTTGCAACATTTTCACAAACTCTTTGGTCTTTATACTTTCTTTCAACAACTCCAACTTTGTCTGTTATAAGACTCTTCAAAGCATCTGAGTTCAAAACTTTTGTTGTATCTATACTTTGAAGTTCATTGCAAACTATAAGTTTCATATTCTCTATTGAGGAGTTAAACTTGCCACAGATGTTTTCTAAGTTTGTCATATTCGGGTTCGAATAACCTTCTAACAGTTTGCACAAAATATCTGTAAAGAATGTGTTCTTACCAGTTCCTTGTTTTCCAATTATAATGAGAGCAGTTTCATTTTTAGCACTTGGATGTTGTAAGATGTTTGCAAACCAACATAAGATATACTCATAGACTCTTTCGTTTCCATTGCATATAATTTCTTTGACATGGTCTAACCAAGCTTCTATAATATTTTCTTTCCATTCTACTTGTTCATATTTATATCCAGTGAAGATAGAATAGAAGTTTGGAGAAGGTGTATAGAACTTTATACCTCGAACTGAAAAATCTTCTAACTTTGACAATAAGATATCCCAAGCATCTAACATCTTCATGCCAACTTGTACAACTTTTATTTTCTTAAGTTTCTGTCTACATTCTTGTTCTGAAACTATTGTTGCTTTAGGTTTGTTAAAGACTACATCCCATTCTTTCATAACATAACATTCTGGGGCAGAGTCGACATAAATGACTAAACGTTTCAAATTCTCGACTGCTTTGTTATAGTCTCGAAATGGACACATATTTCTGAATGCTTGGAAGTCATAAAAATCTGAAACATCTATTCTGTACATTTTTATAAAAATAAAAAAATATTTTTTTTATTCTTGACTTTGTTGTTGCATTTGTTGCATTTGTTGTTCTTGAGCTATTTGTTGTTGAAGTTGTTCTTGTAATACAATACTTTCACCAGTTGCATCTTCCAATTCGAAACTTTCTGCCGTCATTGACAAATACATAGGACATAAAAGTTTTACAGGAACAAAGTTTGCGTCAACTAATGTCAACGTTATACTTGCCAAAGTGTTTGAGTTCACTAAGGTTGAAAATTCTGCATTCGAATGAACAATAGGCAAACCAGCAGAGAAAGTATTGTTTATACGCATAAGTATCTTTTGGTCATAATAGTTTCTGTCGACATTCGAATAACACTTTGAACCTAAGTTTTGAAACAATATATAAGATTGGTGTCTTAATGTCAATGGAATAGACATTCCTTGTATGACACCTTTTCCTGTTATAGGAACTGTTGGTAGTAAAAACCAGAAATAAGTTTTGTATTATAGCTCATATCGTTTATAGTAAACTCAGTCGGACATCCAAACATAATGAAACCTGCTCTAGTTGCAGCACATGTTACACCCGTACTTAAAGTATTAAATAAGTCAACAAAACCTGTTGGTGGTATATCTGAGTAAGTATCTTCAAAGGAGTATTTTTTACCATTCACAACAATAAAGTCTTCTGGTGTCAAAAGAGCAAAACAGGCTTTAGTCGTCATTGTGTTTAAGGTTAGTTTACAATATCGTCCTTGAGGACTTTGTAAGTTTGTTGTTATAGAATTATATGACTCAGGGTTTTTAGTCGTAATAGTATAAACCATTATATCTTCTGCCATTTATATATATTTAAAAGTTTTTTCTGAAAGTGGAGAAGAACTTCATCTAAACTTTCACATGGCGTTTCTTGAAGTTCTCTGTCTAAGAAGTTCAAATATTTGTAAAGACATAGAACTTTCCTTTGTCTACACGAACAAACAAAACAGGGTCTTTCATATCGTTCAAAAGTGTGTAAAGTCCTTTACATGAAATAAAGTCTATATTATTTTTTTCAAACATCTTTCAAGAAGTTTTGACATTTTTACTTAGCAAATAAATTTTAATGAAATGTTGTGGTCGTCAAATATTTTTATGACGTCTGGGAAACTATACTTTTAAGTTCAACGTTTCACCTCCTTTCATAACGTATATCTTGTCAATGACATTATATGAAACACCACAGCAACTAATGTCGGGTTCTATTTCTTTGATGTTTATATCGTCTGCCTCTGTCAAAAGTTTCAATAGTTCTTTCAAAACTTCATGAGGTGCAATGACATATGAGTTCACTTTTACAGGGTTGTGTTCGACCAAGTTTAACATTATACTTAAAGCTTGACAAATCTTCTCCTGAGTTTGAAGTTTGCCTTTCAGTTGTTGGTAGTCGTTTCGAATATCTGCAACAGAACTTAAGTCTCTGTTAACTTCAGGATATGTTGGTTCTTTTACAGGAACAATTGTTATACCATCTTTGTCTTCGTATGGTTTCCCCACTTCAACATCTCTGTCTTTGACATTGACAACAACACTTTGACTGTTTGTTTGAGTTGGTGAATTTAACTTCACATCTGCCACCGCCATTAAACCTTTTGAAACACTTACGCTTCTATTTTTCGGAAATGACATTTTACTTAGAATAAAAAGATGGACGTATTCGAGTATCTCTTCGAATTGAAGCAGAACAAAGTTTACACACACAAACAATACAAATACATTGACAGAATAGTTCTTTATACAAACAATGGTAAATGTTATAGAATAGCAGTCTTTGCTGAACCTAAATATTTTCATAAAGCAAAGAAAGTTGGTATAACCGAGATGGTGAAAGTTCTTGAAGCAGACAAAATATAACTTCAAAACTTACAGATATTTCTAAAGGAAAGTTTATAATACAATATTATGTCAAAACTGGCGTACTGTCAATATTTGACGGAGAGAAGTCAGTTCAAGAACAACTTACTGACCTGCTGCCAAAATCTGCTCGATGGAAGCTGTCGTTATGCAATCTGAGGAGCCCCAGCAGGTTTCATCGAACGAATCTTCAAAAGAGCATCTTCCGTGAAAAGTGCTATTGGTTTTGTAAACTTCTTTGCTCTCAATTCATCTGGACCGTCTCTGTCACCAGTATATTGTATTTGAACTGTACCAACAGTTGAAATACCACCCATAAAGTCTTCTGAGTCAGCAAATGGAATGCCAAGCCAAAAGTTTGAACGGTCTCCATTTGTATATTGAGTTTTTTGACCTCCTGTATGAGTCCATACTTTCACATATGGCATAATAGAACTTTGCATTTCAGGGTTAATGGTTGTTGTGAAGTTGTTGTTAAAGTTCATAGCATCTAATGTCAAGTTGTATGACCTCATATCCTCAACTGTAGAATATTCTTCTCTTGGATAATATTTGCCATCTATGTTTATATGATATTTAATACCGGGGTTGTAGAAACAGAATAGTCATTTATAGTTCGTCTGAACAGTACAAATAGTATCTGCATGTTTCATTGCAGTTGTTAAAGCAATATCTGTTCTTGCACCTGCGGCTCCTGGATTTTGGTTTCCAACTTCACCTGCAAAGTCTTTGACAGATATTTGGTGTATAGGGAACATAAGTGGAACTGCAATATATTTGCAGCTAAAGCATTTGAAATATCTGGTCCAACATATAGACTGCAAGTCTGCTTTCTATTCTCTTGCATTCAAATTTTTCGCATGTAAACTTAACTGGGTCCCAAGCAGTTCCAGCAGCATTGAAATAATAGTTTACTTCATTGTTGAAGTTTGAGAAACCAAAGTCTAAGTCAACTTTGTCTTTGCAAAATTCGGCGAATGACGTTTGATTTGTTCCCTTACGTCTGTAATAGTGAATGGGTCTTGTGTTGGTGCAATGACTAAGTTATTTTTGCTTGGAGTAAGTTCGATAGAAATTTTTCCTGCCAGTTTGGCAAGTATCTTAAAAACCTGAAGATGAGGAAAGATGACAAAGGAACTCTAAGTTTCAGTTTTACTTTAGTGCAGCATTTCCATCTGAACCAGAAAGGTTAACATAAACTCCTGGAACGTTAGGTCAAGTCTTCTTATTTTCTCAATATTTGCATACTGGTCTGTTTGTTCTCTAGCTTGTGGTTGTACTGAGTTTCTCAAAGCGAACCATTCATAGTTTGCCCATGTTACTGTTTGAACTAAGTCAGAGTTAGAATATATCTTATATCCCATGAAAACTTCTGGAGCATATTGGTATCCGACATAGAAAATTCCATTGCAACCTTTCTTGTCAGACAACTTGGCAGAGGGTTTTATTTCAATGTCTTGTTCCACGTATAAGAATGAGTTGTCAATAGAAATAATATGAAACCTGTCGCAAGCAATATCTACTGTTGTTGAAGAACCTTCTCCAAACTCACCTACGTTTCCATAAGAAACAGCAGTTGTATATTCGTAAGTTCCAGGAACTATTTCTGACCTTCTAATGGCATTGTCGCATTCGTTATACCATTGGGAAACATTTCCGTTCATGGCATCCAAAACTGTTGGCGTTATATTCTGAGCGGCGTACATTTCATATGGGTAAAAATATAGAATAGTTGGATTTATATGTCATAATAGAACCCACTCGGATCAAGCTTTACTTTCTTCCTGACTAAGTTTTTAACTGAATCTTTAACTCTTCTTTTTCCTTCATTGCCACTACTTTCACTAGATGAAGTTACTTCTTCACTACTTTCACTTTGTTCTACTCTTCTTCTTTGGTGTCGCTTTGGTAACTTGCCCTCTGCTTCAAGTTGTTGCATCTTTGCCTCATGTTCACCTAGTATGTTGTAAATTTCCCATGTCCTTTTTGCCTTTGGGCTCTGGTCGCCCATCTCAGGTAACCTATATCCTAGAAAGATTTTGTCATAGTTTGTATTTGAGTCTTCGCGTATTGTTTGCATGACTCTTTCCTGAGTTTCCGGTTCAAGCTCTTCAAACAGAGCTTGTCCATATGGAATAAGCTCGTTTCCAAATATATGTTTTTGTAGCCATTCTGGTTTTCTTTCCATGTTACCAATAATATCTTTTGTGAATGGGAAAGCTTTTACCCAATGTTTTCAGTCTTGCGTCATTTATTTCTGTAGTTGGTTTTATTTTGTCAAGGAACATGTTTTTCAATACTAACATTTCATTTGGTACTGTCCATTTGAGTTTTCTTAAATATTCATCCCTTCTCGGTTCATTGTCTGCAAAGTAAGTTTTTATGACATTTTTGTAAACTTTCGTTTGCAAGGTCATGTACAATAGGTTCTCTTCCTTCTCTCTCCCTAACTTCTTTCTAAAACTCTTCACCAAAATATACCATCTTTATGGTTCTGTGTAGTTCTTTGAGATAAATGTTCTAGAACGTCAGGTGTTATATTTCCATCAGCCATGTTCATTTCATACTGGTTCAAAATATCTGCATCTTTCATATCTTTCAATGGCATTAAAGCGCGCTGAAAATAACAGCTTATTCTGGTTCACCCATTCACTTCCATTGCGTCTACAACTTCTTGGAATTGAGGTTGTAAGTTTATATGAACCACCTATCCGGATTAGCTTTATGACCCCATCTCATTGTAGTTCCATAGTCTGCAGAAACAAAAGTAGGTTTTTTCCATATTGGTTAGGTTCTGAATGAACTTTAAACAATGTTTCATTTCTATATGTTTTGTTGAAATTTAACCTTTTATTTTCACCGAGTTCAGCCAAAGATTGAACGTTATATGGTCGTAAAGTAAAAGGATTATTGTATTTGCGTACATTTTCTTTCAGTACTTTCCATTCTATGCTGAATATTTTCATCTGATGTTGGAGTCTTTTGTATGTCGGCGAACATTTTTCGATATTCTTCTACTATGTCAGCCGAATTTTTCTTAGACTCTTGGAAAGATTCCATATTCTCCGCATACACTTGTTGAGGGTCAAGATTTTTCGGCTGTTCCAAATCTTCATCTAGTTCTGTGAAGTTAGTTTCCAAATGAGGGACTTGTTCGTTTCCTTCGGCTCTTCTAGCTGTTGTTGCTGAACTATTTCTTCCATGTCTGGTTGTATCTGAACTTCTTCCTGTTGGTTTCTTGTACCTCATCTGCTGGCATTTCATATATTCCGAGACCGTTTTTAACAAGTTCCCTATCTAAGTCATCCGGACTCATAAAACCTTTCTTCTTTCGTTCCGTCTCTATTTTTTACTACGCGTTTCATGAAGAGAGTTGAATTATCATTTAGCTCTGACACCAAATATCTCGGAGTAAATTCATTCATGTCATTTGGATGATATGCTATTAAATCATATCCCTTAGCGAGCTTGTATTTTCCAGGTTTGAAATTATATCCCATTTGGTGCTGACCATAAAGCTAAATAGGTTCGGGTCAGTATTTCCTTCCTTGAACTTTCAATAGCTTCTTTATATCTGTCACTAAAGTCAAGAGTATCTGGGTAACCATATTCTTCCTTAAGCATTTTTAAGAATTCTTGGTTTCCTTGTTCTCTACTTCTTTTATGTCCTTGCTCTGTTTGTGGTTGTTGTTGTGCTGGATTTTGAACTGTTGTTGTTTGTGCTGGTTTTGGTGTTGTGCAGGTTTTAACTGTTGGTTGCTGTGCAGGGTTTTTGAACTGTTGGTTGGTTGTGGTGTTTGTTGTGTGTTTGAACTGTTGGTTGTTGTGTTGGTTTTGGTGCATGCCTGTGTCTGTGTCCATGTGACGATGTAAATGTTTTAGGTAGTCCTGGTGCAGGTGCTTCTCTTGGAGGGTTTGGTGGTATATAAGTTCCACCAGCTGGCACATATGTTCCATCTGCAGCATAATGTCCTACCTGACTTTTCGTTCTTAAGAAAGCATTTACTAGGTCTGTTTTGGTCTGTTGTAACTCTTTTTCTTGACTTTCCACAACAGTTGCTCTAACGGCGTCATAGGCACTTTGAACTGCCTGTCTCGTTGCTGCATCTGTTATTTTCGTCATATTTTGTGCTACTTCTCTTAACTCTTTGTCGAAACCTTCAGACTTCAGTTTCTTTCCAGATGAGAAGTCGTTCACTAGTTTCACCTTACTATGAAGAGCTTCGAAGGCATTCTTAAAGTCAGCATTCATTAAAGCTTCATTTGAACTGTCTTCATCCGCTTGTATTTTTGTCCTTATTGACCCTATAAGTTGGGCTGCTTTAGCGTTGGCTTGGGCATCTAACCAGTCATTATTAGCTTTTATATATTCTGCGCTTTTCATTGCCTTTTGCATGGCTGCGTCGTTATTTTTACTTTCTTGTGCTAAATTTTCATACTGTACGGTTTGGTTTTGCAACTGTAAAAGTTTTCTGCCTTTACATTTGCTTCAACTTCTTTTTTATACTCATCGCTATCCATATATGTCTTCAGGGCTTTTTGTTTTATCTCTTCATCTTTCAGTACTTTATATTGAGTAGTATGGTTTTTCAAATTTATAACATCTTGTTCCATTTTTGCTACTTCTGCTGCTTTTTCTGACACTTTTTTCGCATATTCCTCTGTACTTAGTTCTTTCAGTTGTTCTTCTTTCTTCTTTTTCTCTACGTTTAACTCATTGAGTTTCTTTGTGTGTCTGTCATATTCTAGTTTCTTTTCGTTTTCACTTATTTGTTTCTGTATGTCTATGTTTGACTTTTTGACATCTGTTATTTGATTTTTGAGTGAACTCAAATTCATTTGACTTTGAGGGTTATAAGCTGTTCCGTCTGCAGCTCCACCATAGCCTGCCATTTTCGCTAAAAGTGCCGCTCTTAAACCCCCACTCTGTGCACCAATAACTCGGTTTAAAAGCATAGGGTTGCTTGACATTTGTTGCAACATAGTGGGGTCATTCATCATTTGTTGTTGCAACTGTTGTTGTGGTGTCAGTTTTACTATTGGATGTTTCAATGCTCCCTTCCTCTTACGTATATTCTTACGTAGCTTACGTGGCATTTTAAGTGAAGTAAAAAACGGCTTTTGACAGATGTTTATATGACACTTTTTGTTCAGCACAAAAAACTACTCGGTCAAAGTGTTGTCAGTTTTGTAAAATAACCGTCCTATCTCATTCTATAAGGGGAAAAAGGCTTCTCAAAGTATACTTCCTTGGAACGCCTGTAACTTTTCCTGTAGCGACGATAGACCCTTACTTGTCCGGACAAAGTTATACTATTTTGAGTGCTCTACAAAAAAGTCACCGGCTGGCTCGTCCTCAGAAATTTTTTATGGGCTAGAGGGCGCAACGCGCCTGGAAGCCCTCCGAATATAAACTTCATTTATACTAAACATCTTCAGGGCTAGAGGGCGCAACGCGCCTGGAAGCCCCACTACCTTTTTTTTTTTTTTTTTTTTTAACAATTCAACCATGTATAAATGGATCATGTAATCATCATGAAATGTTAGTGTTAGAGTTCAAAAGAAACAGAATGAGTGGAAATCAAACACAATCTGAATAATTTTAAACGTATACAATCTTTAAGTTTGTATTTTGAATTCTACATATATGATTGTGTAATTCGTTCTTTCAAATTTTCGGATTCAGGCATGTTTTGATAAAATTCATTCCCAAAAACGTCAATTAACAATTAAATTTAGTGTATTTTAAATATATATACGTATTATATTTTATAAATTATATTAAATTCGCAAAATTTTAAGTTTAAAACAAAAATAAAAAATGTTCAAAATATGAAATTATGCATAGGATATTAAAATTTACATGTTAGCAATTTTTTTGAATTGCTTTCAATTTTCATATTGAAATTTTTAAGATTTTTTTCTGAAATAATAAGCAAGAATATCAACCTAAATAATATTAAATTCCATGCGTTAATTTCCCCTCAAAAGTCATTGACCGCCTCTCAATCTAGATTTTGTGAGTACTTTATATGCTTGTTCATGAAAAACTCCACCTTACTTAGCACCCATCATATTAGCTTATATGTATTATCATGTTTATATGGTTTTATACATCTGAAATGAATGAACAGCATACGTTTAATAAATCGCGATATTAAATTTTTTTCTCTCAAATTTGTAGTGTATGAGTGGAAACAAGAAATATGCTTCAACTCCTATAATATCTACTAATGAACTAGCAAAACAGATGCAAATCGAATTTCAGACACCAGAAGCAAACTTTGATCCTATTTCTCTAAAAAATGACAATCAAGCCAGGAAAGAAATCGAAGATTTAACAAAACTAATTGCAGAAGGCAACGAATGGGATGTACAGGTGAAAGCTATTTCACGTGCCATGAGTTTAATCAATGGTGGCGCGTTAGAATATGATTCATTCGCAAGTAAAATCCCAGATCTGAGCATTGGACTTATTGCAGGCTCTTCAAACTTACGTAGTGCACTTGTTAAGAACTCGTGTTTATTCATTAGTCTACTTGCTCATAAGTTAAAGAAAAAAATTTCTACAATGGGTGAAATGATAATGCCTCTTAGCAAACAAACTACACATGGTACACTTATTATCGCTGAAAGTTGCAAGCTTACAATTTTGGAGATTGTAAAATATTGTCCAATCAAAAACGTTTTCTTAAGCATTATAGAGCTTTCAAAGTCAAAAGCAATAGAAAATAGACAGATTTCAGCTGAATCATTTATATTAATGCTTACATATTGGGGAAAAACATTAATTGAACAAAACAATGATGTTGTAATGAAAACATTACGTTTGCTTCTTGTTGACTCATCACAAGAGGTAAGAAATGCTACCCGTATTGCTTCAAAGATCTTTGCTTCCAAATATCCAAAATATTCTGATTTATTTTTGGCAACTCTTGATTCTAAGACAAAATCAGCTGTTCTTGCAGCTGAAGTTCCTCCAGAAACGCCTCCAATCAAGCAAGATCAGGGAGATTTAGCTGATAAGAAATTTGAACCGGCATCTCCAATTGAACCGAAAGTTTCTGGCCATTTATTACTTTCACCTCATTCTCCAAAGAGCTATGTTGAAGAAGTTAATCAGATTTCAGAAAAGCAAAAAGAAAATGAAGAAAATCCTTCTCCACCAAAGATGAATTTTGTTCAAGATCTCATATTGGATGACACTATTACTCCACCAGAAAAATATACAGTCCAACCAATCACAACTCCCAAGAAGCCAACAAAATTACCTGCTAAAAAGAAAACTCCACAGCAAAAAGTTCAAGCTGAACCAGAAGACGCAAACAAGCCATCAATGATACCTGTTTATGATAAGAAGTCTGATAGATCGAAATCTCCTGCTTTACTTGCGAATACAAGAACAATTAAACCTAAAATGTCATCAAAACATCGCTCAAGCTCGGTAAGACCATCATACAAATCAGATCAGATCAAAGATCTCAGAAGAAACCTCAATGAAGAATTAAATAATGAAGATTTCCAAAATGTCAACAACAATGAGCAAAAAGTACAAGGAAAGGAGCCAAAAGCAAACAACAAGAAAGCAAAGGCAAATAATACTGCAAGATCTGTTAAAGATCCGAGAAGAAATTCCAAATCTAAACAAAAATCGCTAACAACTGAAGAAACAAACACTCAAAAAGATGGAAAGATCATTAATGATATTGTTGAGAAGGTAGAATCCCCACAAAAGAGGAAATCCGAAGAATCAATGGCACCACCACGTTTAATTGACCAAGGAAATAGGAGAAGAAGCTCAAATCCAAATAAGAAAGTTGTTAAGAGAAGAAGCACAATTGTTTTAGAAGATGGAAATGAAAGAACATTCGTTGATAGAATCAATGAAGTCATTGAAATGAATAATTACGAAGAAATTACAGGACAAATCAAAACAATCGTTCCTGGATTAGTTATCACAATGAACAGCAAATCAAGCTATGCTTCAAACAAGTCATTGTCTTTGATTTCTTTGTTGATTCCTCAATACAAAGATGAATTTCAACTTTCTTTGCAGGCAATTTTTGACGCTTTATTTGGCGGTTTGTTAAGTGATGTCATTGCAAAAGATAACAGAGATTTGATGGATAATTTACTTGCTGTTATCAAAGAAAACTATTCTCCAAATGATATCATTGTTTGCTGCAGTTCACAGGCATCATCACAAAGATTAGTTAAATACATCGAATCTTTCATTAATTTGGTAGTTTTTAATGATGAAAACAAAGATATTGCGAAGAAAATTGCTCAAATAAGTGTTTCACAATATGAAACATTACAAGGTGAATCAAGAAAGATATTGGATATCATTGCCAAAAATTCAAGACAAAGTTTGGTTGAAATAATGAAAACATCTGATCAAAAACAAAAAGAAATCATCAAAGTTATCATTGATTATGTTGACAATCATTATGGAGAATGTCCTCAAGTCGACAATGATCAAAATGTTGATGAAATGTGCAAGAAAGTCTTGAATTTCGCAAAATTGGCAACAGAATTCGATTACAACAATGCAATTGATAATTTATATCAAAGTTTGTCAGATGTTGTTTTGCAAAAAGAAAAAGAAGCTGCTGAAAAGATATTCCAATGCATGATTAACATTGTTGAGATGAAAGGTGTTGATCATTTCGAATATTTCGCAAGAAGCTGCCTTAAACACTCTGAAAGATCAAAAATAGTAAATGTTTTGAAGCTTTTGGATATAATTGAGTGCAAAGCAGGAGGTTCTAAAACAATTACATTCTTGATTTCATCAGTTAAAGATGATAATGAAAATAGTCCTCTTTATATTGATGAGTTACAAAGATGCATCAAAATGAATACAGAAATGATGAGATTACATGCACAAACAATGACAGAAATGCTCTGCAAAGAGATAGATAACGAAAATATTTATCTGAGAAAGAGCATTGTTTTCTGCATTGCTTTGATTGTTAAAACTTATGGAGAGAACGCTGATAAGATCGTCAGAACTCTTGAATTACCAAAGCAAAGACTTATCTCTATTTATATCAACAAATAACTTCATTTTTTATATTTAAAAACTATTCTTCACCATGCTATTTTAATTTCTTACTTTTTTATAATATAATAAGGATAACTATAGGATAAATTATTAACGAATAGCAGAAGGATTCATGATCATTATCACATCAGGCACAATATGTTAGTAATACAAATTTAGAATAAATTATTGCTATTATAATTGGAACAATAACATCTATTTTACTTTAATTTTGATTTTTAATTTTGGATTAGTGAATACACCACTAAGCTCTTTATTTATTGTCGAAATAATGTTTTGAATTCCTGAATAATTGTTTCTGATCATGGGAATTAGCTTTATAAGTCAAATTTTGTCTATTTATTTTATATTATCTGTGAAAACTCTATAGGTAGAATGAGTATTCACCAAATTAGAAATTACTCAAAAAAAAATTAAGGTAAATTTTAAACATTAATACTAACATAACATTTAATCTATTTTACACAAAGAGTTACCTTTCCGTTCACTTCACTAATGTATCCATGTCCAAAATTTCGAATTCCTCCTTCAAGTAAAGGCGGCATGTTTGAATCCTTAAGTGTTTCATATATAAATGCAAAAGAGTCACTCAATTTCAGAATTTTTTCTTGATCTGTCTGACATTTCCTTGCATCTGCATAAGAATGGTCCCAAAACATTTTCATGTCAGGAGATATTGTTATATTTGAATGTATTATTCCGGGGAATGGAAATGGTTCTGATTTTTCTTGTAATTTTTTGCCAAATTCCGTTATATTTGTTGAAACTTCGAGAAGTGATTTTGTAGCTAAGCGAGATATAGCATAGAAGCAACTTTGCTTACTAGTACATAAAGCGAATATTTTTTCTTCTTTCATTGGATCAAATCCTGATAACAAATCAACAAATCGAGAAGTTCCTTTTGGATTTAAGTATGAATTAATTGGCGTCATTACGTACCAGAGTGCTCTTGAAACATTTGTAAATTTCTCAAGGGATTTAACAAATTTCATAAAATATTTTTCTTCTTCTGTTCTAACATACATTGTTTTAATAAGAACGCTATCGTACAAATTAACGTATATAGGGACATCTGAAATAAAATGAATTCCATCACAAAAGATTTTTCTTGAAATTCTTGGGACCCAGGTATCAATAATAGCGCCAATATCACTTGCTTCATTTCTGTATGTCATGATTCCTATAAATATTTTCTTTTTAAGACTAACTTTAGCTTCTGTTTCTTGAATAACGTGATGATCTGCTTGTTGCGGGGTTGTATTTGTACTACTTTGACTGTTTTTTGTTTCATATATTTCATCATCTATGTCTGAATCATTATCTGAAAAGAGATATGTTCCGAAAAATAAAAATATGCTGAAAAAGAGCATTATGAATCCAATAGTCATCCTTTTTCTAGTAAAGGATAAAACCATTGATAATGTTCTATTTTTTGGAGTATTGGCATTTGCAACAGCAATTTTCTCCATCACTCCAAAAAAAATTTAACAGAAAAATAACTATTATTTTACTAATTTCATTTTGAAAGATCCTGAACTTGCTATTTTCAAATATCTTTTATGCAGGGCGAGAAATAATTTTTTTTTATTTTTCGCTGATGCTAGAATTTACCGTCATAAGTTATCACAATGTAAAACTCATTTACTGGTCGAATATATTGCATTGGACTTTCAGCAATCAAACATAGATTGCAGAAATATTCCTCAATTTGACATTCATGAACAGATATTATGCTTTGACAGTGTTGAATGAGAGTTATAAGAATGATATTCAGCATCTTGTTCTTATAGACTAACAATCAAATTCTCATTACAGAAATCTTTCAACTTTATGAGAAGTTTCACGGAATATTTGTTATTGTTATGAGATGATACAACTCAGAAGTGAAAATGGTTAGCTAATACTTAAAATTTTAGCCTTAATATATCAAAATTTGAAATTTTCTCAATAAAGATTGATAAGCTCCATACGTGCATAATTCATTTAGTGTCAAAACTTGTTATCATCATGTAAGAGTTGCATTAGAGAAGTTCCCAGATTGTCATTCATTTACGACTAGAAGGTGTTTCCACCTAAAAATAAATCTTTGAACAAATTTTTTTCTAAAAAATGTTTCTCCTCATTAGTTTTGCTTATTCAAAGATCTGGGCACTAGAACTGAATCTAGATAGGATATGTTTAAGTGGATATAATGGAGAAAATCTTGATCTTTTTCGCTGTGTTCCAAATAGAATTTGCAGGGAAAATGATTTAAGCACATATGAATCATTTTCCGGCAATGAATGTGTTGAAAGTTCGATATATAATGATACATTCCCAAATTCAAACTACGAAAACGCAAATTACATTTTACTCAAAGAATCTCTTAAAGATGCAAACCTTTATCATGATTCATTTATAATAAAATACGAAGAATGTTTGAATCTTCTACAAAAATCAAAACTACTTCGTATATTCAAGAAATTAGATATGAATATACTTTCTACATATAAAACCATTCATGAAATCGACGAAGATGTCAATTTGTCAACATCTGCAAACGAAACAATCGAAGAAAACATACAAAATATTTTGAATAAAGAAACTCAAGAAATTATATCAACAGATGCGACTAAACCAGCAGAGCAAAGCATAGATAATGATAATACTATACAAAACTATGTTAATGATCAAACAAATGAAAAAATACAAAATAATTCAGACGAAAAACCTAAAGAAAGCGAACAAAAAGAAGATTCTGAGAAGAGTACACAAGAAGGAACCAATGAACAAGGTGAAGAAGATCGACCAACCAATAGAGAAATACAAAAAGCTGCAAAGAAAGCAATTAATCAAGTACAAGAACTTCTCTTTAGTCATGGTATCGAAGGAATCAAGAAATACATGAAAATGCAAGGAAACGCTATAGTTTTAGAAATTCCTCAAAATATTGAAAAATCTCACAAAAACAAAGCCGAAAACATTACATTAAACGAAACACAAAAGTTCATTCAGTTCATAAACAAAACAATACACGATATAAGTTACGATGAACCTCCAAAATTTGACAAAAACTACACAATTTTCATTGACCACAGAGTTCTTTACAATTCAACGATCACACCATTTAAAGAAGTTTCCTTTACCATTCCCAAAGACAGGAAAGCCATTATCAGAGTCCCTGAAGTTTCAAAGACAACGACAATTGAAGAAATCATCAGGAATTACTGTGAACCTCAAAACATTGATTTCTCAGCATTTTCGGACATAACAGTTTCGATGAAAATCGGAATGACAGTGTTTGGAGATGTAGAAGTCATTGATATGAAAATCATGGGCGTCAGTTCAGGAAATCCTTCACTTGCTAAGCAACTAGCGCAAGCAATGAATCATCGACAAAACAATGAAACAACAAACATTTCTCAAGAATTTATCAACATGAATTTAACAGGTGTTTATCTTCTTTTTGGCGAAAAATACAACAAAATCATTGATAAACAAGAAAATGTTAATCAAACTGCTGAAAATTCTGAAATTGTTGATGATGAGAAATGCAAAGAATTCAATGAAAGTTTAGATCATTTTAAGTTCCTTTTAGATGAAGATCTTGAATTCCGTTATGCAGCAACAGAAGAACAGAAACAAAAGTTCAGGGAAACAATAGAAAATATAACTAATTCTGATCATAAATGTAATAAAATGACATTGTTCCCATTGTTAGAAATGGCTATCCTTAAAGTCAGTTTTATAAATAGAGCAAATGAAATTGATCAATTAAGGAAATCATTCAATGACTTATCAAATGATTGCGCAAATAGTAAGAAATGTGTTGATGAAGTTAAACAGAATATTACTAATTTTGTTAATGAAGCAAATGAAGTTTTCAATAAATGGGAAGAAGACTTTAATTTCACAAGCGAAGACATTAAAAATCAGAAAGACAAACTCGCGGAATTCAAGAAGTATTCGAGTAGTAAATTAAGTGAAACAATAACTTTGACAAGAGAAATGCTTCAAAACCCTGAACTTTTGCAGAAATTAGGATTAGGAAATCTCAAAATTATGTTTGGAAATCCAAGTGAAGATAAAGAAAAGAAACAAGAGAAAATACCAAGAGAAGAACAAGAAATCATTGATGAAAAGAAGAGAGTTCTCGAGAAATTGGATTATTTAAGAAAGAATGCTTCTAAATACTTTGATATGGCTTCTGAAGCTTTGAAAGCTTCTCTGAATTCAACAACAATGATAGATGAAATGAAACATCAAAGTGACTACATGAACTACACTGTTATGGCCATGTCTTTCCAGAGTTCTCAGCCAGAAGTAATTGATGAATATAAAAGATTGGAAAGAAGACACAAAGAAATGAAACTAAGAAGAGAAGCAAGAGAGAAACCTTTCTTCGATGAAGAAATTCCTGAAATGGATTACGAACCTCCTCAACCTCCACAACCACCTGAACAGAGAAATATTATTATAATAAAACGTGCAGAACCAAAACCAGCAAATGCAACAAATCAAACAACTGTAAATAATCAAACAGTTAAAATCATTACTGTACCAATTAAAGCAGGAAATCTAACAGCTAAAATAGCTCCAACAAATCAAACAATAACTAATATAGTTAATCAAACAGTTGTAAGCAATCAGACAACTGTAAATGTAAATAATCAAACTGTTCAGGCAGGAAATAATTTGACTGTTATTAATAACAAAACAGAAAACAAAGGAACTGTTTTAGTTAATCAAACAGTTCATAATGATTCCAAACAAGTTAATGTAACAAATGATGTTAAACAACAAGAAACAAAGCAAAATATTGTTTCTAATTCTAATGAAGCCAAAACAGAGAAGGTTAATGAAACTAAACAAGACAATGTAGCAAATCAAACGCAAGCTAAATCTAAACCAATCACTGTTCAAACAGATAATAACCAAACTATTGTTACTAATCAAACTGATTCCCAAGAAGAAACAAATCAAACTAATGTTCCGTAAGCATAAAAAAACTTTTTTTTCTATTGAATAAAATTTATATATTATAATAATTTTTTTGTAGCATTGTAGCTTAGATACATTGTTCAAAATAAAAACAGATATAGATTTGAAATAGAGAATCAAATCTCTAAGTTATATTAATTGAATAGTGTCTGAAAAAGGTAATTTATTAGAATAAATCATTGAGTAGAAAGTATACACATAACAATTTCAGTATTAAAGATAGAAATAAAAATAATATGATCTAAATTATGAATAATAGTATAGAAAACACGATTTTATGAATAGAAAAGAACAAATAAACAACAAGTTTAATAGAAATCTGTCTTGAAAACAAAAATAGATATTAATTGCCAAAGTTCCATCAAAAATGGAAGCATTATACCAAAGAAAACGCCACAGATCACAAAGTTTCTGTGCGCATTTTGGAATAATGCGTGTGACATGAGAATCACACCTATTAAGTGCAAAACACCTTCAATAAAGCTAAGATGTGCAACTGTTGTAACAATTCCAAATATGAGGCTAATGAAAAGGAAAACTAAAAAGATATCTGCAAAGATTAGCCAAATTCGAAGTTCTGTTGTTGCGTCTGCGATCATTTCATTGGAAGATAATGTTCTAGAGATTGCTGATTTGATAAAATCTGGCAGGTTTGGAGATAAATTTGAATTAGAAAAGCGGGCTGAATAATAATTTTTGACAATATTCGCTTCTCCTCCATAATCGGAGTCGAGTGTATATAATATAACGTTAACTGTGATATAAATTGCGGAAAATGCAAGGACTCTAAATGGAAATAGTGTTCGAGAAAGTTGAAGCATTTAAAAATTTTTAAACGTTTTCTTGTCAATTTTTTGCATGAATTATGGTTTTATAATATATCCGTGTAAACTATATAATATCTCTCAATAATTGAGAGTCAAAAGGATTAATTATAAAACTCTATAAATTTTCGGTGATATTTAGAATAATACGTGAATATTACGCCTTTACCTTTTTTCGTGACAAACATTGCTCACAAGCATGCATGTGAGATATGTTCAAAATTTTGGGGCATTTGGCCTGTAATAAGAGAGGTCAGCCTACCTCTTTCTGAAGAACAGAGTAACCAAAAGTATTCAAACGATGATTTTTAATTTCCGCACTTTTTTGTGGACCTTATAAGAAAAAACAAGTCATTTTAATAAATAATATTTTATATAAAAACAAGATATTTGACTTTTATGGTGAAACACCCATCTCTTTCAGTCTAGATAATATAGCTTCGTCCTGGCATTCAAGAGCGTAACTTAAAATCTTCTTCAATCTTTCCTCTGATGGAGGATTAACAGATTTGGTCGAGCAAAGAATAGAAAGAATTACTCCACCACTGCCAACTTCTAATGCCGCATTTAAGCAGCTCTCTGTTAAATCGGGAAACGAAGCACGTGGGAATCTACAAATTTCGCAAAAGTAGAAGCATGTTGAGTAGTTATAGATCGACCACTTAATGCATTCCTCGCATACATCGTTTGACGTATTATCCATGATCCACTTTACAAGTGTCATTCTATGGCTTTGTAATGCAGGGACAATCGAATGAGTATCTATTTGGAAATTTGCTTGTCTTAGTAAGTCAATTATTTCTGGATTTCCGCCTTCAATTGCATAAACAAAAGTATTATGAGTAGGATTGTTTCCGTTGGTTAAGAGATATTTGAAACACTTCGGACTGCCACAAAACGCGGCCAAATCTAGATAAGTGTGATGATAAGATCTCCATTTAATAATTTGTTTGAACAGATCGGAATTTGCAGAGTAATAAATTAATTTTTCCAAATCATCATTCTTGACAGCTAATGCAGGGGAATCTTCTTTAAATTCATTCAAATAATAATGTAATGAACGCTTTGGTTGTTTCCTTTTATCACGATCTAATGGAACAATCTCTGCACGTTGAAGATATTGATAAAATTCTTTGTTGAGAACTTCTAATTCGTATTCATTTTTGCGCAACTCTGAATATAACTTCCCATAAGCTTCCTAGTTAAATCTGTGTATTTCTATTGCGTACTCAAACAAATTAGGTATGTATTTTTTGAAAATGAGTCCAGATTCTTTGATCTTTATTGCTGTTGCAGCAGCACTATCAACAGTCACATCAATGACGCTATCTTCAATTACAGCCCATTTCTGAAGTACTTGTGGGATCTCAGTAATAGAATAACCTGGTGCTTGAACATCATCAATCATGAAAATGATGCGAATTCAGAGAAATTTAGTATATTATATCTTAAAATCTGATAAAGAACTTGAATATTATACCGAAACCTGCAACTTTCGTTTGAGATATAATTCAAAGATCAAAAATTTTGGTCGAATAGAGCCAATGTCATAAAAAATCAATATTTAAAGATATAAATGATATGTTTATTAATACGTGGACTTAATTTTTTTATTACAAATTTTATTTTTTTCTATTTTTTTCGTCTCTAAATTTTTGTACTTCCAACACGGTGAATGTCAATTCTATCGTTACCGTATGATCCACTCTTCTTCAGCTTACCCTTTGTAGCGCGGAAGTCATGGCCACGAACCTGAAGTAATTCATCCTGGTTCTTTCTTCTTGCGCCATTGAACTTTGCGTTTGAAACTTGTTGGTAGTTCTTTCCTTTGGACTGGAACTTGTTTGTGTTGTAAGAAGGAGTTTCTGTTGCAACAGCTGGTTGTTGAACATCTTTCTGGACCTTCTCTGCCTCTTCTGGATTGAACATTTTCTTGGCAGATAATGGTTTGACGACAACTTCGTCTTCTGATGAATAATATGAGTACTCTGACTCCTGCTTCTTCTCTTCTGGTTTCTGTGGTGGAACAAATGTCTTCTTTTCTTCTTCTGATGAATAGTATGAATATTCGGATTCTTCTTTCTTGGATGGTGTTGCTGGTGCGGCTGGTTTAGCTGCTGCTGGAGTTGGTTTGGTTGGTGTTGGTTCTTCATCTTCTGAATAGTATGATGAAGATTCTGCTTTCTTGACTGGTGCTGGAGCAGCAGATTTAGCTGGGGCTGGCTTAGCAACTGGTTTCTCTTCTTCTGAACTATATGAGTATTCTGACTCCTCCTTCTTAGCTGGTGTTGGTTTAGCAACTGGAGAAGGTTTAGCCACTGGCTTCTCTTCTTCAGAAGAGTAGTAAGAATAATCTGATTCTTCCTTCTTTGCAGGAGCAGGTTTAGCCGGAGCTGCAGCCTTTGGAGCTGGTTTAGCAACAGGCTTCTCTTCTTCAGAAGAGTATGAGTATTCTGATTCATCCTTCTTGGCTGGTGCTGGTTTAGCAACTGGCTTCTCTTCTTCAGATGAATAATAAGAATAATCTGATTCTTCCTTCTTTGGAGCTGGCTTGGCAGGAGCAGCAGCTTTAGCAGGAGCTGGCTTGGCTACCGGTTTCTTCTCTTCTGAACTATATGAGTATTCTGATTCTTCCTTCTTGGCTGGAGCTGGTTTAACTGGTGCTGCGGCCTTTGGTGCTGGTTTAGCAACTGGTTTCTCTTCCTCTGAAGAGTAATAAGAATATTCTGATTCTTGTTTCTTGGCTGGTGCAGCCTTTGCAACTGGTGCTGGCTTAGCTGGAGCAGCCTTTGGAGTTGGCTTAGCTACTGGTTTTTCTTCCTCTGAAGAATATGAGTACTCAGATTCTTCTTTCTTAGCTGGAGCCGGAGCTGGTTTAGCTGGAGCAGCTTTTACAGGTGCTGGTTTGGCAACTGGCTTCTCTTCTTCGGATGAATAATATGAATCTGATTCTTCCTTCTTAGCTGGAGCAGGTTTGGCTGGTGCTGTGGCCTTTGGAGCTGGCTTAGCAACTGGCTTCTCATCTTCAGAAGAGTATGAGTATTCTGACTCTTCCTTCTTGGCTGGTGCTGGTTTAGCTGGTGTTGCAGCCTTTGGAGTAGGCTTAGCAACTGGCTTCTCTTCTTCAGAAGAGTAATAGGAATATTCTGATTCCTCCTTCTTGGCTGGGGCTGCCTTTGGAGCTGGAGCAGCTTTGGCAGGTGCTGGTTTAGCAACTGGCTTCTCTTCTTCAGAAGAATATGAGTACTCAGATTCTTCCTTCTTAGCTGGGGCTGCCTTTGGAGCTGGAGCTGGCTTGGCAGGTGCAGGTTTGGCTGGTGATGGTTTAGCAGCTACAGGCTTTTCATCTTCGGAGTAAGAATAAGAATAATCTGATTCTTCCTTCTTTGGTGCTGGTTTAGCAGTAGGAGTTGGTGTTTGTTTAGCTGGTGCTGTCTTTGGAGCTGGTTTGGCAACTGGCTTTTCGTCCTCAGAATAGTAAGAGTAATCTGACTCATCCTTCTTAGCGGCTTGAGCGGGTGCTTGTTTTGTTGGTGTTGGTTTTGCTGGTGCTGGTTTTGCAGCTGGTTTCTCATCCTCTGAGTAGGAGTATTCGGATTCTTCTTTCTTTGCTGGTGTTGGCTTAGCTGGTGCTTGTTTAGCAGGAGCTGGTTTGGCTGGTGCTGGTTTTTCGTCTTCTGAATAATATGATGAATATTCCTCTTCATCTTTCTTATTTACTTTCGAATTTGCTTGATTATTAGGAGTTGATTGCTTTTGTGGTTGATTTGGCTTGGATGCTGGCTGTTTTGGCTTTGGTTCTTCGTTATCTGAGTAATATTCAGAATACTCTTCTTCTTTCTTAGCTGGAGCAGTAGCCTTTGCAGGTTGTTGCTTTGGAGCTGGTTTCTTTGGAGCTTCTTCTTCGGAATAATAATATTCACTATCACTCATTCCCGATCAGGACCTGATAGTCACTTTTTGGAATTGAGAGACAAGATTTTAGTCCTATCAATGAAAAATTTTCGATAGGCTCAAAATGATCGCGGAGTCATTATGTATGGTCATTTGAATCTTATGTATTATAAATTCCGTGTTTTAGATCATGAAATATCATTTTAGACTGCAATATCGATATTGGCTTTTTTCTTTGACTAATTAACGGTTTAGAACACAAAATATGGAGAGTTATAGCAGTTTAAGTTGTTTTCTATGCTAATCATTATCATTTTGACACTTGGAAATGTTGAGATAATATTCTTGCTATTTAGTTTCGGATTCTATAATATAATGTGTTTTGGAGTAATTTATACTATATTACTCATTAAGAAATGAATCATTTTTATGGGTTCATGTAGTCGAAATCGACATTCGATATTGGTTCGTTTTCTATTCATCATATTCACTTCCTTATTAATACTAATGTATTTAAATCAAGAATTTATCGGTAATGCTTTCAAAAAACCAGTTTCCAACGATTTATTTTTAAATCTTACAAATTATAGCACCTCAAGGCATTTAAATCCAACACATCATTCAAAAATTTCAGAAATTGTTGCAAACCATTCGATTATTCAATCAAAAAATCCTGAATTCAGATATTTCAATTCAATAGTAAACACAGACAAGCATTTAAACAGAGAACACTTCTATTTTGAACTTACAAGACTCCTTAATGTTGATCCTGACTTTCAAAGACATGAAAAAAATATATTATTGATTGGTTCTCACACATCTGTTGGTAATAGCATTAAAACATTACTTAAAGAGCAAAATATTTTGTTTGCAGAACTCAAGAGCATTCATGAAATTCAATTTACCAACGAAACTCTGCAATTAATTTTAGATAGAATTAATATTGAAGGAATAATCTTCTGCTATGACCCACTAACAACAAAATCGACAAGAGTTAATGATTTTTTAAATGATATTGACAAAAAACGAATTTTACCGATAATCGAGTATATTAAGCAAAAGAAACTCAAAACATTATTTGTTTCACCCATGAATTACAATTTTGACTTAGATTTGCAAATAAATGCAAGTGTTATTTATTATCCATCAATTATTGACTCAAAAACATCAACAGACACTTCAAATGTTCTTTACCAAGCAAAAATAAATGATAAATATACAAATTATTGCAATTTTGATGGTAAAATATCATCAGTTACTGCAGATGAAGTTGCAAAATATTCTTTGAAGAAGTATTTCGATTTTAAGCCAGGATCTGTGATAATTAAGCCAAATAGCGAGATATCCATTGAAAATGCGTTAAAAGAAATCAATATTTCAATAAATGAAAATTTTAATTGTCAAACACTTGAAGATAAGCATATGTTTGACGGTATTGATAAAATATCTATCGAAAACAATTCAGTTTCCGATGTAATTCATAAAGAATTTGACAATTTCAAGAAAATTAACTCTAACAAGAAATATATATCATTTATATCAGTAGCTCCTCTTTCAAACATATCTAAGTTCCAAGACAATCTTGAAGCATTTGATCATTTAGCTTCTTTATATCAAAATTTAGATTTTGAAATTATTTATGTTGGTCACACAGGAATATCTAATGGAATGAACTTTACAATCCCTGAAAGATTAAAGAACAAGGTTAAAATGATCACAATTGAAGAAAATGATTGTGATAAATTATTTAATATAACTAATAAAAAGATTTCAACCCATGCCATATCTATGTATCACATAGGAATCCGAAATTCTCTTGGAAAGTTCATTTTATTGTTTGATGACGTATTTTCGATGAATGAACACATTTTTGAACTCCTTTCTCGCAAAGCACTTAACAAGTATGTTCTGTATTCACTTTCTGCTACTGAAATAACCGGAATTGAAAAAAAGCCAAAATATATTTTTCAATTTTTTAGAAAATTGTTAAAGCAAGAGCCATTATTCGATTTAACAGCTGATTCTATCCATATAACAGATGTAATTTCAGCAAAAACTGCATTTTTAAAACAACCAAAATTTTCCTATCTTCTTTCAAGAGAATTATTTGATGCAATTGGTGGATTTGATCTCCATCATTATGCTCAAAATTTTCATGAGCTTATTCTTGGAAAATTTTTGCAAATTATTCCTGGATATCTCATTAGCAAATGGGCGCAGCCACTTATCGCTATATCAAGCATTCCTAAGGTCAGATCAGTTGATTATTTCAATCCAGAATACATCATATCATTTAATAGTAAGTATGAAATGTTTTCAGGAGAATCAGAAAGCAAAAAAGAAGTATTGGAGATAATCAGGAAATATGACAACTATCACACTGATGAAGAATAATTATTTGTTTAATATTAACTATTGTTTTGTTTATTTAAACATGAGTTTTATTATTATTCGACCATTTTATATAAAAGACTTATTATATATTTGCACCATTAGAAATAAGAAGTTCGTATGTTTCTTTGTTATTATATCATGCTGTGTAAAAAAGAAGTAGTTCTGTTGCTTCTTTAGAATTTTTTCTGCTGCATAATGAAGAGTAGTTTGTCCATATATATCTTTTTCATTGGTATATGTGCCATATGATATAAGAAGTTCTGTAATTTCTCTATAATTCCAAGTTGCTGCAACTTCCAAAATTACGATTTGATATAGGATTCCTTATATCTAACTTTTTATTTGCACCTTCCAATTTGAAATATCTTCAATTCTATGTTATAAATGTGGACAGCAATGATCACAACAATTTCTGATATAATTTCTGGATTTTAATTAAATTCATAGATATGAAATGACACAATGACAATAGCTAAGTCGAAAGCAATGAGATAATTATCAATAAACATATGTTCAAATTTGGATCGAATAATATTGAGATATCACCTATATGCAAATTGTCTTCTTTGAAGATTCTCGTTTTATTAAAATTTACTCATGGTTTGAAATTTTGAATTATTTATTAATACTAATAATGGCTGAAACAATTGTTCATGATAGTTCCTTGGACCTTATTGTATACGGCATTATATATATAATCACAAGTGTTTATATTATTTGTTTTGGAAAAAAAAATAGATATTCATAGATAAGAAACAAACAATTTATTCATTTTGAACAGAGAAATATGATACTTTTCCTGCAGATTGTCTAACAAGTTCTGCAGGATTACCTTCAACAACTTCCTGTTTCCCTATGGAATGGAATGTAACTGAAAAATTCCTCATTTGTATGAAGTTAGTCAATGATATTTTCAGTGATTCAAATGACTCTGGCGCGTTAAAGAAAAAGTTTTGAATGAATGAACCATCGAAGTAAACAGAGAAAAGTGTTAAAGTATCAGTAGCTCCGATAATTATTCTAATATCATTCCCTTTCATATAAAGTAAATCAGGTCTGATTCTTCCATGCAATTCTTCGCAAATTGCTTCAGAATTCACACGAAAAACTCTGCAATTTTCGCCAACCAAATCGAAAGACTTCAAAAGATGTTTCACTTTTGGATTGACTCTGACAATGAAATCAGCAGTTTTGTATATATCACAAGGATTACTTACTTTGTATATCTTTATTGGAACTGTTGATTTTGGTTTTGAAACTGGCATTCTTTCGGGAAGAACATGTAAAATCAATGATTTCCTTTCTTTAGGATACAGATCACTTAATCGATATTTTTTGTCACTTCTTGCCAAGAAACCGTAATATGACAAAAGAACTTTATAATCATCTCTTGATTCGAAGATTTCTTTCATGTATTTATTTGCGTATTCAACAACTTTCTCGAACTTTTGGAACGAATAGAAAACTGAACTAAATGTAAATGGAGTAAATTCAACACAAAATATGACATGAACTAATTTATCATTTTCAACAGGATTTCTTAAAAATTTTCTGTATCCTGATTGTTGCATCATTATGTATAAAGGTAATTCATATTTCCCGAAATCTTCTGGAAATTCTGATTCCAAATATGGTTTGTCGTAACCAAAAACCATTGATGTTTGTGTGTCTTCTTTGAATTCATTGACTAAACTTTTGATTTCGTCAACAGTTTCAAATAGCATTTTATCTGGATTATCAAATTCCATTGTGCTTTGCTTGAAACTCTGTGTAATAACTTCATATGAAGTATCTTTATTTTTCAATGGAAATTGATCGTCAATTCCCCCACTGTCACTTTTTACTTCCCTGTTGTCACTTTTTGGGAAATTGAATGCACATTTAATTTCACCAATTCTTGATCCAACAGGTCTTGGCAGCTCTGGTAACTCTGATGCGCGTACTTCAATGACATCTCTCATCGTAACAATGTCATTGATATCAGAAACAAATGCTAAAACGTACGCTGGAGAAACATTTGAAATTGATGAAGTTAAAATCTCTTCCAAAGTTGATGTTCTAACGTATTTATCGTTGGCAATCATCCACCCTTGTGAATCTTGAAGTCCAATCCTATAATGACCATAGACACTTGTGCCGATGTGTTGAACAACACCAAGTAAATGGTAAATGCATGCCCCATATGGTGTCAAATCAATCATCGTTGGTATGTTCATAGGATCAAATCTTTTGTATTCTGTCTTTGTTAATTTATTAAAACATAATCTGTGTAATTGTAAGAAAAAGAGTTTTGGTGGATGAGAAAATCTGTATTTGTTTGAATCTAATGAACTCCTGAGTGCTTCATCAACTGTGTATTTTGAATCGACAGGAATTGTGTAAATAAAAACATTATCTCTTTGATTACCAAGCGAATCGTACAATTTGCAATTTATTAGCTCCAAAAGCGTACTTTGTTTATCTTTTGGTAAGCTTTCGAGTAGATAATTTAGAAAATAGGATAAAAATTCGCTCATATCTTGTTGCTTGGATTTATCGATTTTTAATGCAGTAGTTAGTGGTTCTGGACTAAGTGGAGTCGTTTGTGTTACAAAGTTATGCTGTAATGTGGAAAAAATTTTAAAGATTTGTTTTTCTGGATATAATTCAGCATAAGATTGAATCAATTTGGCTAAAGGCTTGAACCTAAATAAAATCTGTAAGGATACCGACAAATAGCATGTATTCGAGAGATTAATGATGCCACCACTCAATATTTGTTCCATCAAAAATCTGATTTTTATCTCAACTGATAACTCATTGTTCTAAATAATTAAATTTTTTGTTAAATAAATAAAATTATCGAACTTTGCTAAATTTTGTAATTCTAGTCAAGAAACAATTAAAATTCATTCACATTTTAAAAAATTATTAAAATAATGCTCAAATATAATACAAACAGTTTAAATTAGAACAATCTCCGGCTGACATATAGATTAGAATATAATAAAAATATTGAAATTAAAATTAAAACAAATATCATGATAATAGCAATAAAATTCTTCTTCCTGTAGATAATTTGATTACGGATCCTCTTAATTATGATAGGAAACGCTGTAAAATTATGAGAAACAATGGATTTCTGAGTAATTACGAGATCATCATTAGTAACAAGTGATAAATGTATGTTCGTCATTTGTCTATCTAGTCTTCTAGGTTTATCGCTCAGAACGTCATCATAATTGTATGAAGCCATTAGATCTGATATTTGATCACTAAATTTGTCATTCATTGAATAATCATTGTAAACTATTGGGTTACCATGGCAGATATACTCAAATTGAGTTTCCATTTGATCCAAAAACAAATTTTGGAGCTGTAAATCGGTCGAAATTGAAGCTAAACTAATAAAAGCAATTTCACTTTTGTTTAATTTAACATTGAATACATACTGTCCATGATCTGAAAAAACGTTTCGATTTGTTCGATTCATTGATTTTATAATCTTTAACGCAACAGAAATATAGTTACCTGTAATAGTGGAGTATTCAGCAAGGACTTTTCCATGGCCAACAACAAGTCCTGCATAAATTACCATTATGAAATTTGTTTCTGAATTTACATATCGGTAAAATTTATGTAAACATTTTTTAATTGTGCCGGGGTGATACCCCCTCTTCTATTTTTCTAGGGAAACTGAGCGCTTCTTTTCTCCTTCTCTTTCTAGAAATGAAAGTAACCATTAGAAGATCTTAATTCTTCTATTCAGTTAATATCTATCTTAATCAACAATATCAGTTCCATTCTTAATTATTCTTACTTATAAATCAATTTAAAACTAACATTATTAATTTAAATTAGATTGATCTTGTATTAATAAACCATAATGCTACTACGAAAACTGATATCAAATTATCACGTTAAAAATCTAAATTTTGAATCTCTAATATGGAACGACAGATTTTACCATCAATCTGTGATCATACGTAGATTTTTGTATGTATCTATATATCTTGATTACAGAAAAAGTTACTAAAATTTGACTAAAAATAGAGCAATTTAAAAAAAATGTATATGCTTTATTGAAATAATAAGCAACAGATATTAATACGTTTTCTAGGGTAATTGTAGTTTTGCTTCAGATATTTCAATATTTCCGATTTCATATCTCAACATTTTCAACCGAATCATAATTCATCTTAGAGACATGATTATTGAGAAACACATCCGAATGTAGTACGTTATCTTTCATATATTTACTTGCTATTATTTAAATAAAACAGTAGTATATGTGGAAGGGTTTAGTGACTTTTTTTGTTACATCTATATATAGACGATGCATTAAAATATAATTTATAAACACATTAAAAAAATTAACATTAATTTTAAAATAATTTATTTTTTTATCTTTTATAAAAGAAGCTATATATAGATGATGTCAGATATTCCGCGATTAATTAAACATTGTTTAAATCCTGAATGGGTTAAACTTCAATTTAAAAATGAAGATTGTGAATTATTAAATGAATATGAAAGCCAAAATAAGCTAATGAGGTATAAATATAATGATAAAGAATATTTAATTTCATGGAATCAATGGAGTCATAATCAAAGACCTCATAAACGGGAAGAAGAAATTGAAAATAATGAAATGGAAATCATTGATGACATTAAAGAGGATGGAATTCCTAAATTTTGTAGAAAAACCTTTAGAACTAAGTTAGGAGTATATAAACGTAGAGTATTAAATCCTGAATACATAAAACATTTATTTAAAAAGGAAGACTGTGAATTATTAAACGTTAATGAATATGAAAATGCTAAATCAAAATTGAAATATAAATATATTGGAAGTGATGAAAGGTGTAAAGATAAAGATAAAGTTTATTCAGTTTCATATAATAACTGGCACACGTTAGGGATAAGAAAACATTTAGGAGATTATGGGAAATGTTCTGAATTCTTTAAATCTAGTATGTACGAGAGAGTAAAAGAAATTAGAAATAATTATTTTCATGAATGAAAAATAAACTTTAAAAATTCATGTCTTACATTTTTGAATAATTTATTTTTTTAATTCGTAAGAAAATGAGTGGATCAAGATTCGTAACCGTCAATCAATTAATGGATGTTCTTTCACCAATTCTTGAAAATGTTAAACAAGTAGATGTTTATTTCGATGATTATGTAGAAAGTATATATTATAAAGGTAAGTTTAATATTAAACCTATTGCTTTTGCATTTGATAATAAATTAATTGAAAATGCAAAAATTTGGGAATTAATTCCAGATATTGAATTATAACAAATATTAATGATAAATGGTTTAAACGAATTCCAACCACAAAAGTTCTTTGTAAATTAATGATCAAAACTGAGGAAAAAGAATTTAACGGGTTTAAATATCATCCAAATAAAGTTTCAGAACTAGAAAATGAAAAACTTCAGAAAAAATTAAACGATAGACTTTCAAATGATCGTATTGAAAAAATAAATAAACTAGCAGAAGTTGCATTTAATAATGAAATATTTGATGAATATAACCTTGAACTCAGTGATGGGCTTTAAGGACCCGGGCTCAACGAGTCATGATTTATGAAATCAATTATTTGATTCATTCGCTCTTCAATAATTTCTATTCTTTTTGTTAAATCATCTATTTTCATTAATGAGGTGATTCTTGATTGAGGAATAGATTTCAAACTAACCACTCCTTTTATTTTTGAAATTTTGAATCCATCAACTTTAAACATTTTATTCAATTTACATGTTGTCAATTCTTCAAATAATTTTTTATTATTAGCATAATAGTCATTAAATTCTTCAACAGATGAAAAAATTTTTATTTCAGTAATTGGTTTAACAACGTTTATTTTTTGTTGAACATTTTCACTTTCATTTATTTCTTCCTCCTTTGTTTCATTTATTTTTAAAATCGGTTTCATTTATCATTAAATAAAAATTAGAATATAAGTGATGAAATATATTTTTTAATTAATATTAAATCAGAAATGGCGGCAGGATTCTTTAAAAAATTATGGGATGGAATTAAGAAAGCTGCAGGTTGGGTTTATAAAAAGGTTATTAAACCTGTTGCAAACTTTTTGGCACCAGTAGCGAAAACGGCAGGAACTATCATAGGTGGTGTATTAGGTACTAAAGCAGGTAATCCGGCAATGGGAGCACAAGCAGGTAACGCAGTTGGTGGAATTGCTGAAGGAATACTTAATAAAATAGGAGGTAAATAGTGGAAAAATAAATAAATATTATTTTTATCTTAGTATCGGTTGTAGTCTTTGATAAACTTTTTCTCCTTTATTTAAAATTTCTCTTATTGGGGCAGCTTTTGGCGTTATTGATTCAGCAACGTCACTAATTGCTTCTTTATTCTTAAATATCCAATTTGCTCCTTTCTTCATTGTTTCCCAAACTTTATGCGCTCCTCTTTTTACTTTATCCCACAGTTTCTTAAAGAATCCTGCAGCCATAGTTGATTATTTCATTAAAATTAAAAATTCATTTTCATCTTTTAATTTTGATTTTTTATTTATTAATAAATGACGACTAACTATTTAGTGCCAAACACCAAACCGATTAATGGAAATGTGTTTCATTCATTCGAAAAGATAAATGAAATATTCGCAAAGAATGATGGAAGAAGATATTATAGAGAACTTGAAAGTTCATGCTATGACTCTGATGCTCCATATTTTGATGATAAACAAACTCATTTAAGAATTACAAATCCGGCTCATGATGTGAACCAATTAGGTGACACATATATTAAACGCAAAGTTAAAGCAACTCTAGTTTCAAATAAAGCTTTCACATGTGATGCCGCTTTTAAATGCATGCGTTTATTCGTTGGTTATAAATCATCAAATCAAAGCTTTAAACAATTAGAAGTAGAAACTGAAAGAGGTGATGCCGGTTATCTTCAAATGGATTGCGCCCGTGAATCTTTCGCATTTGCAACATATAAACCAAAATCAGAAAGGAAAGTTAAAAAGTTTGTTCATTCGTTATATAATAATGTTCAAAAATATGATAACTCAGTATGTGGTAAATATATTGACCTTCAGAAGTTTTCAAGAAAGCAAATGAAGAAGTTGATATCACTTTTGATATGATTATTCCGGTAAATGATTTGTTAGCATTTCAGGCGTTCGATGATTATCCTAAATCATTTGGTGAAATCATTCTTAAATATTATGTTTTCAGGGATACTTTAGTATTTTGTCAGGTGACCCGTTAAGAGTTGCTGATTTACAAAATTATGTTTATGAAAAGATAACTGATGAAAATTATGAAAAGATTATGAATCATGTTTATAAATATGATCGCAAATTCCAACAAATCGGACTTCCTGCCAAATTAATTACAAGCTTAGCCGCTACATCTGCTGACGCAACAGTTGAAGACGTTATTATTTCATGCACAAAGATGGAAGTTTTAGAGGATAAATGCATTACACCAGGATACGGTTTAATTGAAGAATCAGTTAAAGCAATACCACGTTTATTTAGTAAGGAAGATCCATTCATGATTCCAGCTCAACATATTGACGTTCGTTCACTAAATGGAGGTTGCATCACTCCTGAAGGTATTAGCTCAGATTTTTCATACGCTCTTCATAATGTTACAGATGTTGTGTTAACATTTCCGAAGAATGCAATGCAAAGAACAGTTTTAGAAAATCCAATGCTTCGAGGTCTTCAGGTCACTATAGATTCCAGAAACTTTCCCGATCAAGCGATGACCACAGTGGGTGACATATTCTTTACACGTATGCTTCAAGCTTCTAATTTAGATGGGGTGAATGAATGCACAGAAGAATACGAGGACTCATTAACTAGACCACTGAATGATGATAATGGCACGCCATTAGCTAGAACATGGAAAGACCAAAATTATTCTTATGCACTATTCCAGTTCAACGTGATGGAGCGGGTATATTCTTTGATGGATTAGAAACTTTCAACTCACAAGTTTACAGTACAAGTGAAAGCTTATCCAATCATTCAGGGTGTAAATGACACTTACTGTTCAAAGGTGACAAATCTCCTCAGGTTTGGTTTACTAGGACTACATATTGGACATGGACACCGGACGAAGGTTTTGAAATATCATCCAACAGGTACACCAACAGTATAGAATTCATATGATGAAATATTGATGAATAGAAATGTTTAAAATTATAAATTTATTTTTGATTAAATGGATTTAAATTCATCCACCCCTTATGAAAATTAACAGATGTATATAATACATACTAGATGATATGATTAATGACATTGAGTGATAATAGAAATGCTCTATCTAAGGAAAAATTAATGAAAATTCCATATTCTGAATGTTACTTAAATTCAATCACTGCAGCAATTGGTAAACAAAATAAAGGTAAAACATTAACGATATTAAAACAAATTATCATTATTGCTAACACTTCCCCCATTCACATGTGTTAATTTATATCAACCGTTCAGGTTCACCTTCAGATGATACATTTGAATCTTTAAAGCATTTAATCAAAATTCCAATTATTTATTTATCACAAGAAGAAGCAGAAGATTATTTAAAAAACTTTTTAATGTATAAAGAATTATATAATACAATCAAGAAGCAAGGATTAGAGGATAAAATTATTGATAAACAACGGGATGAATTATTTGAAACACTTTCTATTTCAAATTTTGATAGAGAATTTTTGCATTCACTCATTTTTCTAGATGATGCAGTGAAATCAAAACTAATAACAAATGAGAAATCATATTTTAATCAGTTATTAACTCAATGTCGACACATTCAGTGTTCATTCTTTATGACTGTTCAATATTTCAAAGCATTAAGCACAAACATTAAATCAAACCTGTCCACCCTTTTCATTTTCAGTGGTTTAGTCGTCAACAGTTGAACGTTATGCTTTATCAAGTGAATTTACCAATGAGCATTAATGAACTTTACACACAATATCAGCAATTAGGTGAACATGGAAAAATAATAGTTGATTTAAATAAAGGAGTGTTTTTGATTAACTTTTTATAATTAATTTTTATTTTTTATTTATAATTAAACATGACAGAAATAGCAAATCTTCTACAGGTTCCATTAAAACAAGGAACAAACAAAAAGGGTGCATATAATAGAACTATGAAAGTTCCAGACGGAATGAAAGAATTAGTTCATATTGTTGCTGGTCTTCAAAAAGATGTTAAACAAATGAGAAACGTTTTAACATTACCAGAAGCTCAAGCATATGCCAAACGTCATGGACCAAATTGGGAAGCACACGAAGCAGACATTACAGGTCCAAATGGAAAACCTGATGGTATAAATGAAGTTTTCGTTACTGATGGTCAAGGTAATATTAAAGTCATAAATGGGTATAAATTAACAATGACGGATTATCCTAAACGTAAAGCATATAATGAATGTTATCCTATGCAATTTGATGAAAATGGAAAAGCTGTTAAACAATACATTGGAGAAGGTGAACATGGTCCAATTAATTCATACCGTCATAATCCATATTCTTATTTCAATGAAGAATTAAATGCTATTGAAGAGGGACCGGATGGATTACCACGATATGTTAATCAGTTTGATGGTCAATATGCAAATTTGAGACCTGAAATTCCAGCTAAGAAATTCTTTAAAGTTGCTTTATTCGATCCAGTGTTCAATGAACAGAAAGAAGCAATGAAAGCAGAATTTAAACCAATTCAAGTGGCAAGAATTTCTTCATCTTCACTTTCAGAAGCGTTCAAGGAATTGATAAAGAAACCACTTTATTCTCAACAGGTTATAACTTTGATTTAATTAAAGAAAGTGATAGACGTAAATTAGAAAAATCAGATGGTTTTAAGAATGCATGTAATGAAATGATTAAAGATATTGTAAATGATAAAATAAGACTGGAAGAAACTCAAAGCAATATCAATAACATAATTGGTGTAGTTACAAAGAAAGTATAAGCAAACAATGATGAACCTTGGGATATTACCGTAACAACTAAATAAAACTTTAAATATATTTTTCTTTTTTTATTCAATTATAAATGAGAAGACGTTTCACAAGTCAAAAGAACACTAACGCAAAAGCAGAGATTACGGTTGGTTATAACGTAAATGATGATAAATCACGAATTATTCAAAATGTTAAAGTTAATGTTAGCCCCGAATTAACAAGGTCAGCAACTCAACCAAATTTATTACCTCGTGACTTACCGAAAAAGAAGGAGGAGCAAAATAAAGAAGATGGAGACCCAATCATTTTATCTGAACCCGGTAAAGAACCTGTTGAAATTCCCACTTATCCAACATACCCCCCACCTCTTTCATCAAACATCGAGAACCCAGGAATCTACGATTACAGTCGCAATGCGCCATATAAAATAGACATTAATTCTGAATTAATGAAAATTTACCGTGATAATAACTGATAATTATGATTCAATAATAAATTTAATTGATCAATCCGGTTTAATTATTTTACCTTATGAATCATTAATTCACATTATCGCCATTCTTTGTGATGTTCAGGATTCAGACGTTAAGATTCAATTTTTCATAGATGATGAGGTTTCATGCTGCGGAACAGTTGCAAAAATAAATCCTATAAAGGATATTAGCACAATTAAGATATCAAAGAACGGAACAACAACTGAACTACATTTAACTTATAATGATATTTATAATAAAATAGTTGATGAATATAAAATATCACTTGAAAAATTCTTTGTTAAGGCTATTTAATATTCAAGCATTAACATTATTGAATAATAATCCTTTGAATCATAATCAATAATAATTGACCTTTCACCAGTTTCTATTGTTTGTTTTATTTCTTTTTGTTCCCCACTATCTGGATCGGTCATTGTAATTGTTTTTGTTATAGTATCAGCTTTATCTTTAACTTCAATCTTTTTTCCATCGGATATTTAAACCAAAATTCCAAAAATTCGATATTGTCAATCTGTTCATATTTTAATCTATCAATTACATTTTTAATACCATCTGAAAATCTTATGAAATGGTCATTATATGGGTTTGATTGAACTAAATTTGAATGAAGTGAAATATAACCCGATGATGAATATGACATTGACTCATATTTTCTGAAAACACTAAAATTTATAACATGAATGAATTTCTTATTCGTTGAATTTATGAATTCTTGAGGTAATCTTATTCTAGTTTTATTTATCACTGGAAAATAACGCTTTACCATATTTTTAATCGTAATAAAAAATGTCAATTATCAATATTATTTCGAATAATAGCTGTGAATTAAATTTAACAGTTAGCGGAATTTATAATGTTACTCTCGTTTCTGTGAGTGGTAAATTTAATCCCATTCTTTTAGACCCTTCAGATTATATATCATTTATTAAAGATGACCTTGAAAAAACATATGATATGTATATAAATAATGTGATAACGAAATGGGATATTAACATGATTTTAAGTTATTTAAATGAATCATTTATCATATGGTATGAAGAAAATTTTAAATCAAAACCTGATAAACTTTTTGAACTTGATGAAATAAATAACTTTATTAAATTTCCGCTGAAAATTAAATTTTGTACTCCTCATCTTCGTTCATTGTTGGGGATATTAAATTTTGAAAAAGATGTTGGGGATGTTTTGTATTCTGACACTGGTTCCAATTTCATTTTAATCAAATGTGATAAAGTTAATACCCCAATGAGATTTTCACATCAAACATTAGACCCTAACTCTTACCCATCAATACAAAACATTTTATCCATCAACTTAAACATATTTTCTTTATCATATCCGTTTCAATTATCCGGGAATTCATTTATTCTTCATTCAAAAGATTTATCAAATATTAAATTTAGAATAACTGACCTATTTGATTGTGATTTAGAATTCATGAATGAAATATTATGGCAATTTCAAATAGAAAAAATAGGTGATGAGATAACGGATTAAATATTTATTTTTAAATCATAATAAATGATTAAACAACAGCAACCACAACAACTTAAGGCACAGACCATTACATACGCCATATATGCATATAATTCAAAGACGGCAGAACAAACGCAAATGTTGAAATATGGAGATTTGGAGATAGTATTGAAAAATGACCATTTCGAATTCGTTTGCAAAGGTGGTGCAGTGATATCAAATATAAAAGAAATTTTATTTATGAATTCAAAAATTAAAGGAATAACGGATGATATAACATCAATTCCACCAGAAGAACAAAGATATTACGCATTAAATGCATTTCCTAAAGTTTTGAAGATTGGAAGATTTAATTTAAATGAGGAATTCATAAAAGGTTTCCTAAATGACATAATGAAGAAAGTAGATAAGGAATATGTGGATAGTGAATTAATGAAGAAGGTAGATAAGGAATATGTGGATAGTGAATTAATGAAGAAGGTAGATAAGGAATATGTTAATGAAAAAGATAATGAAATTATAGAAAGGGTTGAATGGTATCATGAACGGACATCGAAGATTCTTAAAACTAAAGCTGATACAGGATGGGTTTCAGAATGTTTAGACCTTAAAGCAGATAAAACTTATGTTAACAATGAGTTAGAGGAGAAAGCAGATAAGAACCATACACATACAAGTTTTACAACTGTTGCTATAGAAAGTAAGGCGCCGTCGCGGTTCGAACCACAGACCTTGACCCCTCCATAACACCACCTTAGACCACTGTGCTACGTAGCCTGTCGACATAAGATTTTATAAATTGCATATTTGACGTAAATTTATTTCCCAGTTATTCAAAAAATAATTAATTATTGAATAACCTAAAAACATTAACGATAAAATAAGTGATAACAAATTTTTATTTTTATCATAAATGAATACCCCACAAGCTCAAAATTTACCACGAATCATAACAAGGGAGGAAATGATAAAAATGATGCAAGAACATGTTAAAAATAACAAACCACTAAAATTGAGAAAATGTGGTTATGCAGTAATGATGGAAAGAGAGATGTTGTCGAAGAGGAATAAAAATTAAATTTGGATTGAGTTTAAAAATTCATCTTTATTAAATTCATCTCTTCCAATCAATTTATTTATTCTATTAAATTCTTTTATTTTTGCTTCACTCAGTTTAAGGATTGAACGATAAGTTTCTAATTTTTCGATTATTTCTTTATCATTTTCAACCCCACTGCATTGCGACTTCTTTTTGTAATAGCATATTTTTGATTTAATTCTGTTTAGTTTCTTTTTATATTCATTGTCTGGACTCTTGACTGCTTTGTTGTCACTCATTTTCTTACGAAATAAAAAAATTAAATATTATTTAAATATAATGGAGTAATAAAATAAATCGGAATTTCTATTAATTTATTGTCAACTTCAACTAATGCATTGCCGTTAATATATCTAACAAATTCAGCTATTGTGTCAAATCTTCGTCTTCTTTTGTCATTGATTTATCAGTTTTTCCATAATCGAGATGAATTAAAACTTTATTTCCTTGTTTAAAATTCATGAGCCCCGAATTAATTTGTTCACGTTTAACATCATTTAACCTTTCCATTTGCTTTCTAATATATTCCCATTCTTTTGAAATATCATTTTTCATTTCCACTGGTTTCATGTTTATAGTTCTATGCCATGTATTATTGTAATAATATACTAACTGCTGTATGATGGAGTCATGATTTCCATCCCAGTATATCTGACCGTTAACCCCTAACGCATCTCTAAGAGTTCTCATTACCACATCAACTATTTTATTATGAAACGTATATGGAGAGGATGAAAAGTAAAAATTAATTTGTGGGAAATAATGAGCCATAGCTGCCTGAAATCCTTTATCACCATCACCCCTTATATTATCTACTCTTTCATGATCTAGTAAGTATTGTATAGCTCTTCTTGTTTCCTGTTCTGTTTTCCCTTTCACCGGAATGCAATATAAATATCTGGTGTTAATGTTAATGGCAAATAAATAAGTAACGTTTCCTTTTGAATATTCCAGATGATCAATTTCGTATGAATATGGATATAGTGCAAATGAAGGGCGACTAAATTTTTCCTTTAACGGTTGAATTTTTGGGTCAATTGGTTTATTTAATATCTTGAAATCCTTTTTAAAATCTTTTTGCTTCTTTAATGTTTGAAATGGATATAATAAAGTGAATGATGAAGGATTAACTGAAGGAGGAGGTACTACTGTCGTTGGAGGTTTTGGTGTTGTAAGTGGTTTAATTTTATCTGCTTTGATTTTGGATTTCATTCCTCCTTTCATTAATTCTGGATGTATTCTATTCATTTGTTTTAAATATGTTGTATATAAAGGTTTGATATACTTTCCCGCTTCGAGTTTATGTTGAAGGATGAATTCCAAAAGTTGATCTTCATTTAAAAGTCGGCTGAATATGGTTTAACTAATGAATCATAAATTAAAGCTTGTGCATCATTTATGGTCTGAAGGACCTGGGCGTTTTGTACCATTTGTTTTTGTTCCTTTGGCTTTTGCGGCTCGGGATTATATAATTTATATAATTCATCAATATCTTCTTCTGTTAATACTTTATTTTTGAAATCTTTCAACTGTTTAAGCTGTGATTTAGTTTTTCCCTTTGTATATTCATTATTTTTAATTTTGTCTTTAATTTTAGAAATTATTTTATCATGATATTTCAAAATTTCATTTTTATAATACGAATAATAATAATCCATATCATCACCCGTTATATTTTTATTATGTTTTTGGAGATATGCTTTTAAATCATAATAATCAAGAAAATTTTGATTAAATACTAAATCATCAATTAAAATTTTTAAATCTGTGTTATCCATTTATATAAAAAATAAAATAAATGTTTTAAGGGTGCCCACCTCTTTGAATCATAGTACAAAACCATTATTAACGGTTCCTTTTGTCTCTTCTGTGGCATTTCATTAAATAAATGGCATACAACATCCATTTTCACAACATACAGCCTTAGTGTGTGCTCCTGTTAATGCAGTCTTACCAATTGTTAAGCGAGTCATTGACCCGTTTTTAAGTTGTAAATTAATATTCTGACCATCAAATATCACTTTATCATTTATTATATCCAAATAATTTTTAGGTGTTAATTGTTTATTTTGTCGTAAACTAACACCTTTCATTTTTTGTGCAATCTTTTTAAAATCACCTTCATCAATTGAACCGTTGAATGAAGTATAACACTTAGGGCATAAAGCAACCATGTTATCACCTTGTTTCTCAATTGCTAAACCCAATAACTTCTTCTCATGTGCTTTTTCTTCAGCTTTATTCTTTAATTTAGGTTTAAATTTCTCATCAAAACAGAAGAAATCAAAAGGTGCGAATTTGTAAATGTTTTTATCATAAAATTGTTTATCGGTAACAATCGCCTGAAATGCTTGAGTGTTAGGAAGACTTAGATCGCCAGCAATAGCCCAATAAGATGAATCAGTATCACCTTCAATGAAATGAAAACGATTAACATCCATGCATTTATACATAAAATCATAAATGAAAACCAAATACCAGTATTTAGCATTATCTAAAGTGAAGAATGCCTCTTGTAAACATGTATCACATCTATAAAATCTATCTTTAAGCATCACTTGATACGTATCTTCACCTATTTCTCTTATGTTTTTAAACTTATTTGACATACATGCAACGCGTGCCTTCTGTGCATTCATTATTTTAGTCTTTGCGTAATTTTGTGTATTCATTGCATCGTAACCATATGATCCATTAAGTGAAATCTTGCAAAATAAACTTTTTCCTTTATTTCCTTCTAATTCAGCCTTTTGTCTTTCGTTCATAAATTCGTTCGTTGCAAATTCATTAAAACAAGTATTTTTCGTAAATGTTAAAATTGATTGAATGTCATCAATGATAAAATGAAATCTGTCTATTAGATACCAAAGATAATAAGAAGAAAATGGTTGATATTGGTTGTGTGTTGATGCTAACTGAGTTAATTTTCTCTGTTTCTGGTCAACTGGTAGATTGTTTGATTTCATGTAATTATACATAAAACTGCCAATTGTTTTTTCATCTGTGATAATATCTAAGTTTCTTATTATCGGTAAAAAGTTTATGTAATCATTAATGTATTTTTCATCAATGTGACCCTTTACTTCAGCCACGAATAAAGTATTTTTTCTTTCTAATTATTCCCAATGCTTTTGCTTTCTTTGTTGCTGTATCACAAATGATAACACCATTCAATCTTCCCGGCATATACATTTTATGGTTAGTATATTGATGAAATCATGAGGATTAGATGAAAATGATGAAGGATATAATGAATTAAAGTCAACTCCAACGAAATGAGTCATAATGTTGGTGTGTCCTCATTTGATACAGTTTTAGTTTCTGGATTATATGAAGTTTATTAATGTGCGTGATTCCTTTAAGATTAACACGATGTTGAACATTTGATAGACCACCAGTAATTCCATTACGGAGAATGTGATAAGCTTCAACTGAATCTAAAGTCATTGGTAAATTATTTTTTAATGTATAATTTCTTAAATTGATTCTTAAACGTTGAACATCCTCATCTTTATTTGATTTTACGATATTGCAATAACAACACATTAACTGACAATTTTCTTTGGTATGTGGTTTTTCATTATCGATTCTATCCAATGTTGGTTTATTTGCATATGTAAACGCTTTACCACACATTTTGCATTTAGATGAAAGGATTAAATCGTGATAGTATTGAAAATCATCCATTGAAACATTATTTTTAGTATCTCTTTCTGCTTTTTCATCTTGTTTCTTATATGATTCAATTTTATATTTCCAATACTTTTTCGTTAATTCAAAACTTGATTCCACATTTTCTTCTTCTGGATATTTTTCGTTAGGATTAAAGTCTTTATATGCTAAAGCGTAACGAATCATTGATGCATTCGATGATAAAGAAAGATTATGAAGCATGTCAATTTTATAAACAAATGTTTCTTCAATAATTTTATCAATTGGGTCAATCATAATTTCAACATCTTTATTGCAATAATGAATAAAATATTCTAATCTATTCTTAAAATTTTTAGCATCATTGAGATATATTTGATAATCACTATCTGATATAGTTTCTTGAGTTAATGCTGAATAAAATGAATCTTTCGTGAATGGTTCCTCTTTATATAATTCTTCTTCGTAATTTTCCCACGTGATGAATTGATAAGGGAAAAAGGATTTAACACGTGATTTATTGTTTCCGAAATCTCGAGTGAATTGATCTAATGTCCCACCCGCTATATAATTTCTGATGTCAATAAATCTCAATTCATATGGAACGTTTGTTTTCTTTACAATGATTTGCTTAAATTGTGAAGATGAACCCAGCATTGATTTTATTTTCCATTTTGCAGTGTTTAAATCACGAAGAATTAAATTTAAATCAAACTTTCCCGAATTAAAACCTATGATATTCACTTTATTGAATTCCTCATCTAGAAGTTCTTTAAATGCTTCCTTTTGTTTCTCATTTAATGTATGGGACAAAGTCCCCGCCGTTTGGTCCGTTTGCGGCTTCATTAATTCTTCATATTGTTCAATATTTGATTTAGCAACTAATGAACAGGTTGAAAATAAAAATTCAATCCAATCAGAAATAAAAGAATCACTTGAAGTTAAGCAAAAATTCCTCGTAAATGTTTTATCACGGTCTACGACCTCGCCGCTTTGCGGCTTTATTTTGACAGTTGATGAGACCATGAATGGTTTTAAGTAAGCATTCAAAGTTGCACATTCAGAAAGTTGAAGTTCTTCTTTAGTCTCTAATGTTTCGAAGTCAAAAGTAATATAATATCTTGTTGGTTTATAATATTCCTGCAAATTATGTGCTAATAGCCATTGATATATCTTCTGTTTCGTGATATGTGGTGCATATGGTTGTTGTGTGTTTTGCAATTGAACGTCTTGAATTAATCTCCCATTATTTTCTTTACATTTCTCACAATGTTTTAAAAATCTTCTTTGGTTTTTCCTTTCTGGATCATCACGGATAGAATATACTTCTTCTTTGCAAAAGGGGCAAACTCTATAGCCGGTGAGTGCTTCAACGTCTGTTATTCTGTCAGCGTGAAGTTTTCCACATGGACTCTGTGTTAATAAAATATTTACTGTTTCAAATTCTGGATCTATCATTATTGAATCCACTAATGGAAAGTCTACCTTGTTAATGTCTACGTCTTCTGGTTGAGGGTCACAATAATAAAAATCAATATTAACGTTTAACATTCTTGCTAACCTCTCACTTTCTGATGAAATGTCAAACCCTTCATATGCATCTATTGCTTCATTTAAATAGCTTCTACGAGTTTTAGGATTAACACCATCAGGAATGTTATAGAAGCGTTTAAATAACCTTCTACCTTCTGCTCTAATTTGATTATCATTCATTTTAGCTGTTCCGTTTTTGTTCATTTATGTAAGAATAAAAAATTAAAAAATAAATAAAAATAAAGTTTATTTTTTTAAAGTCCGAGACTCAGAGAGTCCAGGGCTAAAGTCCATAAAATGAATTAAGAACACATAAATTTTTATCATCTGCGACGTGACGAATACATTTTAATTTACTCAAGAATGCGTACCCTGATACATTAAATCTAATTCCTGTCTTATTTAATTTCACAACTTTGAAAAGGAATGTATGAATAGCTATAAAATGATGAGATGATGTTTTATGGGTTGCTTCCATTTTTTCTGAAATAAATGAATAAATATAATGCTTATAAGTTTTCATATCTTTTATATTCTTAATAACGAATGGTATAGACCTTTCCACTTCGTCTTCCTTCGGTGCTGTTCTTTCATATGAAACATTATTGGTATCTTCAATAATGAAACCACAATCGCATAAAATTTTATATGTACCAATTGTTTCTTTTGATATTTTATCTAACAAATCAAAAACTTTATCAACACCCGTGCATTTATTTAAATAATAATTTGTGTAAATATCATGGTCTTCTTTCTTAATCGTATTTGTTGCATATGTTACATTTTTCAATGCTTTTTTGAATTTTTCAGAATCAAGAGGAGGTGAAAGTAATATACAGGGGTATTCTTCATCGTCAATAAACTGAAGCTTATGTTTATGAATAAATTTTGTGCCTTCTTCTGAAAGTGTTTCGTCAATATCACCATCTAATAAATTTTTAGTAGATACCAAAAAGTAATTTTTATATCTTTCTTCATGAGATTTCTGAACTTCTGATTCTGAAGCTGGGATATTCATTAAACCCTCTACTTCATTCTCATTATATTTTTCAACTTCTCTTAATTCCTTAATTTTTTCATCTATTTCATCTCTTATTTTTTCCAGTCTTTCAATTTCATCATATTCATCATCTTTAATCCGTTCTTCATAATATTCAGGGAAAACATCAGGTTCTTTAGGTTTTTCTTCTTCAGATGTAGGATATAAGAAATTTATAACATCATCTTTATTCATTTTTCCATCATAATCAAACTCATTTAAAAACTCTGCGAATTTTTTACAATTTCTTAAATAATATTTATCAACTTCATAACCCGCCTCCTCTAATATATCCTTTATTTCCTCGTTTGTGAATCCTAATTTTTTAACGTTGTTAGTTTTGACGCTCATTTATCATTAAATAAAAAAATAAATTACAAAATGTAAGACATGAATTTTTAAAGTTTATTTTTCATTCATGAAAATAATTATTTCTAATTTCTTTTACTCTCTCGTACATACTAGATTTAAAGAATTCAGAACATTTCCCATAATCTCCTAAATGTTTTCTTATCCCTAACGTGTGCCAGTTATTATATGAAACTGAATAAACTTTATCTTTATCTTTACACCTTTCATCACTTCCAATATATTTATATTTCAATTTTGATTTAGCATTTTCATATTCATTAACGTTTAATAATTCACAGTCTTCCTTTTTAAATAAATGTTTTATGTATTCAGGATTTAATACTCTACGTTTATATACTCCTAACTTAGTTCTAAAGGTTTTTCTACAAAATTTAGGAATTCCATCCTCTTTAATGTCATCAATGATTTCCATTTCATTATTTTCAATTTCTTCTTCCCGTTTATGAGGTCTTTGATTATGACTCCATTGATTCCATGAAATTAAATATTCTTTATCATTATATTTATACCTCATTAGCTTATTTTGGCTTTCATATTCATTTAATAATTCACAATCTTCATTTTTAAATTGAAGTTTAACCCATTCAGGATTTAAACAATGTTTAATTAATCGCGGAATATCTGACATCATCTATATATAGCTTCTTTTATAAAAGATAAAAAAATAAATTATTTTAAAATTAATGTTAATTTTTTTAATGTGTTTATAAATTATATTTTAATGCATCGTCTATATATAGATGTAACAAAAAAAGTCACTAAACCCTTCCACATATACTACTTAAAACATTAAAATTTTTATTATGATTTTTTAGAAAAATGATACTCAATCAATATATTTACTAATAAAACTGAGATATGTTTGTTTCTAACTCGAAGAATTATATTTAATTTTTTACTATATCCAGATTTGCTGGTTTTTTCATTTAAAAACTCAATAAAAATGTATTATTGTTAATTGTATGACATATTGTTTTTCCAAATTTTTTTCAAAATCCCAATTTTCAAGTGAAAAGTTTAAATTTTCATTTTCATTTTTCTTTTTTTCGAATTTTTTTTCGATTTTAGAAATGCTTAAACTGATAATATGGTCGTTACAAAATGCTTATATATCTAAAAATATGATGATTTCCAGGAAAATTTTAAAAATTCCTTTTCAATTACAAATATTCACCTCAAAATATTACAAACTAAGTGCAATTGTATTAAAATATGAACTCACATGATCAAACAATGTAAAAAATTATACTAAATATTGTATAAACTAAGCATTTTTTTCCATTCTAAATTCAATTTATAAAAGAACTTGCATTTAACAAATTTTAATGTCAAGAAAGGACGATACACTTATACTACTGGTGAAAAACTATTGCTATGCTGCTTGCTAATTATAAAAAAATTGAAATATGAAATTCGATTTTATAAACAATAAAAGTAATAAATAAAATTAAAATGAGAGTATATAAATATGATCTTTTGTTGTATTGTAAATTTCTCCATCCAGAAGACGTAATTTGAAATTCTCTCCCTCTCTGGAATCGATTAATGCAAATGCACCCTTATCCATGGAGTAGCACACACCTTGTTCAATCTTTTTAAGGTAAATCGAAGGAACATATTTCATATTTAAGTAGTCTTTGTCAGTAACCAAGGCATATTCTGATTCAAGACTACCTACAACGACAAGAATTTGGTCTCTTTGGTAACTAACTTCATGATCTGTTGATTCACATTCGTCTGCGACGCTTGCAATGCAATCAGGGAAGAAATGAATTGCATATGAAAGGGAAGGAGTGACAAATCTCTTTTGAGGGGCCTTCATTGCAATACGTTTAAATGTTGGTGAACGGAAATTCCTAAATCCAATTTGATTTGCGTGACAATAATTTCTAAAATCAGTTTCGTAGTTGGTGTTAATGGATGCAGGAAGCCCATTGTCACGTAATTTAGTCGCCGATGATACAAATTCATTCAATAAATTCGAGATGGTGGAAGATATATCAGATTTAATTGTTCGGAAAGAATTGATTTCTTCGTCACAAAACGAAAGAATTGTTTCTTCAATAACTTTTTCGAAGCATTCAAATTTGTATCTGTAAGCATTATATGACTGCATTGACTTTTGATAAATCACCAATTCCTTTTCAAGATGTTGCGTATTAGCTTTTTCTTTAGATTTAGATTCTAACAATCCATTTGCAATCTTAGTCATTGTATTATTTGCGGTAATTGCACCTTTAAGTGTATTATTATCTTTATTTAAGTGAATTCTTTGTGTTTCAATCTGTCCTGACATAATATGTAGCATTGTTTCATAATTTCTTGAAAGATTGATACGATTATCGCATGATTTTTCGATATCATCGGACAGCTTTTGGACCAGGACTGGTAAATTCTCAAATTGATGAGTATAAGTTTGAGTTAAATCGGTAATCTCATTAAATCGCATATGAACGTCTCCTGGAAAGCCAGGAACTTCATTATTATCTTTGAACGTTGGAATTTGGAGCTCCGAGAGCTGTGAAAGTATAGAAGAAACGGAAGCAAGATATTTCTCTATATTTTTCAACTCATGGCATAAAAAATCGTGTTCATTTCCTTCGTCAAAATACTTTCGCATAAAGTAATTTTTTTTATTTTTTTCAGAGCTTCTCAAAATTGAGGATGTCAAAAATTAGAACTGTGACATTAACATTTTTAAAATCGTTGAGTACTCTGAAGTATCCGATTTCAATGTTATGACAGAGGTAGGGCAACGATAGAAAATTTTTGGAAAAAAAGTTCGGAGATCTTAAACGTATCATATTCCCTGCATGGTTTGGTATCTTCCGCCATGCGTTGTGCCAAACATATTGACACTTTCCAATAATTAATTTATGGTATGAGTCACAGAGTTAGATTATAAAAAGAAAGTAAATAATTGCAATTAGAAATCATATATGTCGGAAATCAAATGTTGATGAGCAGAAACCTTTTACTCATCATAAAAGAGATAAATCACTAAAGATTTGTTATACATTAAAATTTGATATTTGGTGCTCGAAAACTGTCTGATGGGACTCCTCCAAAATGAACCAATCTATCGCTGAGGACCAAATTAGATGATGTGGATGGTGTATTCTCTAATTCTAACTTAGGAAGATGGGAACAAAACGAATGACGACAACAAATGTCAAACATAGATTAAAATACTATGAATCAATAAAAGTATATGTGCATTGAAGGTGATAACGATCACTTGAGGCTTATAACTCTTTGACTAAATTATGCAATAATTAAATATAATCATTTTTATATTTTTTACTGATAGTAATTAATATACTATCCTGCTTAAGAAATGGTATGATCAAATTTGTTTGAAAATTTAATTATGTATATGAAACTATGTCTTCTATATAAAAATCAAAATTTTCGGACGAACCTAGATTGAACCTTTATGAAAATCTATCATTTTTGTTAATTGAGTTAATATGAATCTTTTACATATGTATATATAGCATTGATAGCTTATATAATCATGGTTTATTCCATATTAACATATTTTTTCAGTTAAATTTGTTAATAATATCATGTAACAAATTAATTCAAGATTAGAATGTCTACAAAATGCTAACAAATAAGAACAAAATACGATTTCTCGACTTAAATTTTAATATGGAGTAGTTTTTCGTTTAAATCTAATTAAAAATGAATAAAAACTTATCTTGTACTATTTTCATTCAAAGATTTTAATAATGTAAATCATGCATTTTCATAATTCAGTACAGTTCTTTTTAGAATTAAAGTTGATGAGGATGATATTTGTGATTTAAAATAATTTGTTAATGTTCACCTTTTATTCATCACCTTGTGGTATGCCCTAAAGCAATAGCATTATCAATTCTGCTGAATTGATCAACTCAAAATTCCAAAAAAAATTCAAAATTTCAAAAATGAAATTAAACAATTGAATTTTCACATGAAAAAATCAATTTCGAAAAAAATTTGGAAAATCAAAGTATTTGATAATTAGTCAAATAATCAATTTACATCGTTTTTACTCATAAAAAACAACTAATTTTTGATTTTGATATCATATTTGATAAATACTCATTCCAGAGTTGACGTAATGTATTAATTATTGTTAGAGATATTGCTTTCGCAGCAAAATTCTTATTTCATGAAAGAAAAAAAAAGATTTTATTCCAACAAAAGCAAGTAAACAGATGAATGGAAACGTACTATATTTTCATAAATGTAGTAATCAGCGTGTCGCTTTTGTTTATCATGTTCGAGTCAAAATGTATTAACTTGTAATAAGAAATATTCGAAGATTATATGAAGTATTGAGCATTCTTTGTAGAAATATTTGTAATTCATTACTAACATATATAATAAAGTTGTTTTTTTTCCCTTATTGCAATAATTTTGTCTGATTTTAATAACTTTTCATGTATACGAGTTGTGTGAATATGCATCATAATATGCGTAAATATACTTATTTGCGACGAATAATGTGGTTGCATAATGGAGGTGCTAAATTTTGATTTTTAATATGGGGCTTTGGTATGTATAATCATGTTCTTATCTCAACGTAGGAGTATTGGTGCAATATGATTAAAATTTACGAGGTTGATCTTAAATTGAATAATTCTGGAGTATAAATCACAATGCAGCTAATTCTATGTTAAAGATAGATACAGATTGTAGTAATCAATTAGGGAGTACAAATTCATTCTTTCATTTCTGTCGTATTGAGCAGAAAGGAAGAGATCATAACCCTAGGAAAAAAAGCACAAATTTGTCACTTTTCATAGTACGTTAAACTCAATTCGCTCGGCGAATGCCGAGCACACGTACTCATCATTCAACATAATATTCTCATTCTTTGGTTATTATAGTGCCAGACAACACAAGATTTCAAAGAATTACTTGAGTTTTCAATTAATCTTAATCCGATTTTAGATTTATCGAGAACTCCATCATCACAATCACATACTTCAGTGTGGTAACTACAATTATCCATATACAGAAGGAAGTTCTTTTCGAACAACTCATTTGGAGTCTGTTTTGGAAAGAACTTCTTTCTGTCCGACTTAATTTCATAGTTCCTGATCAACCAAAAGACAGAAACCACACACTATCTACTTAGGAAAGGAGTTCTTTCTAAATCTTCCTTAAATTGAGATTTTACGAGAGATAACCCTTCTATTGCACTTAAAAATGAACATTTTGATATCTTTAGTATCACACAAGGTCATATATAGTATTTCATCTACATGAATACATTCATCTTTCGAAGTCTCTCATTAAATGGGAGGCTTCGAAAGATGAATCGTTTTATTCATACAACTTTAAATCTCGAACACATTTAGAGAGTGAGTATATCATTTTATTCTTGTTTTGAGTTTATTCTGATTCAAAATTGCAGTGAAAACAGAAGTTCACACATCATATCTGAATGTGAGCTCATCTATACTTATACGATCTCAATACCTCCACTCTAAGCATAAGAGGTGAAGTTATATAAAAATTATCAGATGCGTTGAAGTCTCAAAAGTATTGCCTGAATGCTTGTTTCATATTTGTCCAAGTAGTTTCAATGAATAAATGTATTGTTTTTTATAATTTCGATTTATTTTTAGAAAATATTCAATATAAACCTTTATTGTGTTATTTACATCTCATAAATTCTCTGTCTAAATCATATAAAAGCGCGTTTTACCCCTATGAATCAAGAAATTCATTCAATATTCATGGTATATTTATTAAATTTATACGATTTACTAATAATCAATATTATATCCTCATAAATAGCAATATATTTTGGTAATCTATGATAATCATATACAATATTTGAAATCAAATTTTCATTAGTTTAGGTTCCTTGTTAATAGTAAACCATTATATTTATTACTAATAATAAAATCTATGTGTCGTATTGAAATTCAATAAAATTACTTATTCGGTCCAAAAAAACAAATTAGATAAATTTTTTCTTTTTTTATGTAATTTTTGTTTTTCATTTTTCTCAAGATCCTAAGTTATGTTCTAACTTTTGACATCATATCCTATCATGCTAGGCTATATATTATAGCATATCCAAAAGACAAGGAAATCTATCAGAGAAGCCTTTTTGACCTATCGTTGCCCTACCTCTGTTATGACTTTTCAATTCAATTGTTAATGACACTTTTTATGAAGATAAAAAGAATATAGAAGATCTGTTTATTCATAAAAAGACGAATAATTATAATAAGGTTTTTTACAAAAAAAAACTACATTTGTGATGGATTTTTCTTATTAAATGAATTAAATATCTATTCAAAAAATTTTTCTATTCCATGCATTTACTTCATATGAATGAAAATTGTGCCAAACATGTTGCCACATACGAAAAAGCAAAAATAAACTGCGCCGTTCTTCTTCAATTGTATTTTTACTTCACGCATTCCCACCGTGCTTTCGGAATGCAATTAAACTACTTCACACTTATAATTAGAAGTGAAATATGAAAGGATGCTGTCAAATGGGTCTCCTTTCTATCAATTCGATTTGGTGCGTAATGTCACTTTTCAAGTAGGGATTTTTTTGATGTTATCCCTGAACAAAGGTTTCCAGTTCTCCATATCACTGTCGAAAATGACAGATCTACAAAGATTATATTCATTACTTTAATCGCAAATAAATATATTGTATTCCTATAAATTTTCTTGAATTCTGATTGAATTTGGGTAAAAGGTAATGGCTTTTGTGAAATAATTTAACAAAATAGCAGGATTTTGATGAACATAAAAGCGCCATAATACTATTGTTATGATTCAGTTCATCAATAGGATTGAGCAATATGATATGACGATACAGGCTGTTTGGTCAGAAAATCTCCCTAACAATTTATTTCTATTTCTTCAACTTTCATTTTTAGGAGGAAATCCTGACATTATGAGTGAATGTTTGAAATGTCACAAGCCAGATAAGGAATGCATGGAATATGCAATCATGTCTCACAACATAGATTTCGTTACATTTCTCATGAACGAACATGAAATTCCAATCGATGTAGACGATTGCATAAGATATGATAATATCCAAGCATTTTTAATTCACTATGATCAAACGAATGATATCAAATGATTCATAGCTAAAATTATTGAATACCCTTTTGTTTGTGAATTCATTCTTTCCGCATTGCCTGAAATCGATAAAAAATACCAAGGAATTCTTTACTGTGCTAAAACAATTTTAACTAATCGCTATCACTACACTAACGAAGAATATTATGATTTCAAAGATGATTCCGGAAAAACAATTTTACATTATGCTGCCATATATTTTCTTGATGTTTATTTTGTTTATCGTGATGTTTTTGATTATTGTGATGATTTTGATTTTTTGTCCAATTCATATCTTTTCGACATGCAAGACAATGAAGGGAAAACTGCTCTTCATTATGCAGCAATTAATGATAACAAGAATTTTGTAAAGTGGTTGGTTGATAGAGCAAATTTTGAAATAAGTGATAATGAAGGGAAAACTTTTCTTCATTATGCAGCAATTAATGGTAACAAGAATTTTGTAAAGTTGTTGGTTGATAGAGCAAATTTTGAAATAAGTGATAATGAAGGGAAGATACCTCTTCATTATGCAGTAATAAGTGGTAATGTGAAAACGGCATTAAAAGTCATAGAAAATACCTATTATATAAGAAAAAGAGATAACAATTCGAAGTTTCCTCTTCAGTATGCCGTAAATGATTCAAGAATGTTCGAATCCCTTGTCTTTGATTATAAAAAACGAGAGAAGTATTACAAACTAAAAGATGCTTTGGAATGCTTCCCCGATGCAAATACAGACATACAAAGATTCATTTCGAATTGGAAAAATGGCTTGTGGGTTCCTGGGGATGACTAAATCTATTTAGAATATTAAGGATCTCGTTTGGAGAAATCTCCAAATTCCAAAATATAAGCTTCTCCATTTTTGTAAATATTAATGTAAAACAAGATTGTAATGCGATCTCATTTGAGTTTTATGGATTTAGAGCAGTACGTTATAACTATTCGATTTTTAGTAAAATTTATAAAATTTATGATTATATAATAAATGTGAATTTGGCATCGGGACTCCGCACCTTTTAGCAATATAATATAACTCAAATTGATAAATGCTATTAGTTTTAAAACGATTAAAAATTGCAACCGAAAATGGTCAAAAGTAAGTCACGAAAATATGAAATTTAGATAGATAATTTGATTTAATTAAAGACGACGAAAAAAAATAAACTTTTATTGTAAGTTTATTTGATATTTCAAGACATTAACCTGTCAGAGTATGAGCATAAATGATGTGAATTTCCTAATTATCTTCAGATATAAATTCCAATAACCCTGCTTATAGACTATCCGCTCTCATTTCACAGAAGCACGTTTATGTACATGCATATAAATAGTTCTCCAATGATATTTCAATTCAAATGCTTGAGAGTAACAATAGAAAAAAATTTTCGGCAAATTCAAAGAAGGATTCACCACTCTACACCCATATGCAACTCATTGCTCACATGTATCAATCTTAATTTACATTTTGATGAAATAAAAGTAGATAATAAATTTCATTTTCGGAAGACATTTTCATTATATTGATAATTAATGAACATAATTCCTTCGTCTGGTTGTGTTGAAACATATTCTTCTATTAATTATAGGAGATATTCATAATTGAGATGCGACCGAATATATTTTAAAAATTTCATAGATATTTTAATATACAAAATACATAAAATAATCAATACTAATAAAATCAACTAATAAAACTTCTGAATGAATTAATTCAGGAGATGAATGATAGGCAAAGGTGCCTTTCTCTTATTTATACGAGTTACTGACGTATTTGGCTTGATTGGCATTGATTTTCTTTTAACTGTCAATGCCTTGTTAACGCCGAGCGCTGGTAATCCCTCACCTTCATGGTAAGATGATCTACGAACGGTGCGTTGCTTCGTTGGTGTCCACAGTTGTGGTACAGACTCCGCAATATCAAAGCAAACTAAGACTCTTAGTGTTACAGAGTCATTATCTTGAATTTCAATAACAGGAGCTGATTCGCTTGTTTTAATAGCGGGGACTTCTTGTTGTTGGTCTAATCCTTCAAGAAGTGGTAATGCAATGTTGCTATCAAGTCCTAACATATGAAGATTTTGTCTAATTCTTTCGTAATTTGGTTTAACGTTTAAGGCTTCAACTGCCTTCTTTGCAGCTTCGATCATCCATGGGTGTTCGAGGACCTGTGAGTCTGTTAATCTCTGATCTGGGCATTTAGCTAACATTTTTCTTAGAAGATCAGCTAAAGGTGGCGATAAAGAAGATGGGATCTCTGGATCTGCGTAAATGATTTTTTGAGCAAGTCTTTGGAAGTTGGCGTCTTCAAATGGTAGATGTCCAACAACCATGGCGTAAAGAACTACTCCGCAACTCCAAACATCACATCCATAACCGTAATCAGATCCGACTATCATCTCTGGAGCAGCATATGATGGTGAACCACACTGTGAACGGAGAACACTTTCAGCATCGGGAGTATTGCTTAAGCCGAAGTCAATAATTCTTACGTTTCGTTTATAATCGAACATAATGTTTTCGGCTTTGATGTCTCTATGGCAGACATGTGCATCTTCGTGGAGATACCTTAATGCCAACATTACTTGGGCAAAAATTGGCGCGGCGCATTCTTCTGATAGTGGTCCATGTTCGTTAATGTAATTTAACAAAGTGCCATTGGGAGCAAATTCCATTACAATATAAATCTCGTTTTCAGATTCTATTACTTCGAATAGATGGGAGATAAACGGGTGATTCACCTTTTTTAGAATTTCAATCTCACGATGAATTCTAATCATTTGACGTCCATCTTCGTTATTTTCATTTTTATTAATAATCTTGATTGCAACTTTGGAACCGGTTGCATTGTGAATTGCTATATATACTTTCGAGAATCCTCCAGTACCTATTGGATATAATACAGCATAATTTTGTAGCACACGAAAATCCATTTAAAAACTGTGAAATAGTAAAATGTCAAAAATTTTAAATTGAATCATCTGAATTAAGATGACAAGAAAATATTGCTGTATACCAATTAATTAAAAAAATAATTCGATGTTGAGTAAATAGAGTAAAAAATTTCAGGGGACACAGCGAAAAAAATTATTTAGAATTTTGACAAAATATTCAGTTGCTCTGAAAAGTCGTAAAAGATCGTATAACAAATCAATACCAATGATCAATAAATGCATTTGCAATAATATAGTTTTTTGTGAATATTTTAGAAAATTCAGTATTCTGCTATATATGATGCGTAATATATATATTATTCGCTGATTAAGAAAACAATTTTGAGATGATGTCAAAAAGCTTTATTTTTGAATAATTGATGACGATTATTATATATTAATTTCTATATCTGTAATTATAAAATAATCTTAATCGCTAATCTCCCAAATGAATGTAAAAACGGTTAAACCAGATGTATTGAAAGTTTGATGTTTAAAACAATATTTTAAGCATGCTTTTAAAATATAAAATTCCATTGAAAAATATTTTTCAGACCCATAGCACTCAACCGTGAATATTTTTCAATAAACAATTTTCTGCTAACATTTTTGAAGTACTCATAGGTATTCTTAACTAATTATTGTTAAATAGAAATTCAACCATTAACCATCTAAATTCAAAACCGATATTTTGTAAAGTTATTGAATTTGATAATCGGCCAAACACTAGTTCAAGTGGTTGAATCAAGTAGTAAATTCCATTTAGATCTACAATTACTCATTTATTTGTAATTTCAAATATACATAACGATTATCAATAGAATTAATTTACATACAATGCCAAAGATATACATATTATGGAGCTTTTGTGTGCCAAAATTTTAATTTCAAATAAATTACTTCAAACTTTTGAGAGCTGTTCTCAACAATATATTATTTTGAATTGCAAGATACCCGCGTGCAAATTTAATTGATTTCAGTATCAATATTGGCTGCTGTAAATGTAAATGCTAATACTCAAATAACTTATTCAAATTCAGTCTTAAGGCTGTGGGGCGTAAAACTGAAAATTGAGCATAATGTAAAAATTAACAATTCACCGATACATTATGTTAAAATGGATTTAACATAGCGACAAACGGCCGAATATATCAAAGAATTCCCTTACTTTCCGCATTATGATGTGAATTGCAATATTCAAGAATTTCAAGTTAGATAAAAGATAACACATCCAAAATTGCTTATTTATTCATGAATCTAATAAAGTTAGAACCTAAATATCATCAAATATTTTTTAATTTCTTTTTATTGAACTTCAAATGTTGTATTTATATTTTATTTTAATTGCTATACATTCAAATGAATTATTCCGATTATATAAATCTTTTTAATTCACTTTATTAATATCATCGCATTCAAGGGTTGAACTTTTTAATTAATTTCAATATATAAATATCATAAAATTCAGTTATTTTAAGTTACCTATGGACATGTTGTCAATATTGTGTAATGTTAAGACTTCTCTCTGCTGTGAACTGATCGTCTCAATTTTTTCCTTGTTCTTTAGTTACTAAGCTCATGATTTAGTCAGTTTCAGCTCACAGTGTTCTGATTCAAATATATAAATTCATCAGAAAAGCTCGATCCAATAGGTATAATGATAATATAATAAAATGATAAACAATATATTCATTCAAAATATTGGATAATTTGACAAAATACGACTTTTTAAAATAATTGATAATGATGATAAAACAGGAAGCAGCCTTGCACTAACCAATGAAGAATGTTATAAATGAGAGAGAAATACAAGGAAACAAAATACTTAGAAGCTTGCAAAACTGAGAAAATCTAGACATCTTGAAAGAATCTAAAATTTATTTTATAATCTTCCAGTATCTCATTCTTAATGTTAAAAGTATGCAATTCAAGACGATGGAATATGAAATATCCAAGAGACGTTTTGTATGACACAAATGATATTGAAGTAACATATGAAAAATGTAAAATGGAAAGGATTGTTATGCAAACACTATACACAATAATTCACCACAAGTATTCATATTAAATATCTTATCTCTGCCGATGTTGAAACCGCGGAGAAAAATCAATAAATCAATATGAAAGTATTCCCTAAATTAAAGTATCAAAAAATGAATATTTTAGAGTTTTTCAAGCAAGGATAAGCAAGGTTATAGACATAAATATAAGAAATAATCTTTTATTTATTGGAGTAAAATAAGCCAAACAAGATAATATGTCATTACATGCATCATTTTAATGATATATGAACAAAATTAAAAATAACTTCGTTCATTCCATAATTAATGTATCAATTATACATAACTCGAATTTTTGAAACGATACTCAATGCAAAACTACCTTAACTATAGTGAAGAAAATAATTCAAATTATTGAAAGCATTTCATGGTTTCAGCTTGATAAGATTATAAAACCACAATAAGAGCTTTGATATCTGTCAATATTTTTTGATTTGCACCATAATTTAGTGAGGAACATGATATTTTAGAATTTTTGTAAACATCAGAATTCCACTAAAAAACCGTAATTCCCATAAAAAAAAAACATTATAATGAATTTGAGAGAAGAAGCATTTTCAAAACTACAGAAACTACAAAACGAGAACGCAGAGCTTCATGCACGTCTAGAGCAGCTGAAAAAGCAAAATCTCCCCAGTGATGAAGATAATATTAACAATTTCCAAGATATCAAAGATCCGAGACTCTTAGAGCAGCAATACTTGAAAGAAAGAGATGAAATCAAGAGTATCAAAAACGAGCTCGGCCGTCTTGAATCAAGGAAATTACAGCTTGAAAAGAATCTCGAGAAGATCCTCCGTCAATATAATGAAAATCAAACCATTGAGAAAAATGAAGAAGCTGCCACAAAACAGTTCTACGAGAAATTAATTGAAAAATGCACGCAATTATGTCCAGCCCAATTAGATGATCTTCAGAAAACAATTGACAATTATACAAATACAAAAGCCCAAGTGTTTAATGTTAGAGAAGAGTACGAGAAACTGCAAAGGATGATTAGCTTCATAAATTCACAAAAAGATGACACTAATTATGTTCAAGTTACAGCCAAGAACATGCCAACAATCCAATTGCAACAGTCCAATGGGAAGCCACAGGATAGTGTTCTTTCTCAGCAAAATCAACTGATGGGAGGCGGTCAACCGCAATTAATGATGCCACAAGGCAGATCCAACATTCCAGGAGGTAGAAGAGGAAAGGTTGGAAGGTCTAGTGTCAGTTTACGCCACTCATCTTATTATGCTACCGTTGAATCAGAATTATCTTTCCTAGGAAAATAATACAAGGCTTCCATAATACCGTTTTTATAATTTGAAGTTGTTATTAAACAAATTGTGCATTTTTTAATTTTACCAAACACCATCAAATTAATATTTCTATTTTTTTATTTTTTACAGGGAATAAAGGGATTACTCATGCTTTACTTATAATGTTATATACAATTTTTGAAATCGATGACTGTTATGAATTTTGTTCAAAAAATTATTTGAAAGTAATTAACAGCTTAAGCTAATGTATAAAATGGAGAAATCTCCAAGCAGTATAAATAGCACTAAGACCGAAATTTGACGAGAGCAAATAAATCAAAAATGTTTGATATCAAATCCCTTCTGTTCTCTATTAAAAGTTACTTTGATGACAACATCATGTTCATTGCACAAAAACAATTCTTATTCAGTCAACCACACACTTAGCAAATTTTAAAATTTATTTGATAATATCAGTAACTTGAAGAATATTTTATTGATTTCTGCTTAGTTAACTAAAAATGTCTAGATTTATCTTGTTCAAGAACAAAAGAGAAACATATAAATGAGACAATATAAATTAATAAACATCACATTTTATATATAAAACAAAACAATAAAAAAAATTATAAACTAAATTAAAATTATTTGAAACGAAGAATTCCTGTTTGTCTAGCACTTTTAATAGATTGGCTTGGTTTAACAATCTTTCTTCCAGATGATAAAGAGAGCTGAGGAACTCCTACTCTTGCAGATTTTGGTTTAGAAATATTTTCTTCAACTTGGAATCCACAACTTTGTATTGCTTCTCTCAATCTTTGGTTTTCTTCTTTTAGATCTTCATTTTCTTTGATTAAAACATCCAGTTGTGAATCACCTACATTTGTTGATCTCAATGTAGTTCTTAGCATTGTATTTTGGGTTTTCATTAATGTAGTAACTTTCCTTAATCTGTCAACTTCTCTCATTGGCTCTCTAATCTTTTGTTCCGCTTCTTCTTCAATGAAATCAGTTTCAGCTTTTAGTAAATCAAGTTCATCTTGTTTCTCAGCAATTTTTGCAATCAAAGGTTGTAGAGCGACTCCTGTTCCTTCAGAACTCAATTCCTTCATTTGCTGGTGACATCTTTCCTGTCTTGCCATTGTCATTGATTTCCAATGGAACAGTTGGATGTTTTCTTTAGTTAATGCTTCATGTTGTTGCTTGAGATCATCGATTATATCGGAATAATTCGATAATTCTTTGTATCCTTCCGCCAACTCAGTTTCCATTTGTAGTTGTGTTTGATCTGCTGATCTTCTTGATCCCCAGTATACTGTACTCTCTAGTATCCTGTCTTCTTCAGCTTTTTTGATTAATCTGTCGTATTTTCTTTTGATGGCAATCGCAAGAAAAGCTCTGGAAATTCTCATTTTTATCATCCTTTCTTTCAGTTTTTCTACATCGTTTTTCATATCTTCGATTTTAGAATCCGAATCAACACATGCATGTGTAGACATTCTTCTTGGATTGGATCTTCTGCCACTTGGCTTTTGTGGCTTGAAATTTTGATCTTCTGAATTTTCTGTCACTTTTTCTAAATTAGGAATTTCTTTTGGAGTTCCATCAGTATCAAACAAATGAGTAAAAGTGGATCTTAGCAAAACAGAGGAAGGTTTGATCGAAGACAAATCCAAAGATGAGTTTCCTTTTATCAGGTTCTGTATAGTTTTATACTGGAACTCTTTCTTTTGCTGATATTTTGCACGATTTGTTTGTAATTCTGCCAAAATATCAGTATATAATATTTCGTATTCATCTTTAGTTCTTTTCGTTATCTCTTTGTCTTCTTTCTTCCATTCGCTTGTTAATGTCTTCATAGTGTTCCTGAGGGAATTGAGATTGTTCAGTTTCTCGCTAACATTCTCTTTTGTCGTGATTTTGATTTCATCGTCCAATCTCCTTGAAACAATTTTTGATAAAATCATGGCAAGTTTTTCGTTTTCATTCGTCTGTTCTAAGATCCTTGACATGTTGGTATTATAAGAATTCCATGTCTTGACAAATTTGTTATGAGATATCGTGAAGAATTCATTGATAGGATTCGATAATCTCGTTAAAGATGTTGTTAATCGATTCAAATCAATTGTGAAAACGTTATTTTGGTCTTTTGGCTCTCTGTCAATGCATTCACAGACTGATCTGATGAATTTGCCAATGGCAAATTTCTCTTCTTGGCTCTCTTGTTTCTCTGCATCTTCTGGACTTGGAATATAAGGTGTTTCTCTTAAATTTGCTCTTGGCCTCTTCATATAAACATCTGGCTTCAATGTAGATAAAGGCTGAGCAAATGGTTCAGCTGCCAAACTCTTTAATTCGTCATATTTCATTCTGATATCAGATAGAATTTGGTTCTCAACGCGTGGAGTGATTCTTTCGATGATAACTTCCAATAATTTGGTGACAAATGATAATTGGTCGCCTTGGGATCTTCTTGTTGCTTCGCTTTCGATAGTTCTGGAATAATCTTCTCTGGATCGCTCGTATTCTTTGAAACTGACCTCAAAAGCACCTTTTACAGGTGTTATTTTACGGTAATCATAATTGTTTTGTAGCAAAAAGAAAGAAAATTTTGCGAACATCGCTGTAATGTAGCCTTTGAGGTATTTTGTACTAAGTTTTGGCATCTCCATATAGGAAAGATTCGAAACTGAGTCATCTGCTTTTCCTCTTATGACTGTAACCGAGTTTGAAACTAATGGTCGGCAATCATCTTCGATTTTATTGCATAAATTCATCAAAAACCATGGAATATACTTTTCTGGAATATTGTACATACCAGTATACTTTTCTTTGACGATATATTTGAGTGCAGATTTGAATGAAGGAATTTCATCAACGTGATTCTTCAAATCAATGCATTCATCAAGCAAAGAAACAATTCCTGCTGCATAAGAAAGCTGGTTATAGCTGGCAATTTCAAAAATTACATCTGAAATTTTTGAAACTTCTTTGTTTTCAACGCAAATCTTAGTCATGAACGAGAAGATTGTCATATCAGGTGAAGCTGATTTATTCATCAGAGAGTTCATTGTCTTCCTGTTTCCTCGGAATATCGTTCCATTAAAAACAGAAGTGAATAGCATCTGTAATCTAGAGGAAACAAAGTTTCTGAGGTGAACAAGATCATCATATGACTCTTCTAAGCATAAAACATCGCATGGCATAGGAATAATTCTGTAATCAATTATTCCTTTCTCAATAATTTTCTTTCCACCTGATTTCTCAACAATGAATGGATCAGTGGTTGTAAGATAATCGCAAATTGACCTTTCCATCAAATTTAATATTGAGATTTCTGAAAGAATCGAGATTCTTTTGATGAATTCGATTGTATTCTCTTTGTCCATGTTCTGGTATGGATCAACTGGCTCTCTGAAGTAATTTGAATCAGGAATTTCGGTAAATAAGACTCTTTTAACGTCACTTAGAGGAACAATGTTCTCTGCAGTATCTGCATCAGTAAGGAAAACATCATCAGCCTTGAAAAGTATACCGAAATAACGTGCATCTGATTCAAACATATTATATCTTGCAATTTCACTCATCATGTTAACGAATAAACGCTGCTTATCAACAAAATCTTCCAGTTCATTGATATCCGAGTCAATTTTTGATTTTGTTATTTTTAGACTAATTTCATCAATTAAACGAGTTTTTCGAGGAGAAGAGTTAAGTTGGTTATCAATTACTCTTGTTAACTCTATCTGCTTAATAACAAGACTAATAAGTTTTGTCAAATACCTTCGAATTTGAAAAACTTTCATTGAAATTTCAAATTTTTCATTATCATCGTAACTCTCAACGAATTCAACAATTGAATCATAGCTATTGACAAATGATGATGAAAAAATGTCCAATGCCGTACCTTCGGCATTTAATACAGTTGATAATGTGGCAAGAGAAGGCGTAAGCTTAGAAACAGGATTGGAAACAACAATAGAATATATCTCTTGTATAACAGCAAGGTGTGCATATACTAATAAATGAGATGGAATCGACATTGTTACGCAAATTTCTTTTGATGCGTAAAACATGTCATCGAAAATGTTCGAAATATCAGCTATTGCCATTGATGTTTGGAAAACTTCTGCTGGCAAACCTGCCTGGCTACATAAAGGAACGTTTGAGCAGGAATGCATGTGTAATGCAAATAAAATCTCCATCAGATTGGCTTCTAAGTCGATTATTTCACTTTGCCGTTTATAATTATGGATAAATGTCGAATGAACTCCTTCAGTTAAATCAGGTTCTTCATCAATAATTTTTTGTAAAGTCAAAAGACAGGTTTCGGAGCCTGAAAATTCGTGAAGCCTCTGGATAACAGTTTGAAGACGGCATTTAGCATTAAGATATTCCAATGTTAGCTCCAATAATCGTTCAAATACGGAATCGTAGTCACAATTAGATAAAGAGTTCTGCATTCCATATGTTGTTGCTGTAGACAATTCTTTAATGATAAGAGCAAAACGTTCATTGAATGTTTCTATAAATAATTTTTTGCATTTTTCGTAAATTTCGTTAAGCATCGTTCTGCATCTTGAGAATCTGAGAGAAAGGACACAAATGGCATGAGATCTTGGATAATCGCTCATTAATGGATGGCAAGATAACATTAATGAGAAAAACTCATTTGCTTCGTATTCTTTGCAGCCAAGAAGTAGCTGTATGTATCTTTCAAGATGATGGTTGACTTTTGTCCGATTAATTCTGTCAAAATTTGTATGAAAAATTGGATTATGTTCAATTCTATCATATTGAGCGGCATTTTGGGATAAAGTGATTCCAGGTATTGTGAAACATTCTGAAAACTTAATATCGCATTCATAAATAAATTTTTGTCCATCATATTCACTAAGATCAAAATTAACATTCATAAGACTTGATAATCTTGCCATTTCTGGTTCTATATCCTTTGCATTCTTGATTGGTGAAGGAATACATGCAGAATTGACAGATAAATCTGTTCTTAATAGAGTTGTTATTCTGGTAACAATTTCATTGCGGCGGGTAACTGGTAACAAGTGAATAATTGATTTTAAAAAGTCTGTTTGAATTTTTCTCTGTTGTTTAATCAAATCATATTTTATTGCGTATAAAACACTTTTGTAATTATGATTTGGCTGGTTGAGTGAAATATCTGTAATCGAATTCTCAAGGTCATGGCATAATATAGATCTTTCTTCGATTAACGAAGGAATTAAATTTTTATACTTTTGATATTGAATTTCGTTATTGATTCTATCCAAGATAACCTTGTTTTGGAATAATATTTCATCTAAATATGATTTTAGTGAATTTTGTATGTATTCGACATATATTTTAAAAATTTCCTTTGATTTTTCAAGTTTTCTTGTAATTTTATCGGAGTAATATGCTATTGGTTGTATCAGTGAGAATGTTTTGTATTGTTCTATAAATTGTTTTGTTAAATTTAAATAATATTCCGGAGATTCAAGTTCAACAGTGTTTCCGTTATAAGCAATGATTTCACCTGCTCCAAAAGAAGAGAATGCCGCTTCAAGATCTTCCTTAATTGAAGCCAGTGTCGAGTGCAGCTCTTGCGCACTCATTTCTAACGAAATTGTAAACAGAAAAAAATTCTTACGAGATTTTGAACAGGCAGAGTATATATTAGTCATACCATAGGGAAGAAGTTTGATTCCTCTGAGGGTAAGCTACTTTATCCAAGTTGATAGACACTTTGAAAATAAAAATTGAGTTTAATATTGTTTTGATAAAAGACGACAAACAGCTTAATCGTAAATAATTGGTTAAAAAACAATAAATTTAGATACAAATATAAACAAACAAAGAATATAATTATTCAATTTTTTCTTTTGGATTGACAACATTATAAGCAACTTCGAATTGGTTGCCAACAAAGTTTCTAAGCTTTGAATTGAATTTCATGGCAGGATAAATGTAAAGTGCATGAACTCCAATAACAAAGGCCCAGAAGCTTCCAATGACCAAGAATATAGTAAATAAGAGAAGTGAAGTACCAATAAACAGCAAAGTATCAATAGCATTTGGATGAATTATATAATTTCTTCCCCATTCTATTGATTTCTGGGCGTTATCTTTAATTTCTTTGAAAAATCTTGATGCAATGCTTTCTTCTTGTGACTGATTAAGAGGAGGGAAAATCCAACGCTTAACACAGTTTGGAAGTAAAGTAAAGATAAGCAAACTAGTGTGAACCGTAATTAAAAGTGCAACTAATGTCGATAATGAGTCTAAATCCATGAAGTAAATGCAGCCAAAGAGAAGTTCCGAAAAAAGTATGACTATTATCATTATAAGTGAACGTTTCCATAATAATATCTCTATTAAAGCTTGAGAAATTGCTTTCATGTTTGCTTCATTAGCTGTTGGAATATCTTCTGAATCAGAATATTCTAATTCTTGTTTCATTGGAGATCCAATTAGTTTAATTCGTAATACATCATTTGCCATGTCTTGTTCTGCATTTGACTGATTATCTTGATCGTATGAACTTGTTTCTTCTTCGTCAAATATACGATCAAATGAGTCATCTCTAAAATGATTATGAAAAGAATGGCTTTCAGTTGTATCTATATTGACTTGTTGAGTGTTTTCGTTGTTATTTTGTGGAGGGTCATTATTATTTGATGTATTATTTGTTTGTTCTTGAGGATTCTGATCCGGATTTGTCTCTGGTACATCGGGTTCATTGTTTTCAATATTTTCGGTCTTCTCTGGTGGACCGGAATTATCCATTTGAATTTGTTCAGAATCTGACATGAATGAAAATGATATTTCGATTCTTCAAAAAGCGAATTATGTAATTACAAGACTCCCAATGTATTCTAATATTTCAATCTCTTTCATTTTTTTCTCATGGAGGAAAACTTCCAAGAGTCTCTTCGCTCTTTAGAAAGGCAAGCTTTTGTCCGCTACTCCACTGTTGTTGATAAAAATGGATATTCTATCTCTTCTAGTGGCGAAGCAACTAAAGCTACAGCAGCTTATGTCAGAGAAGTTCATAATTGCGCTCGCGAAATCTTTCCAACTGAAGACTCAATAAAGATTGTCATAGAAGGAACGAAAAATGCAGTTACAATTGGCGAACAAAATGATTTCTTGGTAGGAATTCAAGTTATCAAAGAACTCTATTAAAACGGCTCTAGAACTATCGAATGTGCGATTGCTGTCTTTCATGCCTTACATTTTATATATTGGTATGAAATTTTATACAGATATTCAATTTTATTTTCTCTATTTGTTAATAAATCTAAATGTTAAATATAAGTCTTTTTACAAAAAGAAAATCCACTATCGGAAATGTTAATATCATTTAATTTATAAACCAAAAGGAAATGTCAAACAAAATTAAGGAATATTACATCTGCCAGAGCATTTCTATATAATAAAGTTGAATATAGATAACTTTTTATTATCAAAACTCAAGAGTAATTTGATGAAATCAAAGAAATGAAGAATATAAAATTTCATCAGCTAAATATAACATTCATAAGCAAATAACATATCCCATTGGGCTCTACAATAATAAATATATCACAATTCTCAGTTAAAAAGGCAAATCAGATAAAAGATATAAAATGAAAAAATTATAGACATAATTTTTCAATAAAATTATAATCTATAATTTCCTCATTTAATATCTAATAATCTGTTTAATCAATTCTTTTTTTCCAAATCTGTCCAAAGTTTCTTGAGTTGTACGACGATATCATCATGGACAGCATCGATCGGATGGTTTCCATCAACGGAAATGATCTTGTTTTCAGAGCGGAATTTTCCGATAACTGCTTCAGTCTGATTATGGTATGTAACTAAGCGCTTCTTGATTGATTCTTCATTGTCATCAATACGGCCTGATGATAAGCCGCGGTTGAGAAGACGCTTCTTGAGTTCCTCATCTGGGACGTCGATGAAGAGCAAAGCGGTTGCTGGCTTGCACTTCTGGACGAACTCGGCCTCCTGGCAAAGCTCACGTGGGAAGCCATCAATAAACCAGTGCTTTTGAGGTCCGGCAACCATAGCATCGCGGAGAAGCTTGATTGTAACGTGGCCTGGAACTAAGGCACCCTCTTTGATGATCCTGTCGATCTCCTTATATTCAGCAAGAAGCTGTGGATCAAAACCTGCTGGTGGATCTGAGGCAATTTTTGCTGCCATTCTAAGAAGATCGCCTGCAGAAAGGTATCCAATATCATACTCTTTGGCAATTCTTGTAGCTTGTGTTCCCTTGCCAGAGCCTGGTCCACCAAGAACAAAGATAATATCTTTTCCTTCCATTGAGGTGAAGTAAAAAATTCAATACCAACGGCTTTCGATCGAATGCTGTCATTTTAATTTTTGAATAACGTATATGCAATTTGTCAATGAAAGGAGATAAAACTTTCTGTTTTCCAAAAAAGATACATTCTCAAAAAGTGACAATCCTAGGGTTATTGATCGTATCTTTTCTGGTTCCCATACTGGAAATGAAAGTAATGATTGGAAAATCATTATTCTTCTATTAAGTTAGTGGCTATCTTAATCAGAAATATTAGTTCTTTTCATGATTTTTCTTCATATTTAATCAATTTAAAATTAACTTCATAAATTTAAATCATTTTGATATCATGTTAACTAGTCAGAATGCTACTAGGAAAACTGATGTCAAAATATCATATTAAAAATTCAAATTCGGAATCTCAAAAATACCGCGATAAAAATCCTTATTGATCCGTAATTAAAAAAAAAAAAAAAAAAAAAAAAAAAAGGTAGTGGGGCTTCCAGGGGCTGCGCCCCTTCTAGCCCCGAAGATGTTTAGTATAAATGAAGTTCTTATATACGGGTCTTCCAGGAGCTTTTCACAAATTATATATGTTTTCATGTTTTGTCAAGACTTCTTCGTAAAATCAGACAAAAATAATGTTTAGGGTAGAAGGTTAGATATAACCTCTTTTCTAACCTCTTTTCTACCCTCTTGAATTTTCAAGACTTCTTCGTACATGTTTTGTCACTTTTCTGTCACTTTTCAGGAAAAAACATTTTTATTATATATATAAAATGAATTTTACAAAACCACCGTTACCCTTCTTTGGAAATAAGAGTAGATGTAAAGATATTCTATTGAGAGAACTTAAGAAACTACCGAATGGTCTAACATTTGTAGATTTGTTCGGTGGAAGTTTCTATATATCCCATTTGTGCCATACAATATTTCCTGACTCAAAGATTATATGCAATGACTTCGACAACTATATGAACCGTCTCAAACATATACCAGACACAAACAAAATATTGAAAGAGTTAAAAGAAAAGATACCTATAGGTAAGATGGAACGTATACCATTAGATAAGAAAAATACTGTCAGAGAGGTTTTGAAAAAGGCAGAGTATATTGACTGGGATAGTATATCTGCTAGACTATTATATAGTGGTGCTATAAGAGTTCATGACATTGAAACACTTATGTCAAAAGTTTTATATCTTAACTATACAAATGTTTTCAAAGAGGACATAGAAAAATATATTGAGGGTATAGAGTTTGTGAGATGTCATTGGACAGAGTTGTATGAAAAATATAAAGACAAGGAAAATGTTTTCTTTATAGTGGACCCGCCGTTCTATAACACATGGGATTTTCAATACCAAGTAGACTGGACTTTGAGAGACTCTTTAGAAACTTTAGACGTTTTACATAACTGTCCATGCTTTTACTTTACATCCGATAAAAGTGGTTTGGAAAGTGTCATGAGATGGTTAGAGGACATACATGACTATGAGTTTAGATACGATAAGATAGAATATGAGAGAGGTCCTATAAACTGGAGAAAGTGTCATAACAAAGAAATTTTACTAGTAAGTAAATGTGGTTTGAAATAGGACTACTTGTTTTAGGTTTTTTCCATTGTGTCATTTACTTATTTGACGTGGCAGAAAGATATAGAGAATATGAAGATGAACCAATGCCTGCAAATGTTCAGCATATGTACTCGTAAGAGATATTTTTATCTAATATTAAATGGACTCACAGAACTTAGCGAATGCACAGCAACCTGGACAACCAAACCCAGAGAATATTCCAAATGAAGTTAGAATACAAACTGCAATGGCAAACTATGGTCAAGTGCCAACAGATGTACAAATGCAAACTGCCATGTCAAATGACGCTGCGTTAGGTTTGCCACCATGGTATGCAAATATGAGATGGAAAGAGTTTTATACAAACCCCGAAGTGGGATATAAACAACTCTATGCAGATGACGCGAACACAGGAGTTGACCCAGAGTATGTTTTCTACCAGAGGAGAAATAGAATGTATGAGCTCCAGTTAAAGAATGCTATGGAACTCAACAGGAAACGTAAGAGACTAGGTGGACATTAGATTTTTACATATAGTAAAATGGGTTTCTTTGGAAGAATAGGAAACTTCTTTCGAAATGTTGGAAGAGGTATATGGAATGGAATAAAAACCGTAGGAAGAGGAATTTGGAACGGAGTCAAAAATATTGGTAAAAGAGTAGGTCAGTTCGTTGGTATTATACCTAAAGACCCTGAACCAGAAGAGCAAGCTCCTGTTATACAACAGCCTGAACCTGCACCACAGTCTAGTTGGCAACCAAATCCAACACCTCAACCGTATTAAAAAATTATATTTTTACCGTTCGATAGTAGTTGTATATGAAACTAAGTTCTAAGTAAAACGCATGGTATAATGGAATTATTCTCTTTCTTCCATCTGTAGTAAACCATACTTGAAAGTCTGAAATACTTCCACTTGGTGGTTCGTATAGCTTTGTAGGTTTTTCGTAAAAGTCATTCATCAGACATAAGAAAGAGTTTTGCGCACCAGAAAATGAAGCATGAACTATAATAGCATCTGAGTCGAAAACATTTTCATATGTTCCATTAGGGTTTTCGACTTCATAAAAGTTCGGGTGTACTGGATATTCTGCAGGCTGATTTAACATCCTCAAAAATCTATACCATGCCAAGTTGTTATATTTTGTAGAAATATAAACGTCTTCTCCAAGGTCTTCTATTCTATTGATTTTAACAGTTGCATTTTTCCTGTCATAAACAATATCGAGATGGTACTCTCCCTCGTCAATGTTATACTGGTTTGCATATTCGATATAGATATCGTTTATTTTTTTGAAAAGCTTGAAGAGTTGTTTCTAAGTTTACAAGCAAATTCACTTGTAAAAGTTTTCCCTGTTCAAATTTCTCATACGTACGTTTTTCTTTGTTATAGTATCGAACTTCAAAAGCGACCGTAAATGGGAAACCATGTATGGCTTCTGAAATGAACTTCATTCTACGAAAGCCAATAGCTTTTGTGACGGATGGGTCTCTTAGCCATCTCAATGGGTAGTCAAAACGATAGCCTTCATGCTTTACGGTCTCTGTCTCAAACTTTTGACCGACATTCGTAAAAAGTTCATCTAATGGTTTAGTTGTAGCAACTCTTGAATTTTCTTTTTCTATTGGAAGCATATTTTATCTAGAATAAAAATGTCAAATGAAACAGCGTCTATGAGAGAAATACAACACAACGACAACTCATTATGCAAGCTCTAAATAAGAACACAACAAACTTTTCAAACTATTCTAAGATATCTGAGTCATTGAAAGAAGGAAACTTAAAACTGACGATAAACCCAATGACAGATGAGTTTCTGTTTCAAGACAGTAAGAACCATACTGTTTGTATAAATCCAACAAAAAGAACTTTAAACGAGAAACCTATAGATGAACTTCTTTGAAGGCAGATATTGACAACAAAGCTGACAAAGAGTATGTAGATGCAACAAGAGACTATATTCTCGCATGGAAGATAGAACATACCCACAAAAACACCATACACATAACATCTATGACGTAGATGAACTACCAGCAATGTTAGATGACAAAGCGGATAAAACATATGTTGACAATAAAATGTCAAGTGAAGTGACAAGAGCTGACAAAGAATATTCTAAAAAGACTCATACACACGATTTCTTCGCAACTGTTGGTATAGAAAATATTGCAGGAACGGTTGAAGAACCTGATGGAACTGGTGGGGATGTACTACTTTGGAAACCTCCTAACTTTCCACAAGGTTTAACATCGGATGAAGACATAACGACGATGAAATACACTAGATGTAGAAATGTCTATGTCATGGAGGATGAAAACAAAGTTAAATTCACTGCTCAAGATTTATATGACAACAAAGCTGACAAAACATATGTTAACGTTGAGTTAGATAAAAAAGCTGACAAAACATATGTTAACGATGAGTTAGTTAAAAAAGCTGACAAAACAGAGCTTCAAACGTTAAAGACAGAAATACTTCAAACAGTATATCCTATAGGTTCTATTTACACGTCAATGAACTCTACCAGACCAGAAGTAGTACTTGGTTTTGGAACTTGGACTCAAATAGTCGACAGGTTTTTGTATTGTGCAAACTCTTCAAAGGAAACAGGTGGAAGTAAAACGATTTCAGGTGAAAACTTACCTGCACACAGTCACTACATAGATTTAAGTACAGCTGAAGCAGGTTGGCATAAACATAGATTTTGGGATTGGTCAGCAATGAAAAAAGGTAAAGGATACGATGTTAAAGACGACGTTCAGTTTGCTATAAATTGTTTCTGGGGTAGCACACAGGGAGATGGAAACCATACACATCGCGTTTCAGGGTATACGCAAACAACGGGACAAAGTAAAGACTACATGCCACCTTACATGACAGTTTACGCATGGTATAGAATTGCTTAGTCGTCATTTTCAACTTCTTTAGCATATTCGTCAGGAGTTGTCTTATATTTGTTAGGAACTGTTTTTGAAAGTATACCACCTTGAACTTTGACAAGTTTGAAACGAGGTCTGACAATAGTAGTTTTATCTTCTGCTTGCAGTCTGTACATTTTGCCATGTTTGCCTAAAACTTCATAATATTCTCTTGTATACTTTCTTCTATTTTTACGAACACGAATGTGAGTACCTGTCGAGTTCCCATTGTTGTCATAGTCAATAGTATTTTCATATGGGTCGCGTTTAGGTATTTCTATTTTTACTTTGTCGCCTTTCTTAAGTTTGAAGCCCGGCATTCTTTCTTGTTTGTCTCTTTTGACTAAACTATTAAATATATAGTCTTTCTCTAAGTCAGGGTTGTTTTTCATTTCTTCAGGGGAGTGGTTTCCCAAACCTTTTTGTTTACGGCTATTGTAAATATTTAAAACTTGTCTCATCTTTGCCATGGAGAAATGTCTATACTTGTCGTCATATGACATTTCATCTACCTCGCCGCCTTGTGGTTGGTTTAAGTCTCTTAAGATTTTTATACAACTGTCAATGACACCAAGAGCAGAATGGTTTTGGTCGACAATGAAATATTGGTTTACATTTTTTGAACGCAGATAGTTTTTTACATCGTCTGATTTGAAAGAACTTTCACAGTCAGATGTCAGTTTTGTTGGATGGTATTTGTCAACAAATATTGTCAAAGCTGCTAAGATATCTAAAATATTTTTGGACTGTAATGGTATGGCTTCACAGTATCTTGTGTTTTGACCGACAAATATTAGCCAGTATGGTGGTCCATCTTCTCTATACCTCGGAATGTTTTCCAAGATATCCATAAACCAAGCATTTGGTGTTGAACTAAAGATTTTTATCATGAGTGCTTTCTTTGTCGCTTTAGAAACATAGGGGTCCTTGTTTGGATTCGTCATTTTTTACCCTATAAGAAATGGGTTTATTTGGCGCATTAGCAGGAGTTGCATCCAGATTTTTGCCCGCAGTGGGAACAATAGCCAGAGGTGCATTTGGAATTGGAAGGAAGATTTTGAGTACATTAGGTATACTGAAAGAGAAAGCACAACCTATTATACAAACTGTACAGAAAGGTTGGGAGGTAGCACGAGATGCAACAAATCTTATTCCAAATCCTGAAACAAGAGGAAAAGTTCAAGGATGGATGGACAATGTAGGAAGACAAGCAGGAAACTACTATAACAAAGCAAATGACTACTATAACCAAGCAGGGCACTATATGGACCAAGGTGAAAGATTCTTTAACAGAGGATATAACCATGCACAACAATGGGTAAACAACAACCAACCGCAACCACCTCAAACGTGGGGAATGTAAATTTTTTTACTGAGATGAAATGAACAATACAGCATTGAGACAAATGGGCTCAAGATGGATTTGTCGGCTTCCAGCAGTTACACAACCACGTGTTTGTCAAGTCCTCCCTATACCTCAGGAAGTTTTAGACCGACTTAAAAAACCTAAACAACCAGTTGAAAACAAACCAAACTAAAATTTTTTACTGAGATGAAATGACCGAAGAAGTTGAAACGGTAGATTTGACACCACAAACAAAAAGTTCAGAACCATTGTCAAAACCTGTCAAAGAACTTACAGATGAAGAGAAAAATTCAATAATAGAAAGTGCCAGGTCTGGAAATACAAACCCTAACTACAAAGTCACTTTTCATAGAAATGGAACGGCTAGTATCTCAAAAAAGAAACAGACTCTCACAAATAAAATATTGAAGTCTGAAGGAGTTTATGAGACAACAGATGGAAAAGTATATTTTACCGACGAACAGTTCATTATAGAACATCTCATTGACTTAGAGTCGAAATATTCTAAACTTTACAACAAACACAAAAAGTTGAAAGGAAAACAAAAACAAATGGCATATGATATTTACGAAGATACTAACGACACAACCATACCTGCAAGTGAAGTAAAGTCAGAGGAACCGAAAAGTGACGAAAAACCAATAGAAGAAGGGAAGCCAAAAACTGAAGATAACCAAAACCAAAGTTAGTTTGGAGACTAAACCAAGTCAACCTTCATTAGCTGGTATGGGTTGGCGTCAAAGACTTTTGGTAGCTGTGGCTATGTTAAGTAAAAGGAAAACAGTATATTTTTCAAAAAAATATTTTTTTATTTTATTTGAAATGTACGCTGGGTTTGTTGGAACAGACCGTTGGGAAACTTGTTTTGTTAGATGAGAAATATGAAATTCACTGTTGTGAGTCATTTGAAGTCAGAAACAAAAAGACAAAAGAGTTTTAAGCGATGGGAGCGAAATGACGGATATGCTAATATGAAGATGAGTGGAAAAAACTATTTTAAACATGTTGTCATTGCAATCATTTTATACCGAACCCTAACAATTTACCTTTGTAGACCATATAAACCATATAAGAAACGACAATAGACTTGAAAACTTGCGTTGGGTCACTTGTTCTGAAAACAATAAGAACATAGGCAAATTTCGAGATATTGTATTCGAATTTGTCGACGACGAACTAGAAGATGAAGCAATTGAAATACAGACTATGGCGAGCATACGTTTGAGTTTTACTACTATAGCGAAGAACAAGACTCTTTCTACTTTTATACCGGCGTAAACTATAGGAAATTACAAGTATGTTTACTAAGGCGGGCTATGCTCATGTAAACGCTAGAGTACAGATGGAAAATACGTTCAAATACATCTTAACAAATTCAAGAAGCTATATGGCATACCATTTTAAAATATTTTTTATTTTTATAAAAAATGCCCCCGTATAGAATGGATAGAAGGTCTGCTAGAATAAAAGCAGATTAGAAAGATATGGTTGGAAAGTTTCAAAGAAGTTTAAATATAGGAAGGGAAGACCCATAAAAGTCTATGACAAACTGGCTGGTCTGACCTATGAAATGGACTTGGAAACAGCACGCGCAAATTATCCAAACAGGTTAGAGAGGTTAGAAGAAGAACGTCTTATGGACATGCCTTTCGATGTTACTGAGCCACAGGTTGAAGGACACGACGGCTTTGCCAGATTCTACTGGAAACATGACGAACAATTGCATCCTTTGAGGAGGAAAAAAGGAAAAGGTGAAGACGCACATGCTCCCATGGAAAGAACAAGATATGCATATGAAAAGTACCGTGAAGTTAGAAGTAAAATTACTTCTGGTCGAACCTTTACAGTTAACTTTGACGAAGGAAAGAACAAAGAAGGCTTCATGGGTGTACTTGCTGCCATACAAGATGGAAATAAGAAAGGATACAATCTCAGACTAACCGTAACAGATTTAGATGGTCATATTTACTATGCACATGGCAATGTCACAACAGCTGCAATGCTTCTTGACGCTTTCAAGACTACAAAGAGAGAACAAATGGTTGACTCCGACTCAGACATTTTGAATGCAATTGAAGGAATTGTAAGCGTGAAGTTCGAATGGTACCAACCTAACCCTCAAGCAGTCAGACAACATGCTGGATACTTCCCGTTCATAAATAAGTCTGACATTGACTTGACAAGGTATGGAATTTACAATTCAATTGAAACAATTGTCAATGAACCTTGCATTCTTACATGTCTCAGGAACTCTGGTCTTGTTTCAGAAGAGAAGATGAAGTATCTTGAGTCATGTGTGAAGACAAGGTACATTCTCAGAGGTCAATTGGCAAAAATTGCACCGTTGGCAAATGTCAATATCCGAGTCAACATACCTACAGCTAAAGGTTCTTCACATGACGACTATGTTGTTGACAAAGACTTACCATGGTTGAAGATTGTAATTGTCCACAACCACTTCATGTTGAACGAAAGTCTTACAAACCCATTCTTTGGTAAAAGTAAGTGCAACATTGTCAGAGCTGTTAACATTCTTTTCGAGAAAGGTTTGTTGGAACCAATTCCAGATGACAAGCTGACAGAAACTTTTGTACCAAAAGACGAAACAAACTTTTCATTGTTAGCAAGACCAAAAGTTGTTCCAGACAAAGTTCTAGTACAAAAGAAGTACACAATTCCAAAAGGAGTTGGATTGTTCGGATACCAACCTGAACCAGAAGAACTTCCAATGAGGTTGCAAGAACTTCAAGATGCTATAAACAAACTTCCATTGAGACATCCAATTGACGTCAAATTGTATTGGAGAGCTTCTGAGTTAGGTCAGAAGGTTTTATATGAAACAGGTTGCTTCGACGATGTTTATGAGATAACAGGAGAAGTTTCTCAGAAGATAAGAGACTCACTTGAATTTCCACAAACTGGACCAATTGGTTGCGACAAGTTCGACTCAGATGAAAAAATATACTATGTCGACCTTAACGCTGCATACATGAGGTTTGTCCAATATATCCCGACTGGAATTCCAAACGAAGATGGTGAGTTCCCGGGAAGGAACTATACAGTTGGAAAAGTCATACAACAACTGTATGATATTAGGAAAGCTTCAAACCCCAAACTTGCAATGACACTCAAATTGCTTATGAATTCGACATGGGGATATTCCATTAAGAAACCTCAAGAGATGAAGAGTAAACATTATGAGAAGGTCGACAACTTTGTTGAAAGGTTTTCTCCTTTTGTTTTGAAGTACGAATTCACTCAAGGTCAAAGTGGCTTAGTAACCACATTAAAACCTATTGTCGAACATTGGTCCTATCCTCAGTTCGCAAAGGCAGTCCTTGACAACTACAACAAATTCTTCTCCGAAGTCAAATCCAAAGTGAAGGTTTACTATGAGAACATTGACGCACTCATGACGAACGAAGAAGGCTATAACAAACTCATTGAAATGGGAATGGTCGGTGAAAAGATGGGTCAATTCAAATTGGACAAAATTTTCACCGAAGTTCATGTCCTCTCCAAGCGTAAGTACTGGGGCATACTTGAAGACGGCACAGAAATAAAACATTGCATGAAGTAAAAAATTTTTATTCGAATTTGAATCGGACAGGTCGAGTTACACCATTCTTGGTCTCAAACTCATATATAACCTGTTTGTTTGTATTTTCGTCGACTATGACACGAGACACGAACATTGACCAAACGGACAAAAAGTGTCATTTCAGATGGTCCCGCAGCCAATCGCATTCGAGCACTTCGAAGAAGCCTTACGTTCCAAGGGAGAGGGTGTCTGGTGCAAGGCAGAGGTCATGAGACTCTACGAGCAGTACATCCTCAATGCCTGGGAGGACAAATCGTCCTTGGAATGGCAATTCTACCAACTCCTCTGGGACGACCTCCTACGCAACTGGGATGACGAAAGAGTCCAATTCAGAGGTCAGGAACTACTTGTCCAAATTATCCTTAATTTAAGCCGCTTACGCAACTAAACACCTAAATTTACTTGGGGTTTCCCCCTAAAATAAAATTTTTTTACTCTTAGAACCACTCGAGGTTCTCCTTACGGTTGTTGAGCTTGTCACCGTCAATGTGTCTGACCCTCGTCTTCTTGTCTGGATTTGGAACCCATTGCATACCGACAAGCCTTCCCATGGAAATTGTACCGTAATTCCGAAGGGTAAGGTTCAAGTGTCCCAAGTTGTTGAGGACTGGGGTAAGAACCTTGCCGGTCTCCCTGTTGCGGATTTGGTATGGGTAGGGTTGGGAAATTTCGTAAGTGTCATCGGCAACAAGGGTTGCCCAAACTTCCTCTTCTTCGTGTTTCTCTTCTTCCTCTTCTTCCTCTTCCTCTTCTTCGTGTTTCTCTTCTTCCTCGACAATTCCTTCTTCAATTCTGTGTTCACGAATTACGGTGTTGCATGTTCTGTCCTTTCCGAGTACCTTCCAGATGGCGTCTATCTCTTCGAAGAAACGGTAGATGAGTCTGGCAAGGTCTCGGTTCTCTCTCGCGTAAATGCGCAAGGTTTCCGTCAAATCATTCAGGCATTTCTCATTGGAAGCTTGGTTCATGAGGACATCGGCTTTGAGCTTGGTCATCTCTTCCATAAGACTACTTTGGAGAGTCTTCACGGTGTTTGACAGATGAGCGTTCAATTGGGCAATTTGAATTTGAACTGGGCGCTTTTCTGGCAACCTTGAAAGGACATCTGCCATTGAGTTTGGCTTCGGTGCTTGTTCGGACATCGAAAAAATGAAGTGGTTTGAGAATGACGGTTTTACTTCAAAAAGCTTGTTATGACAGTTATGTCATACAACAAGTTTAAAATAATATCTTGTTCTTCTTCTGAACGTTTGTTGTCTCTTCCGATAAAAGTTTCGAACATGAGAACCAAAAAACGTTTTTTGAGATTGCGGAAGAGTTCAGGCAAACGTTCATATTCTGGATATGTTGGGAGCAGTTCGAAACATCTGAGCTGACTTTCGGACAAAATTGGGACAATGTCAGAAAAATTCATCTTTGGTCGGACTGCTTGAAGGTAAGTCCCTTACATGTAAGTAGCTCTGGTAAAGTCTTCTCATTTCTGCTAACTTTTGGAGTATAGCTTCGTAGTTTAGAAGTTTCAATTTTAATTGTCTTATTCCACTCTTTACTTCTAAACGGTAACTATCCATTGAGGTCAAGAGTAGCTTTGGTAGCTTTAAGTGGAGCTATCTGTTCCTTGACTCCTGCAATTTTGGTTGCAATTGTGGTTTGAGCTCCTTCAAGTTCGCCGTCTATGTCGTTCTCAACGCCTTCAACCATGGCTTGAAACTCTTCATCGGTCCATTGAGATTGGTGTGGGACGAATTTAACTTGCTTCATTCAAAAAATGAAAAAAATGTTTTTACTCAAAGCGTGCCATGTATATGGCTATAAGAAACTTACCAGAAGGCTTCTTCTTCACATGAGTCTTTGGCAACTTGAGTGTTGGTGTTGGAGTTGGGTCTGGAATTTCAATTCTCTCTCGAGCGCAACAACAGATGTCAGAATAACATTCCCCACTGTCTTTCTTGCCACCATAAATTGTGTATTGACCGAACTTGCATTTGCAGGAAGACCGGTCAATACAAGGTTCACAGTTGAAATAGTTGTACACAAACCTGTTGAGTACGAGTGTGAGTAAAAACATAAAAAAAAGTGAAGTTAAAATGAGATGTTTACTGAACTGGCTGAAGAATTGGTTGGATGTCGCCTTCTGAGGTTATGAAGAACGGCTGTCCAGAGTAGTGAAGTAGTGCTCTGAGAATTTGTGTAATTCGTGGAATTGGGCTCTCACGATATGGAAGTAGTATCCAAGGACGTTTCATGAAGAACTTCAAGAGGGCTTCTTTCTTCACATCCTTAATATCATCGAATGCAGTGCCTTCTGGAACTTGAATTGCAACACCTGTTTCAATTTCCAACTTTAAGACACTATTCTTGGACAACCAGAAGCCAATGGACTTGCTTGGTTTGCACTTGCTGAGATATTCCTTCACGGTTTCATTTACCTCAATTAGATAAATTGCTTCGTCTAAGGGGTCAAGCTCCATACTGAGTCAGTACAATATTGTACTTTTTCAAGACAATGTTGTACTTTTTCAAGACAATGTTGTACTTTTTCAAGACAATATTGTACTTTTTCAGAACAATGTTGTACTTTTTCAGAACAATGTTGTATAAATTCAGTACAATGTCTCTCAAATTTGAGTACAGCTGTACTTTTTCAGAACAAGTCTTGAACTTTTTCAGAACAATGTTGTACTTTTTCAAGACAATGTTGTACTTTTTCAAGACAATGTTGTACTTTTTCAAGACAATGTTGTACTTTTTCAAGACAATGTTGTACTTTTTCAAGACAATGTTGTACTTTTTCAAGACAATATTATATTGTTTCAGAACAAAGACGGTTAAGACACAAACGAATGTCCGACGTCCCACCTACTGAACCCGTTCCACAGCCAGAGGAACAGCATGCTCCAGCACCACAACAGTCTCCTCAGCAACCTCAGTTCCAACAAGGACCTCCGAATTACTACCAATTTCCACCTCAAGGTTACTACCCACCACAAGGCTTTCCAAACTACCCACCACAAGGCTTTCCAAACTACCCTCCTCAACCCATGCCTTACTTCCCTAACCCTTGGATGTTCATGTCAAACCCTCCACCCCAATTCCAATCTCAATCCCAATCGAAGAGAGACCAAGAGTTCGAAGAAGGTCTGAACCGTTTACGCAAAGAGTATGCCACAGCCCCTATGGAAGATGACAGGCTTTCAGTCTCTTCCCTAAGGTCGACCAATTCGACTCGTACCACAGATTCGGTTCGTGACCGTGAAGACTACCTCAAGCAGTCTGAGAGACTCTTCATCTTACAGCCATTTACAGTTGGAGCTCTCAAGAACATGCGCAATTACGAAGGTCAGACACCAGCTGGAGACCGCAAAACAGACGTACTCGCAAGAGCAGTCCAACTGGTCAAGACAAAGACTGAGATAGTCGACTTCATTCTTGCAGCTTGCCCATACAAGTAAAAAAATAAACAATTACGAGTTAAACTTTTTACTCTTTCTTTTCTGAGTTGTTTAGAGCTGGTTTCTCTTGTAGAAACCTTTCGTACTCTTCCATGGTCATGTAATTGCGAATTTGGTACGCAATTCCAGGTTCGTTGTTTTTGAACCTTACGTATGTAACGCTTCCATCCTCCTCAGGGAAGTAAGCTGCTAACATCTGACCAAGTTTTCTCGGTGACTCGGAGCTCATTAAAAATGTCACTTTTTAAACGTTAAGTTTTTAGTCTTATTTTACCCTTTGTTTACCCTTTGTTTGTCAAGGTAGTATTGGAGTGCAATTTCTCCAAATTCTCTGTGTCGGAGTTCTTCAGCATTTTCCAAGGTGTACCTGGAGAACTCAAAGAAGTTGTCAAGAAGATACTGCCATGCTGCTCTTCTGAGTTCGTCGGTATTTTGGAAGTGTTGCACCTTCGAGTCTTCGGACATGAAAAAAATTACACTTTTTCAGCAAAAATATATTTTAGGTGAAGAGGTGAGATTTCACCTCTTTTTTCACCTGTTTTTTCACCTCATGAATTTTCATGAAATAAAAAATAAAGTTGGTTTTTTTAAAAAAATATTTTTTATTTTTATTGTAAGAACATGTTAGCAACAACAGCACCAAACTCGTTAGTTATGAATCCAACTTCAATGTTAGTAGAGATGAAAAGCTTCATTCCTTCTTCATATACTTTCGAAACAGAAATCCAGAAGATAAAGCAAGAACTTCTCCAAGGAGATTTAGACTGTAGTGCGAAAGATGAAACAAATGAACAGTATCTTTATGAAATGCAGGACATTATTGACCATCTACCTAAACTTCCTGAAATCCAACAACAAAAACTCACTATTCCTGAATTCGACGAAATTGAAGTCAAAGCAACTGACTCAGTAGAAATAAAGAAGTTCATACGAAAGGTAAACTATGAGTTTCTAGGATTTCATTGCAACCATAAAGTTATGGACAAAGATTGCGATATGGTATATAAGAACATCTCTGACATATATAAATCTGGGGAGTTTAAGACCTACGACAACTTTGTTTCGTTAGTTGCAAAATGTGTTTGGGAAATAAGAGATAAAGATAGTAGGGGTAAGGTATGGAACGAACAAATAAAACCCGCTATGTTCGAGATGAAGAGAGCAATTGACGCCTTAGTTGTTTTAGCAGGTAAGGTTTCAGAATATAACGCAAAAATGAACCCGCAATGTTCTAAATGTAAGGCAGCAATTAGGAAATATAACTACTCAGTCAAAGAGATAGAACGTATGAGAAACGACTATGCAGATTTAAAGAAAGAAGCAGAAAAACCAGCAGAAGATAAAATGGACATGTTAGAATTTCTGAACAAAAACTATCCAACAGCAGAAGATTTCCTTCTTTCAGATGTCAAGAAGAAGTATAAAGAAACCTTCGGCATAGTTAAAACATTCGATGTACTAAAAGAAGAAATAGAAGCTACGAAATTGTTTAGGATTTCAAATATACATCATACAATTCATGTAAAACGCTTATAAAATAACTGAGGTGAAAAAAGAGGTGAAAAAAGAGGTGAAATCTCACCTCTTCACCTAAAATATATTTTTATTGAATTCCGTATGAAATTTCATGAATTTCCTCATATGCTTGCTTCCCTCGAAAAACCGAGAGAAGAACAGCGAGTAGTGAAAAAACCCTGGTCGCCAAAACTCTTTATTTTTCAAGCTTGACTTTTTACAATTTGAACTTTGTTTGCGTAGATATGAATTCTGAAAGAAGTATGAGGGTCTTGTATGACTTTGTACTTCTCCCATAGTTCATGTCTGTCAAACTTACCTGCCATGGACTCTTTCATAAGTTCCATGAAATCGTCTTCGACAATCCAGGGAAAAGTATGATATCAGTAAGTATCTCTTTACATCCTTACTTAAACTCTTTGCTGTCTGTACACAAATGACAACTGAAATGTTAAAGTGTCTGAGCTTCTTAAGAATTCGACACATGTCTTGTTCTCTGTTCTTTAACAAAGGATGAGAGCGAAATCATCTAAGATAAGAAGACATCTGTGAGGGTAAGTCTTCCAATCGTAAGATTGCAATTTCTTCGAAATGTATTCTATCTCTTTCTGTTTGTTTCTGAAGTGTTTCTTCTCTAATATTCTCTGCATTTCCTCATTTGGGTCTTTAAACTTCGAATTGACATACTCATTTATAGCATTGTACTTCAAAACTCTTCTTTGGTACTTCTTTATCCAATCTAACAACTCAGAGTCTTTTATACATACTAACTTAGACTTTTTATAATATCTTTGAACGAATTGACGGTTTGGTCAAATTGACCAGAAGTACTACAAATGACTACTAACTCATAGAATGGGTTCTTCTCATCTAGTTCTTGTTGTTGTGCAGCCATTTTAAGATAAGTGAAAGTCTTACCCGACCCAGGTGGTGCAATTAGACCTGTTATACCATTCTGAGCAAATAAGAACTTGTCATGTATGGTTTTATCTGAGCATTTTCTAACTTCTCTTGTTCTTGTTAAAACATTCTCAAATTTTTGTCAATGTCAGCAAACTTTTTTTCTAACATATTTTTAGAAAAATTAAAATTTTTATCTTTTAGAAAATGTCTAGCGATTTCGCTATCTATATTCGAGACAAACTTTTTCGACAGCAAAACTTCTGTCGACCATAAAATCTTACATAGTGTAAACAAGAAAGGGAATTTGTTCTAAAGTTCTGTTTCTGGGAATATGACAAGAACCATAAAACATTACAAAGAGCAGTCTTAAAATTTGTCAATGACAGACTTGTTGACAGAGATGACGCCGATTGGAAAGATGAAGTCCAACAAAAGTTCTTAGAATGCAAAGAAGGCACATGCGCTGTTCTTGAAGATGAAATAGAAAACAGAATAGAAGAGCTATTAAAGGACAAAGAACTTTTACATAAATATGGTTCTGAGAATTTGACATAACTCCACCAGAAAAAGAAGAAGAAGAGAGAAAAGAAAGAAAAGAAAGTAGAAGAAGAGAAGAAAGAACCTGAACCAGTTCCAGAGAAAAAGAAATTTGACATGTAAAAATAAAATTTTATTTTTAGAACATTTCTGGGTCAATGTCAATGTTCTCTTCCTCTTTAGGAGCAAACACTGGCTTAGACTCTAAAATCTTTTTACCCAATTTACCTTGAACTTCAACTATCTTAGACTCATAATATTCATAGTCGTCTGCTTTCTTTGGTTCATAAGGTATAACAAGTTTGTATGCTTTGCCTTCTTTAAGGTTTGAGAACCTTCTGTCAAAATTTTCTTTGACTGCTAACAAACCTTCTATGTCTAAGTCTTCAAATTTCGCACCATTTTTAGTCACAATAGCAAACTTAACTGGTTCGATGTTCCAAACTTTGTCAAATGTAGACTTTTCAAAATGGTAGAAGTAAACATTCAAATATGTGAATGGGTCTAGTTCTTCTTTAAGTCCTGACATGTACTTGTTTACTGAGATGAATTTTGCCATCTTTTCTATCGGATAAAAAAATATTTTTTTTAAAATTTACTCAGAAAAATTATTTCTTTCTATATTTGCCATTCCGAACATCTAAAAGATTTTTGACATTTGCCAAGAATGTTCGTTTAGACGCTGTCATATAACCATACTCTTGACAATATTGTTTATACGAGTCGTACAAAGACCTTTCATCTAAACACTCAAAGTCAGTTTCATCTATGAACAGTTCATATACACTCTTGTTTGCTTCTAACAATGTTTGTCTCTCTTCGGTATGTGGAATTTGTCTTGGATTGAACTTTGAAATATCTAATGTCATGAAATATGAGAACAAGTGGTTGTAAAAGTTAGGTGTCAAAGTTTCTGCTAAGTCGTCAAAATATTCTGTATCTTGCATATGAGCTTCTGACGTTCTGACAACTACATATCTTCTGTCAGAACTTTCTAACTTCATCGGAACGGCGTTGTTTGAAACCATGACGAAGTTTGCAACATTTTCACAAACTCTTTGGTCTCTATACTTTCTTTCAACAACTCCAACTTTGTCTGTTATAAGACTCTTCAAAGCATCTGAGTTCAAAACTTTTGTTGTATCTATACTTTGAAGTTCGTTACATACTATAAGTTTCATATTCTCTATTGAGGAGTTAAACTTGCCACAGATGTTTTCTAAGTTTGTCATATTCGGGTTCGAATAGCCTTCTAACAGTTTGCATAAGATATCTGTAAAGAAAGTGTTCTTACCTGTTCCTTGTTTTCCAATTATGATGAGAGCAGTTTCATTTTTAGCACTTGGATGTTGTAAGATGTTTGCAAACCAACATAAGATATACTCATAGACTCTTTCGTTTCCATTGCATATAATTTCTTTGACATGGTCTAACCAAGCTTCTATAACATCTTCCTTCCATTCTACTTGTTCGTATTTATATCCAGTGAAGATAGAATAGAAGTTTGGAGAAGGTGTATAGAACTTTATACCACGAACTGAAAAATCTTCAAGTTTTGACAATAAGATATCCCAAGCATCTAACATCTTCATTCCAACTTGTACGACTTTTATTTTCTTAAGTTTCTGTCTACATTCTTGTTCTGAAACTATTGTTGCTCTTGGTTTGTTAAAGACAACATCCCATTCTTTCATGACATAACATTCTGGGGCAGAGTCACATAAATGACTAAACGTTTCAAATTCTCGACTGCTTTGTTATAGTCTCTAAATGGACACATATTTCTGAACGCTTGGAAGTCATAAAAATCTGAAACATCTATTCTGTACATTTTTATAAAAATAAAAAAAATATTTTTTTATTCTTGACTTTGTTGTTGCATTTGTTCCATTTGTTGCATTTGTTGTTCTTGAGCTATTTGTTGTTGAAGTTGTTCTTGTAATACAATACTTTCACCAGTTGCATCTTCCAATTCGAAACTTTCTGCCGTCATTGACAAATACATAGGACATAAAAGTTTTACAGGAACAAAGTTTGCGTCAACTAAGGTTAAGTTTATGTTTGCTAAAGTGTTTGAGTTTACTAAAGCTGAAAACTCTGCATTCGAATGAACAATAGGCAAACCAGCAGAGAAAGTGTTGTTTATAGCATGAGTATCTTTTGGTCATAGTAGTTTCTGTCGACATTCGAATAACACTTTGAACCTAAGTTTGAAACAATATATAAATGGTGTACTTAAAGTCAATGGAACAGACATTCCTTGTATGACACCTTTTCCTGTTATAGGAAACTGTTGGTAGTAAAAACCAGATATAAGTTTTGTATTATAGCTCATATCGTTTATAGTAAACTCAGTCGGACATCCAAACATAATGAAACCTGCTCTAGTTGCAGCACATGTTACATCCGTCCTTAAAGTATTAAATAAGTCAACAAAACCTGTTGGTGGTATATCTGAGTAAGTATCTTCAAAGAAGTATTTTTTACCATTCACAACAACAAAGTCTTCTGGTGTCAAAAGAGCAAAACAGGCTTTAGTCGTCATTGTGTTTAAGGTTAGTTTACAATATCGTCCTTGAGGACTTTGTAAGTTTGTTGTTATAGAATTATATGACTCAGGGTTTTTAGTCGTAATAGTATAAACCACTATGTCTTCTGCCATTTACTTAGCAAGTAAATTTTAATGAAATGTTGTGGTCGTCAAATATTTTTATGACGTCTGGGAAACTATATTTTAAGTTCAACGTTTCACCTCCTTTCATAACGTATATCTTGTCAATGACATTATATGAAACACCACAGCAAGCAATGTCGGGTTCTATTTCTTTGATGTTTATATCGTCTGCCTCTGTCAAAAGTTTCAATAGTTCTTTCAAAATTTCATGAGGTGCGATGACATATGAGTTCACTTTTACAGGGTTGTGCTCAACCAAGTTTAACATTATACCCAAAGCTGACAAATCTTCTCCTGAGTTTTAAGTTTGTCTTTAAGTTGTTGGTAGTCGTTTCGAATATCTGCAACAGAACTTAAGTCTCTGCTAACTTCAGGGTATGTTGGTTGTTCTTTTACAGGAACTATTGTTATACCATCTTCGTCTTCGTATGGTTTCCCCACTTCAACATCTCTTTCTTTGACATTGACAACAACACTTTGACTGTTTGTTTGAGTTGGTGAATTTAACTTCACATCTGCCACCGCCATTAAACCTTTTGAAACACTTACGCTTCTATTTTTCGGAAATGACATTTTACTTAGAATAAAAAGATGGACGTATTTGAGTATCTCTTCGAATTGAAGCAGAACAAAGTTTACACACACAAACAATACAAATACATTGACAGAATAGTTCTTTATACAAACAATGGAAAATGTTATAGAATAGCAGTCTTTGCTGAACCAAAATATTTTCATAAAGCAAAGAAAGTTGGTATAACTGAAATGGTGAAAGTTCTTGAAGCAGACAAAAATATAACAACAAAACTGACCGATATTTCTAAAGGTAAGTTTATAATACAATTTTATGTCAAAACTGGCGTACTGTCAATATTTGACGGAGAGAAGTCAGTTCAAGAACAACTTACTGACCTGCTGCCAAAATCTGCTCGATGGAAGCTGTCGTTATACCAATCTGAGGAGCCCCAGCAGGTTTCATCGAACGAATCTTCAAAAGAGCATCTTCCGTGAAAAGTGCTATTGGTTTTGTAAACTTCTTTGCTTTCAATTCATTTGGACCGTCTCTGTCACCAGTATATTGTATTTGAACTGTACCAACAGTTGAAATACCACCCATAAAGTCTTCTGAGTCAGCAAATGGAATGCCAAGCCAAAAGTTTGAACGGTCTCCATTTGTATATTGAGTTTTTGAGCTCCTGTATGGTCCATACTTTCACATATGGCATAATAGAACTTTGCATTTCAGGGTTAATGGTTGTTGTGAAGTTGTTGTTAAAGTTCATAGCATCTAATGTCAAGTTGTATGACCTCATATCCTCAACTGTAGAATATTCTTCTCTTGGATAGTATTTGCCATCTATGTTTATATGATATTTAATACCAGGGTTGTAGAAGCAAGAATAGTCATTTATAGTTCGTCTGAACAGTACAAACATAGTATCTGCATGTTTCATTGCAGTTGTTAAGCAATATCTGTTCTTGCACCTGGGTCAGCACTTTGGTTTCCAACTTCACCTGCAAAGTCTTTGACAGATATTTGGTGTATAGGGAACATAAGTGGAACTGCAATATATTTGGCAGCTAAAGCATTTGAAATATCTGGGTCCAACATATAGACTGCAAGTCTGCTTTCTATTCTCTTGCATTCAAATTTTTCGCATGTGAACTTAACTGGGTCCCAAGCATCTCCAGCAGCATTGAAATAATAGTTTACTTCAGTGTTGAGGTTTGAGAAACCAAAGTCTAAGTCAACTTTGTTTTGCAAAAGTCGGCGAATGACATTTTATTTGTTCCCACTACTTCTGTAAGAGTGAATGGGTCTTGTGTTGGTGCAATGACTAAGTTATTTTTGCTTGGAGTAAGTTCGATAGAAATTTTTCCTGCCCAGTTTGGCAAGTATCTTAAAAACCTGAAGATGAGGAAAGATGACAAAGGAACTCTAAGTTTCAATTTTACTTTGGTTACTGCTGCTGCAGTTTGTCCAGAAAGGTTAACATAAACTCCTGGAACGTTAGGGTCAAGTCTTCTTATTTTCTCAATAGTTGCATACTGGTCTGTTTGTTCTCTAGCTTGTGGTTGTACTGAGTTTCTCAAAGCGAACCATTCATAGTTTGCCCATGTTACTGTTTGAACTAAGTCAGAGTTAGAATATATCTTATATCCCATGAAAACTTCTGGAGCATATTGGTATCCGACATAGAAAATTCCATTGCAACCTTTCTTGTCAGACAACTTGGCAGAAGGTTTTATTTCAATGTCTTGTTCCACGTATAAGAAGAGTTGTCAATAGAAATATATGAAACCTGTCGCAAGCAATATCTACTGTTGTTGAAGAACCTTCTCCAAACTCACCTACGTTTCCATAAGAAACAGCAGTTGTATATTCGTAAGTTCCAGGAACTATTTCTGACCTTCTAATGGCATTGTCGCATTCGTTATACCATTCGGAAACATTTCCATTCATAGCATCCAAAACTGTTGGCGTTATATTCTGAGCGGCGTACATTTCATATGAGTAAAAATATAGAATAGTTGGATTTATATGTCATAATAGAACCCACTCCGACCAAGCTTTACTTTCTTCCTGACTGAGTTTTTAACTCTTCTTTTTCCTTCATTGCCCTCTGCTTGAAGTTGTTGCATCTTTGCATTATGTTCATCTAGTATGTTGCAAATTTCCCATGTCCTTTTTGCCTTTTGGCTCTGGTCGCCCATCTCAGGTAACCTATATCCTAGAAAGAGTTTGTCATAGTCTGTATTTGAGTCTTCGCGTATTGTTTGCATGACTCTTTCCTGAGTTTCTGGTTCAAGCTCTTCAAACAGAGCTTGTCCATATGGAATAAGCTCGTTTCCAAATATATGTTTTTGTAGCCATTCTGGTTTTCTTTCCATGTTACCAACTATATCTTTTGTGAATGGGAAAGCTTCTACCCAATCTTTCAGTCTTGCGTCGTTTATTTCTGTAGTTGGTTTTATTTTGTCAAGGAACATGTTTTTCAATACTAACATTTCATTTGGTACTGTCCATTTGAGTTTTCTTAAATATTCATCCCTTCTCGGTTCATTGTCTGCAAAGTAAGTTTTTATGACATTTTGTAAACTTTCGTTTGCAAGGTCATGTACAATAGGTTCTCTTCCTTCTCTATCCCTAACTTTCTTTCTAAACTCTTCACCAAATATACCATCTCTATGGTTCTGTGTAGTTCTTTGAGATAAATGTTCTAGAACGTCAGGTGTTATATTTCCATCAGCCATGTTCATTTCATACTGGTCAAAATATCTGCATCTTTCATATCTTTCAATGGCATTAAAGCCGCGCTTAAAATACCAGCTATATCTGGTTCACCATTGACTTCCATTGCGTCTACAACTTCTTGGAATTGTGGTTGTAAGTTTATGAACCACCTATCCGATTAGCTTTATGACCCCATCTCATTGTAGTTCCATCGTCTGCAGAAACAAAAGTAGGTTTGTTTCCATCTTGGTTAGGTTCTGAATGAACTTTAAACAATGTTTCATTTCTATATGTTTTCTTGAAATTTAACCTTTTATCTTCACCGAGTTCATCCGAAGATTGAACGTTAAATGCTCGTAAGTAAAAAGGGTTGTTGTATTTGTGTACATTTTCTTTCAGTGCTTCCATTCTATGCGAATATTTTCATCTGTGTTGGAGTCTTTTGTATGTCGGCAAACATTTTTCGATATTCTTCTACTATGTCAGCCGAATTTTTTTTAGACTCTTGGAAATATTCCATATTCTCCGCATACTCTTGTTGAGGGTCAAGATTTTTCGGCTGTTCCAAATCTTCATCTAGTTCTGTGAAGTTAGTTTCCAAAGGAAGGACTTGTTCGTTTCCTTCAGGCTCTTCTAGCTGTTGTTGCTGAACTATTTCTTCCATGTCTGGTTGTATCTGAACT